TCAGGGATCCAGTGTACGCAAGCTCCCACAGCCTCAATGGGCTGTCACCATTAATATCTTCACATAAATTCAAACATCAATTTGATGTATTCCAAGCAATCAGGGTCCCCCCTGCAGGAAGTTTCCAAATAGTTTTACCTCATCTCATTATTTAAATACCAGTCTGGCCCAGTCAGGTTAAAAATGTGCTAGTTAGGAGATAATTAGCAGAAAAAATATTCTATTGATTCATACCAGATGTAATCCATAAAATGTCTCCAAGAAACAGCATGTTAATAGCACAGGAACAGGCTGCTTTAGTTATAGCGGTCAAAGCACTCGCCCCGCAAGCGAGAGGACCCGGGTTCGATTCCCGGGCAGGTCAGGGCGAATCCTTAGGCAAGTTTCCTTACTCCACACACACGCCTCCGTTTACCAGCAGTGAGTAGGAACCCGGTTGTTAGTCGAATGGTGGATCGCTTTTCCGGGGGTCATCATAATCCCTCCAAATAAATAGTAATTTGGTCACTCAATCCATGACTGGGATGCTGCTGTGCTCAATTGGCTGCCGCGATTCGCCTACAAAACATATAGTCCAGTCACTCACTTTACAGTATATTCTGTGAAGCGCTTTGAGACATCTCGAAGATGTGTTAAGAGTTCCAGATTTCCACTAACCCTTCGGGTGAAAAACTGCCTCCTGATTTCACTCTAAATGGCTCTTTAATAACCTAGATTTCTTAATGTTCTTTTTTCCCTTCCTCTCATTGGAAAATAATGATTCTGAGGGTGATTTGAATTACCCTGATGAAGGGCAATTTGAACCAGAACCTCCCAATCTTTCTGGGAGCTCTGATCCTCTTGTGGAAGGAAGTCTTGCTCTCAGGAAGTTTAATCAGAGGATCTGAGGTTCAATATGTCAGATACTCACAGCTGTATTTCCGGTCAAACATTAATCACAGCCAGACTGTTTGCTTTTAAACCAAGAAAGTCTTCCCTTTTAAAATGTCCCCGTTCCTGTCTCTCATTTACCTTTTGTTCTCAGCTTTCCTCTGTTTTATTTTCCCGACGCTTCTGTTCATTAACTTCTTCGCAAAATAACTGAACAAATATCTGGCTGGAACTGGAGTTTACAAGAATTGCAGAGCGAGACCTTGGGCAAGTTTCCTCACTCCACACACAGCCTGATAATAATCCCTAAAAAAAACCAATAATAAATTGGTCATTTCAATCCACGACTGTTTGTGGGACATTGCTGTGCGCAATTGGCTGCCGCGTTTCGCCCACAAATATACAGTCAATTCACTTTACAGTCTATTCTGTGAAGCGCTTTGAGACGTCGAGAAGACGTGAAAAGCGCTATATCAAATGCAAGGATTATTATTATTATTACTGGTGTCCAACAAAAACAACAAGGTCAACAACAACTTGCATTTATATAGCACTGTTCACAACTCACAGCACTTAACAGTGGCAGAGCCTCACGTCGAGCCGGGGGAGGGGGGTGTGGGGGGGGGAGGAGGTGACCTGTTGAAGAGGAAGGTCTTCAGTCTTGATCTGAAAGAGCGCTCTGGGACGCCACGCTGCGTGAGGGGAGCCGTGTAAACGCAAGTCGTGGTTGTGAAAGAGGGGAAGGAGGAGGGATTGAGGGAGAAAGTTCCAAAGCTTCAGGGCCGAGCTGTACAGATTTACACGCGCAAATATTCCATGGGGCACAATCGTTTATGTTGTCGTTCGCGGTGTTGTTTCTGAGGCAGTGTCTGCGCGGGAGAAGCTTCAGGGTTTGAGTGAAGGAGTGAAGCTGATTAGCCAACTTGTGTTTCCGCATTTAATGATTTATTCTGTTTTATCCACATACTGAGAAACCTGGCCTGTTAGGGACCGAGTGAAACTGATCTTGCACCAAAGTCGCCTCCCTCTATAACCTCAGGGCAGGTCTGTGCAGAATCAATGAATGCTACTCGGTATTTTTCCCAAAAGAGAGGGATTGAGTCGTTTTAAAATCCACTCATTCCAGACAGTCATTTCCACCCAGTGTAATGTGTTTCTTCCCCCATCCCCAACCCACAAATCTAGCCCGTCACACGCAGACACACATACACACACATATATATATATATATATATACACACACACAGCCGGTGACCAAATGGTTGTGGGGGGATGGAAGGGTGGAACAAATCGGCCTTTGTAACAGGAGCCAAGCGATGGTTCCATTTACCCTGATTACCGCTGATTACTCAGGTCAGCCATGTTGTCTCAGGTGAAAGCTCAGTGTCAGGAGGAGGAGAAGAGATTCTGCGTAAAGCAGGAAGAGCACGACAGCTGCCACTCATTGAATAAAGAGAAACCAGCTCTCAGTACACGTGTCGTTGGGAACGTTGAGGAAAGGGAGAAGGCTGCACAAATTAATTGGGATTGTGTTTGAGGAACTTTTTTGGGTTTCGCTGCAATCTCTTCCCTCTTTATAATAATAATAATAATAATCCTCGCATTTGATATAGCGCTTTTCACGTCGGGAGGACGTCCCAAAGCGCTTCACAGAACACATTGTAAAGTGAATTGACTATGTTTTGTGGGCGAAACGCGGCAGCCAATTGCGCAGAGCAATGTCCCACAAACAGTCGTGGATTGAGTGACCACCTTTTTTTATATATATATATTTTTTGAAGTCTCCAAATAAAATGGGTCACTTCATTGGCTGTTTTTGAAACATTGCTGCGGAGAAATTGGCTGTTGCTTTTCCCTACAAAACACAGTCGCTACAACTGAACAGTAAATCCCGTGAAGCACTTTGAGACATCCCCCCATTGTGAAAGCTGCCGTATCAAATGCGGTAATTACTTCTGATGAATAATGTACTGTTGTCCAGGAGAGCGGCTTGTTCAGCGAGCACTTGGGCCACTTTGAGGCTCAGTTCTGTGGCGTGTCTCGTGAAGCTGTAGAAATTGCTGAACAAATGAACTTCCCAGCTTTCCTCGGGTTAAGGTGGGCACAAAACACGTAATGGGATGGACGTAAAACAGCTTAAAACTCCCGCAGTTCAATGATTCTTTTATATTTCTTCCCTGTGCTCAGCTCCAATGCATTTTGCCTTCTACCGGAGTCGACTAACCAGAGGAACACTCCCAGGTTCTCTTTGCCCATTTTGTTGTGAACCACTCCCTCTGCTGTTCCGAACCAGGAGATACCAACACACACACACACACACACCAACACGTGCTGTTTGTGGAATCAATCTGTGTGCGATTGCACCGCCACCTTCACCAGCAAAGTACAGAGTCACCACACACTTTACAGTATATCCTGGGAAGCACTTTGAGACTTCCTCCCGATGTGAAAGGCGCTAATGACAAATGCGAGGATGATTTATTGAGATGGTTGAGTTTTCAATGCATCTTGTGGACCATTTCGATAAACGATGGAGAAAATACGTTTAGTGATAGTCAACCATTGTTTTCTCGGTGACGATTCGACAGAACACGGGGGCAATAATCCCTTCAGAGAAAAAAATTATAATTTGGTCGCTCAATCCACGGCTGTTTGTGGGACACTGCTGTGCGCAATTGGCTGCCGTGTTTCACCCACAAATTATACAGTCACTTTCCAGTATATTCTGTGAAGCACTTGGGAGACGTCTTGAAGACGTGATAAGACGCTGTATTGAAAGCAAGGATTATTATTGTTATTATTAAGGACCATTTAAAGTTTTTTTTAAAAAAACCTACAAAATAAAAGCCTGGAGGTCTTTTTTTAAAAAAAAATTCAAGTTTTTTTTCATATCAAAAGAGGGCGAAAATCTTTTTCTTTTTAACAAAAAATATACAAATACAATCCCAGGAAACTTTTGGGAAAATCTGCATTTGACACAAAGCCTATATATAAATGACTCAAAAAGCTTCACAAGACTTCACCTCTGGTAATCACTAATAAGTCATAATAATAAGTCAGTGTTTACCCCTCACATGAGCAGGAGATCCCCCTATTCCCCCTCACCTTTGGCTTCTGCCCCCCCCAAAAACAAACAAAATTGACCTATTGCAACTCACACCATCAATGGGATTCCTTCCAAAGGAAGGTTTGTGGGGCTGTTGTTGTTGTGGTGGTGGTGGTGTGTGATTGGCTCAGTGTGTTTGGTAAACACCAGAGTAAACAGCGTGAACCAGGAAACCACAACATGTGGGGAGGTCCCAGGGGCTGAGGCTGGGGTGGGCTTGAGCTGGGAATGGGCTGAGAGGCTGGGGGCCTGGGGGGCTGGGCGGGGAGGCTGGGCTGGGGGGCTGGGCTGGGGGGCTGGGCGGGGAGGCTGGGCGGCTGGGCTGGGGGCCTGGGGGGCTGGGCTGGGGGGCTGGGCGGGGAGGCTGGGCTGGGGGGCTGGGCTGGGGGGCTGGGCGGGGAGGCTGGGCGGCTGGGCTGGGAGGCTGGGAGGCTGGGCTGGGGGCTGGGCTGGGGGGCTGGGCGGGGGGGCTGGGAGGCTGGGAGGATGGGCTGAGATTGAGAGGCTGGGAGGATGGGCTGAGATTGAGAGGCTGGGAGGATGGGCTGAGGCTGAGCTGAGAGGCTGGGCTGGGAGGCTGGGCTGAGGCTTAGAGGTTGGACTGGGGTTGGGGGGCTGGGCTGGAGGCTGAGAGGCTGAGCTGAGAGGCTGAGAGGCTGAGCTGAGAGGCTGAGAGGTTGGACTGGGGCTGGGGGTTGGGCTGGAGGCTGAGCTGAGAGGCTGAGCTGGGGCTGGGGGTTGGGCTGGAGGCTGAGAGGCTGAGCTGAGAGGCTGAGAGGTTGGACCTGGGCTGGGGGTTGGGCTGGAGGCTGAGAGGCTGAGCTGAGAGGCTGAGAGGTTGGACTGGGGCTGGGGGGTTGGGCTGGAGCCTGAGAGGCTGAGCTGGGGCTGGGGGGTTGGGCTGAGCTGAGAGGCTGAGCTGGGGCTGGGGGTTGGGCTGGAGGCTGAGCTGGGGCTGGGGGTTGGGCTGAGCTGAGAGGCTGAGCTGGGGCTGGGGGGTTGGGCTGGAGGCTGAGCTGGGGCTGGGGGTTGGGCTGGAGGCTGAGCTGGGGGTTGGGGCTGCTTTGGGGTTGGGAACATTCCTGGAAACACAGTAACTGGAAGTTGACACACAGTGAAGTGAAAGCTGGAACCAGCCTCACAACCAACAGCTTTCACTGGGCACCAGGGGGTGGTCTGTGTATCACCCACTGCCTCTGTCCCTCTCTCTCTCTCTCTCTCTGTCATGGACTTTAATACATCCACAGTTGGTAAGTCAACTTATTTGCTTTAAAAAACAACTCTCTGCGCCTGAGAGCTCAGCTCAGAGTCAGTGTGAGTCAGGAGCTCAGTCACACAGGCAGAGCAGCTTGGAAGAGTTCTAAGACGCTTTCTGTTGGCACAGTGATGGGGGGGTTTAATCCCCCTCTCCTACCCCCACCCGGTGCATTGGAATGGGAGAGAATAGAGAGAGGAAGAGTGAGAGGAGAGAATGTAAGAGAAAGCAGATTGTCGTGCAGTTCAGAGGTTTCTGTTCCCAGTCACTTCCTTCCCAGTGTAAGTTGTCCATCCTCAGTACCTCATGTTGATCAGAACAGGAGTGGGAGGGACAGAGAGAAGGACCTGAAGTTCATGTGGACCATAAACACCAGCAAAGGCTGCTTTGGGCCAAGCGTCTGGTTTCCACGACTAACAGTCTCTCGTGTAGATGTTAAGCGTCACACTATGTGCTACATCTGGTGAAATGTCCCTTTAGGTCCTTTTCGTTGCTCAGAATATTTTCCAGACGTGTTTAAAGGCGTATTAAACGTCTTCTCGACACCTCGTATATCTGTGGATTCCTGTAGCTCAGTGGTTAGAGCGCTCGCCTCGCAAGAGAGAGGACCTGGGCTCAATTCCCAGCCGGGGGCAAAACCTTGGGCAAGTTTCCTTACTCCCCACACATGCCTTATAATAAACCCTCAAGAAGAAAATGTGTTCACATCAACCCACGGCTGTTTGTGGGGACGCTGCTGTGCACAATTGGCTGCCGCGTTTCGTCCACAAATATACGGTTAATTCACTTTACAGTCTATTCTGTGAAGCCCCTTGAGACGTCTCGAAGACCTGATCAGGCGCTGTGTCAAATGCAAAGATTATTATTATTATAGAGCTCTCGGCTCGCAAGCGAGAGGACCTGGGTTCGATTCCCGGGCAGAAAAGTCGGGCAAGTTTCCTCACTGCGCGCGCGCGCACACACACACGGACACGCCTCCGTTTACTCAGCAGGAAGTAGGAAAATGTTCCCTTTCCCTGTTTCAGGTCCAGGTGAAGGTGACGTTGACGGCACAGAGGATGAGGAAGGGCCGACGGCGCCACCTGCTGAGATGCTGGAGGATCTCGCGGGCTATGAGGGAACCATCTCATTGGGAGGTCAGGGTACTTTTTAGGTAGTTTTGTGCTGTTGAACTCATCTACAAAGGAACTGCTCTGAGCCAACAAACAGAAGAGACTTTCACCCCATCGCCCTGGAACCCAGGTCCCTAATAATAATCCTGGCATTTGATACAGCACCTGATCACGTCTTCGAGACGTCTCAAAGCGCTTCACAGGATACACTGTCAAGTGCAGTGACTGTGTATATTTTGTGGGAGAAACGGCAGCCAATTGCGCACAGCAGCGTCCCCACCGACAGTCATCCGATGCTTCACCCAATCTGAGGGCAGTCTGTTCAGTGCAGAATTTTCTCAAACAATACATGCACAGCGGCCTTTTCGACCACTATTACTTAGGATGTGGACTGTCACTGAAATGGTTTTGTGCACTTTATAATCTCAAGATTTACAATACTGAAATGAGATGCGCATCATGGGTTTTGGTTATATGATGAAATGATATAACGTTGAAGTTGATCAGTTTCCTTGGTTTCAGATGGAAACGTGGTTCCTCCACCAGCTCTTCGACTGGGTAATGAAAGTGAACAGCACGTTCCTCCTCTAGAGTGGAGGTATATCCAATCTCCTCCATATACTGTACTTTTGTCGACCTGATATCACGCTATTAGTTGGTAACCCATTTATAATTTGCACTCATTTGGATAAAATCTGTTTTTTTTAAATTGCTGAATCCTAATACTGTATTTCCCACAGACTTGGAGTAATGTAACCAGCTTTGAATGTGTCTGTGACGCAGTCTAGCGTTTTATTCTGGGTATAAATAAGTGAATAAGTTTTGCTCCTACTAGTACGTGCCCGTTTAACGATTTGGTCACTCAATCCATGACTGACTGTGCGCAATTGGCTGCCGCGCTTCGCCCACAAAACATAGTCAGTACACTTTATAGCATATTTCTGTGAAGCCCTTTGAGACGTCTTGAAGACGTGATGAGGCGCTGTGTCAAACACAAGGATTATTATTATTTGCGTCTTTTGCCAGTTCAGATGATTTGTGACTATTTCTTTCCCTTCTTTCTAGAATCCCTACCGTGACTGAAGATGTAGCCAGACACGCCTTGTACCAGTTTGCTGCCAGTCGCTGCTGTTACCAGACCAGCCCCTCTCAGGACATGGTCTTTCAAGATCTAAAACCACTCAACACGTACAGGGTAAAAAGGACCGTCATCTTCTGGTCCATTTGCTTCCTGCAGTTGGTACTTCAAAAAGAGGATAAATGTTGATATATAATTCCTGTGCCACGAGATCTGTTAGAATAAAGGCATAATGTGCAGCTGCCATTCTTTGCCCTGGTAAAGCACGATGGCCTTATAGACCTATTCATCCTGAAATTATTTGGTAGTTTCTTTTTTCTTTCAGTATCATCTCGAGACCTTCACTGAGGTCAGGTTACCCGAATGGGTCCATGTCCCATTTACTGGTGAGAACTATATACACAGTGTTGCTAACTAACGTTAACTAAAGGATCGCCAGCATGTTTGTAAGTAATGTCGTCAAGTGGAACGACTGTGTCATTGTACATAAACAAGAGAATGAAATGCGGCTCGCCTCTCAGTGCAGCAACTTGAGCAACATGCGCTTAAGTGGGATTCTCTTACAAACTCGCATGTGAGTTATAGTTCACGCTGAATAAAATTTCTTTCCTTCAAAACCCACAAAACACTGCAAAGTCGATTCGCTTTACAGTGTATTCTGTGAGGCGCTTTGAGAATTCTCGATGAGGCGCTGTATCAAATGCAAGGGTTATTATTAATTAATTATTCTGCCCCCCCCCCCCCCCAGGTCAGAAGGTTGACAGCAGTGATTATGGTTCTCCTCCCCTCCCTTGGGACATCGCAGTTAAGGCTCCTCCAATGTTTCAGAACCACACACATAAAGTCCCAGTTCCTCACACGGCCGGGGTAAAGGTAAATACCGTGTCTCTTCCTCAGAAAAAAAATGTTACTTTTAACTTTCAACTGAGTCCCTGTTCTGGATCTCACCTGCTGGACCTCCCACACCCTGATCAGGTTCACTAACCGCAGGCCATTAACAGGTACATTTAATAATTCAGTCACTCAATCCGCGACTGTTCGTGGGACTCTGCTGTGCACGATTTGGCTGCTGCATTTCCCCCATAAAGTATACAGTCACTACATTTGACAGTATATTCTGTGAAGCGGTTTGAGACATCTCGCGGACGCTGCATTTCCTGTGAGCTCTCATGTCTGGTATTTCCCTCGCTCCTAATAAATTAGGGGACGATTCAAATGTTGTGGTATGGAAATATGCACATCTCTCATTTCCATTTGGATTTACAGACCTCAAATGTTATATCGTTCCTTTTCTGACCAACAATCAATCAGTCAAGGATTATTATTATTATTTACCAGCAGGTGCAAAATACTCCATTCCCCTCACTCCGCATATATATATATATAGATAAAAAAATCTTAATTTCACAGAGTGAGAAGATAACTGGGAATGAATGGCACTTTAGAAGTCAGCAGTGGCCGAATAACCTGATTTTATTTCATACCATTTTGTTTCAGAAGTGCCACAAGTGCAGGGGCAGAGGAAAATACAAATGTGCTAAATGTTGGGGGAAAGGAAATGTGAGTATAGATCACGGAGTCTTAGTGAATTGTTCTACAATTTGCCTGTGAAGTAACGTGAGTTACAGTCTGCATTAGTACTGTACACATCCATGGTCACTGTTGTCGGGCTGTTTGACGGAGGGAAGGGAACAAACGGGGGGAGAAAAGGGAAGAACAAGAATACGATCTCAACCCAAACCAACCCTGACACCTACAAACGTTGTATGCTTCTCCCACAGAATATACAGTCACTACACTTGACAGTATATTCTTGAAGCGCTTTGAGACGTCTAGAAGACATGATAAGGCACTATATCAAATGCGAGGATTATTATAATTATAATAACATATATCTCAGCGGCATTGGGATATGAAAGTGGTTTCTTAAACAAGGTTTTAATGCTGTGTGGGGGGTGAGTGCTTCACAGGACTCCATAAAGTCAATAGATTATCAGCTTCTTTTTTTTTAAAAATAGATAAAATGTGCACCTTGCCGTGGTCATGGCATAGTGAGAAATAAACGGTGCCTTCCTTGTCACGGTACAGGAGTCATAAGGTAAAAGAAAAGCTTTATTGTATATTTTGCGTCGTTGCGCCCACAAAACACACAGTCACTACACTCTACAATGTATCCTGTGAAGCGCTTTGAGACGTCTCGCAGACGTGATAAGGCGCTGCATCAGATGCCGGGATTTTTATTATTTTCCTCAGACACAGCAGATTTTTACTCTGCAACCAACTTCACAACATCCAGTCTCACTGAGCACAGTTGCGTGAAGATTCCACGCCTCTTTTTATAAGCATTGAAGCCTCCTCAAACAAACAGGAGCGTGTGGGAACTTGCCAGCTATTTTGATGAAAGCACAAATGTCACTATTTTAAGACACAATAAAAAAAGACTCCCATTAAAATAATTCAAATACAAATGCAGGAAAGCACTTAAAAAAAACAATTCAGTCGAAGCGTGGAATGCATCGTTTGGTAAGATTTGTAGATTGAAAGTTTATTTGTTCAGTATTTTGGGTTTATTTTTTTTTAAGATGTGGCCCGTGTTTGGGGCGAGGCACAAGGACTTGTCAGGTGTGCAAGGCTAGAGGCTGGTTGTTGTTCTACATTCAACTGACCGTAAAATGGTAAGTGGCACTTTTAGGGTAAACACACACACACAGTTGGGATGCGCACTCCTGTAGCTCAGTGGAATCCCTTCAAAAATAATAAGGATTTGGTCACTCAACCCACGGCTGTTTGTGGGGACGCTGCTGTGTGCAATCGGCTGCCGCGTTTCTCCCACAAAATATACAGACAGTTCACTTTACAGTGTATCGCGTGAAGCGCTTTGAGACGTCTCGACGACCTGATAAGGCGCTGCATCAAATGCAAAGATCGTTCTATCGGACACCATTGCAGTAACCAATCAACATGCCTAAGAGCATACAAACCAGAAGGTTCCACGTACACGCTCCACCTACCTGCGTTTGGAAGGGATGGAGGGAGAGACACTTCCTGCTTATCTAATTCTCGAGAATAATAGACGTGGGTTAGCGAGAGCCAAGGCTTGAGGGAAGCCTCGAATGTGTTGGGAGTACTGCTGGAGTTTTAACAGCTAAAAACACAGTTTGTCATTGAGAGCACTATCTGGCAAAATTCTTGCTGCTTGTCTAGCAAAGACCACCCTAGGCTCCAGGGCTTTGGCTGGCAGGGCTAATGGGAAAGAGAGAGAGAATCCTTGTTCCCAGCGACTGGGCTGCCCCTGCAAGTCCTGTCAATAGGCTCGGCTGGTGGTTCTGTCATTAGTAGCGCTTTGCAGACCAACCTGGTTCCAACATAATTGTCCCAATAAGTTTCTGTCTGAACAGTAGTTTGTGTTGTTTTCATCGGGACACAAACCCACACAAACCTCACAAAGCACAATTAAAACATATCCCACCGAAATTGATCTGTGGAAACGTAATTAAGTCTTCAGAATCCGATCCCAAATAAATGACTTTTTCATTAGGGTCAACAATGCATTTGAACAAATCGCTGACCAGGAAGTTGGACTTCCTGTCACTCTCTTCAGCAAAGTGACTGGGCAGAATATCTTTGTGGACGAAAGTTACCAGGTAACAAGTGTGCATTTGTAATATTTCACAAGTTTCTCTTTGCCTACATTATTTTGAGTCTTGTAGCTCAGTGGTTAGAGCTCTCGCCTCGCAAGTGAGGGGTCCAGGGTTCGATGCTCGGGTAAGTCAGGGCGAAACCATAGGGAAGTTTCCTTACTCCACACACACGCCTCTGTATACCAGTTTACTACCGGTTGTTAGTTGATTGGCGGATCGCTTTTCCGGGTGTAATAATCTCTTCCAAAAAGAACGTGGTCACTCAATCCACGGATGTTTGTGGGACACCGCTGTGCGCAATTGGCCTCTGGGTTGATGCATTTCTTGTTTAGTAAATACTTCTCTCCCCCTCCCAGGTCTATCCTGTTTTGGGTTTCCCAGACCCTCTGATTGATCAAGCTTCCTACAAAGGGGTCCAGGAACACCAGCAGAGGTTCGCTGGGAAAACACGGATTCTACAACAGGTAACTTCAAACTTAGAATATTAACGGCTTTGGCTCTCTGTCTGTCACCTCCTCACTGGTATAATTTTATTGAGTAGAAGATAGGATTGTTTGCCATAACAAATAAATGTTCAGGTGGATGTTAAAAGATACCACAATACTATTGGAAAAGAGAAGGTAGTTTCTCCCTCCCGGTGTCCTGGCCAACAATCCCCCAGATAAAATTGGACACTTAATCCATGGCTGTTTGTGGGACGCTGCTGTGTGTAACTGGCTGCCACGTTTCGCCCACAAAATACAGTCACACCACTTTATACAGTGTATCCCGTGAAGCGCTTTGAGACGTGTTGCCGACCTGATAAGGCGTTATATCCAACACCAGGATTAACAATAATCCTTGCATTTGATACACGCCTTTTCACGTCTTCGAGACGTCTCAAAGCGCCGCATTATAATTATTACTACTACAACAACAAAGTACTGTTTCCTTTTGATAGCGACAGACAATTGAGCTCATTCCAGTCACCCAAGTGCACTTCCAGTGGAAAGGACGGACACACGACTACTTTGTGTACGGGACCGAGAACAAAGTGTACGCTCCCCACTACCCTGCCAAATGCTGCTGCACCATCTTATAAACTCACAGCTGCACCAGAACTTCACCACAGTATATCCGAGGAGCAAACGTTTCAAGACCAAGATCAGCTTTTCTTTTAAATATAAACTTAATGTAGCGACTGTGAAGCAACCAGTATCGTTGTACCTTATCTATCGTACACCACTAGTTACAAGGATAACTACACACCACAGTACCCACATTAGTATATCTGGTTCGGCTCGTGAATGCACCAGGTTCTGTTATCATCCCTGCACTACTCTATCGACCGTGTATAAAGGCCACATTTGAAAACTTTTAAATTGTCCGAGTTAAATGAACTTAACGGTTGAGCTGCAGCAAGGTTAGCATGACATTATCACAACGTTCACAAGCCATGCGATGACAGCAAAGCTTTTAGTGCGTTTGCTGAAGATATTGATAGAGGAACGACTTAATGTAAAGATCATATAACACAGTGCAGCAACTCCTAAGGCAAATTGGTACTTCACCTATATCTAGCCCTGGGGACAGAACTAAATGAAGTGCACAAATCTAAAGAACAAAGCATTGAACAAGTCCATTACTCCCACAGAATACGATGCAACACATCATCAGCTCTACCCCACCCATTTCACAAGGAAAAATACTGCAATTTACTGTTTTAAATCCTTTTTCTGTATCAAAATGTACATCCACAATGAGAGATTTCCACCTGAATCAGACCACAAAACCACTCACCTGTATCTCCAATCCCTGCTCAACTTCTCCTCTCGTTCTCAGATGCCTTGTACAAGCCCCCAAACCCACTGTGTGCTTTCCGTATCCAATTAAACAGCAACTGTCGGCAAACGAGTCAGCTGTGGGGGTTTAACAACAGCTGAACCTATTATTCCCTCACTTTCCAGCAACGGTTATCGAATAGTAATCAGGAGGTGAAACTCTGACTATTTCATTCACCTGCCCAGCCCATGGACTAATTTATAGTATCCAAGCACTGTGCTGCCCTGACTCAGCTCACGTCAGGATTGATCCTCGATCTCTCTGGAGTGTGTTTTCTCATGAAAAGAGGGTAAGGGGTGACCCGATAAGAGGTCTTCAAAATGATGAAAGGTTTTGAGAGGGTCGACATAGGGAAGATGCTTCCACTTGTGGGGGAGACCAAAACCAGGGGCCATCAATATAAAATAGTCACAAGCAGATCAAATAGGGAAGTTAGAAGAAATGTATTCACACAGAGAGTGGCGGGAATGTGGAACATGTTACCACAAGGAGTTGTTGAGGCAAATAGCATAGATGTATTCAAGGGGAAGATGGAGAGGTACGTGAGGGAGAAAGGAATAGAAGGTGATGCTTGAAGGCTTAGTTGAGGAAGGGCAGGAGGAGGCTCAGGTGGAGCATAAACACCGGCACAGACCAGTTGGGCTGAACGGCCTATTTCCGTGCTGTACATTCTAATGTATAGATCAGCACATCAGATGGTACTTACCCATTGAATGATTGAAAGCCTTCACCTTATCAATTGTAACGTATGGAATAAAGAGCAAACCTGAGATACATGATCGACACCAAACTCATATGAAACTATAATCCACAAATGCTTTCATCACTCAAGAGATCATTGATCACTAGATACACATATATATATCTATGCTGGAAACCTGAAATAAAACTAGAGAATGCACAGGAGATCAGTACACATAGCAGAACTTAAGAGATGAACGTGAAACACTGTCGAATTTTTCTTTCAGATGTGGAGCTATTTAAATGGTTGGTATGATATATTTCCTATATAACAAAGTGTCTATCCTTAATGGGGAGGGAGAGGGAAAAAACACTGCTGATAAAGATCAAACTGCTGCAGAAACTAACATTTGGACGTTCTTCTTGTTGCGCCACAGGTCACTGTTCAGTGATTGAGAGGCAGCAGTTACTTAAAACAAGTTCTTGATGTCATTGTATGTAAGACAAGCAGAACTGTACTGAAGTGTGTAAATAAAAGGCACTCAACCTCAATCATTGGTGATATCAAGCTTACTTTTCTGTTCACTTTAAGTGCTGTGTAATTACACTGATCACAGATTCGGAAATAATAATTGGACCCATCAGTTGCTTTCAAAGCTGTTATTACACAGGTCATCTGCTTTAGAACACTGTGGGAGGGGTGAAGAGAATTTAGAGTATTTTCACTGCCCTTCTTTTCTGCATATATTCCTTTTAACATCCCCCAGTGCTCCCCCTCCTGATCTGCATTATCATTTCTGCCACCTTATACTGCTTTCACCCACAAAATATACAGTCAATTCACTTCACGGTATATCCTGTGAAGCACTTTGAGACGTCTCAAAGACACGATTAGGATTAAGTGTATCCAATGCAAGGATTATTATTATTATTATTTCCCAGTTGATAAAACAATTTCTCCAAATAATAACGAACGTATAATGAGTTCCAGTTCCATTTCCAACATCCATTTGTAAATGGAAGACAAACGCAAGTGATTCTCAACCTTCTACCTGAAACAACCTGCAAGTCATGTCTATAAAATAATAATGTAAGTTAGTGAGCAATATATTATATAAATGTGCATTTCAGCAGAGGTAAATCCAGAGAGAATCTCTTCATGGGGAGGGATGGGGTATAAAGAGGGGTAAGAGAGCAGATACAGAAAAGGCAGACAGAAGACACAACAAGATTTATGTAAAGGGAGGCATGAAGGGTAAAAGGAAGAGGTGCAGAGGGAGTTGGGGAGTGCACAGAGACAGCAGGAACATTCAATGCACCAAGGGAAGGAAAGGAAGCAAGTGTAAATAGAAGCCAGAGCAGACAGATTCATCCTCAGGCAGAGCAGACAGACAGGAAGAGAGAAAAAAAATGCACCTTAAGAAGAAGCCTTTGCCCACAAAATACAGTCAATTCACTTGACAGTATTTTCTGTGAAGCACTTTGGGACGTCTCAAAGACTTGATAAGGCGCGAGCGATATCAAATACAAGGATCATTAGGAGTATTATATTAAGGCAGAAAGTTGAAAATGACAAGATGCAAAGACAAGACAGATAGAATACAGAAAACGTGGACGACAAAAGGATTTAGCGGACAGATATTAAGGAGGAGGAGGGGGGAAAAGCGTCAAACTCAGAAAGGGAGGCAGACGGGAGAGAAAAACCTACAACAGTGCGGTACTGAAAACCTGAAAATCTCTAACGACCCTAAATTCTCTTTTCTCTCAAATAAACTCTTTACAGAACCATTCTCTTTGTTTCACTGTGAGCACACTACGATTTATTTAAGACTCATGAAACAAAACGCTGTTTTTTTACGCTTAGGTGGTGATTATATTTTATAGTTTACGGTCAACTTTATCATAAAAAAGTGGGAAATCAAAAGCATTTGGGGGAGGGAGCACCGATATAGAAACCTCTTGATCTGGGTCTTTAACTTTTGGCGTGTGAAAAAAAGTCAAGGACAGAACAGAATTAAAAATACAACATTAGACATGGCTTTACTGACAATTCTGAACTTTCTTCATACAACCAATATCTTTTTGTTTAAAAAAACCAAACAAATGAAAAGTCAAAATTCCATCTCAAGGAATAAAAGGGCTGCGTGGTTAAAAACAGACTACAGAATTAGGACGTCTAAAAGTTCGGCCTCAGACACATTTGTTTGGTTTCGCATTCAATGCCCCAAAGACACTTGAACTGAATTGGCAGCTCAGCCCAGTCCAAACAGAGAGGAGAGTTTACACTTTATTCAATGTGAAGGAGTCTCTCAGACAGAGTCTCGGACTATTACAACCACCAAATGATCTTCGTCCACTTTTCCCAATGTCCTAAGAGCGGCCTGGAGGAACTGTTGGGAGAATTCACAGGGTGGGAAGGCGTACAGCATCCCCGTGTTATCCTTGTCCTTCGGGCCGCCGATCGGCAAACTGATTACCCCCGCAGCTTGTTTCTGCTTCAAATAGGACACAAGGTTCCTGAGGAGTCTCTGCTGGAGACCAGGTTCCACCGCCACAGCCCCAGCTCCCCCCTCAGCCCTTGGTGGGGCCTGCACAGCAAGCAACACAACGTAACCGTCAGGGCTGCCCTGTTTGATGCGACGAGTCACTTCATCCAATTTGGGCTGGTCAAGGCGAAGGCGCTGTGCGATTTTCAGCTGAGAAACTTTAACACCGGTCGTAAAGTCCTTCAGAAGAACATTTACCACAGCAAGGTCTCCCTCTAGAGTGTGCATATTTGTTGGAAAGCAGCTGTTTTTAAGTACGAGGACACCATTCCAAGCGAGCGTCAGTGTTTGGGCGAACTCCATTAAGTTGGTTGGTTTCTTGGTCTCTGGCTTTGGCTCCTCGACGCAAGATTTAGCCTCGGGCTCAATTTCACTAGTTCTATGATTACGGTCATTCTCTTTCTTTTTCAATTGTATGGGTTCGTGCACTTCTGTGAGTGTTTTATCTTCGGCAGTGGCAGAGGCGTGTCGATTGTCGGGGAGTACAGGAACCTGTTCCTTATCTGTCCCGCTGTCTGCTCCTCGAGCATCACGATTCCTCTTGTCCGGGCTTTGTTCTAAAGAGCCCCGGAGCTTTGCCCTCACACGCTCTTCGTAGGGTGAGTGAACAGGACGTGCCCGATCGTTGGAAAGGCTCCTTTGTTTCCTCCGCTCCTCCCAGGACTTGACAATACTGCGATCATTCTCTCGCTCGTTCTGCCATCGGTCCCGACTTCGGCTGCGGATTGAAGTGCTGTAATTGTCGGAGTTGTTCCGTCGGTCCAGGCTTTTGGCGGGACTCGTCCAGTCCCCATCAGCGAAGTTCCTCTCCCTGTCATGGTACAAGGGGAGAGGCGGGGTCCTGTCCCGAGTCCTCGGCTCGGTACGTTCCAAACTCCTGTGCCGCCCATAACCATCAGCGAGCAAGTCATAATGTACCGGCAATGGTACCTGCTGATACTGCTGCTGGTAACGACTCTCCTCAACCTTCGCAAAATCGACTCGCAGTCTCCGGTCGGGTCCTCCGAGAGGAAATCCCCGCATCTGCGCACAAGCTGCTTGAGCAGCGTCCAAACTCTCATACTGTATGTAAGCAAAACTATCTCCTTTAACATAATCAATGGTACGAATACTGCCAAAGCGGTCAAATTCCCTGGCCAGGGCAGCCAGCGACGTTAGCGGGCCAAGTCCGCCAACCCACAAGCGAGTGGTCGGGTTTGCTTTGCCGTAGCCAATCTTAACGTGGTTCCTCCCGATCATACGGCCCGACATGGCCACCTTCGCCCGGTGCGCCATGTCTAAATTCTGAAACTTTAAGAAGCCGTAAGCGCCCCCCTGCCCTCTGGCCGGCCGTTTGATGACCACCTCATCGATGATGCCGTACTTCTCGAAAGCTCGTCTCAAATCATTCTCGGACACGTTGTGGTCCAAGTTGCCGATGAACAAATTCCTGGTGGCCCTTTTGTCGTCTTCGGGCATCAAGTCGTCCTCCTGCACAGGGTAGCTGAACGCCCGGCCGCGCTCGTCGTACATCCCGTAATAATCCAAAGACCTCTCCCGCTCCCTGGGCAAGGGCACGGTCTCCAGCGGGTAGTTGGCGTGCCTCGTTCTTTGATCCCGGAGGGCGCAGGCCCCCGGAGACAGAGACCGCTGCCTGTACTGGTACCCGGCGTGAACGGGCACGTAGTTGACCTCCGGCGGGGTGCAGCTCCGCCGCTTGGGGTAGACGGGTTCGATCTTCAGGGCGCGGTCGTACAGGACCAACCTGCCCTTGGCGTGCCTGGCCTCCTTGGCGTCCTCGTGGTGCCGGAAGTGCACGTACGCCAGCCGGCCGGCCTCGGGCGTGTGGGACGTGGTGATGCTCACCTCCCCGAACTTCTTGAACTCGTGGAAGAGGCTGTCCTCCACCGCCTCGTTGGTCAGTTGGGCGCCCAAGTTACTGACCACCAGCATCTTGTAGTCCAGCCCCGCGCTCGCTCTGCCGCCGCCGCCGCTGTTGTTGTTGTTGCTGTCCCCCCCTTTGCTCTTCTGCCCGGAGGAGGAGGAGGAGGAGCCGCCGGCGGTCCGGGCCGAGGGCGGTCTGGCGGTGTTGGCGGCGGCGGCGGCGGTGGTGGTGGCGGCTTCGTGTGGGTGATGGTGGTGCCCTCGCTCCTCCCCCCCACCCCCACCCCTCCTGCCGCCGCCGCCGCCGCTGTTGCTGTTGGACTTGTCGCCGCTGCCCGGGGCTCGGTCTCGGCTGCGGCTGCGGCTCCGCACCGCCTGGTGTTTGTTGCTCAGCCCGGCCTTGTGGTAGTTACCCCCTCCCCGGCTCCCCTCGCAGTCCTCGCGGCCTCCCCGGCTCTCCCTCCCGGCCTCTCCTCCCCGGTCCCGGTTTTCCCGCTCTCTCTCTCCCTCTCCCGCTCGCGCTCTCTCTCCCTCTCCCTCTCGCGCTCCCTCTCCCGCTCCCGATCACGTTCCCGCTCGCGCTCCCGGGGCCTTTTGGCTGATCTCCCGCCGCCGCCGCCGCCCGGGGCCGAACCGGGGCTCGAATCGCGCTCGCTCTGCCTCTTCATCCTGACCTGTCCCTCCTTCCCTTTCCCCGCTCGCCGCCAGCTCGGCCCCCGCTTTCCCGCTTACTCTCGTCCCGAGGCTTCACCCCCACTCCCCACTCCCCACTCGCCGCCGCCAACCCCCCCAAACCCCCCCACCGCGAAGCCCGCGCTAGGCCGCAAACCAGACTCCCGCCCACACCGGCCCCCGTGACCCCTGACCCGGGCCCCAACCGACCGCAAGCCGCGTGGAAAGGAACGAACGGATGGTCGCGGCCCCGGCCCCGGCCCGCGTGCACACCCAGCGCCGCCGCCGCCGCCGCTACAAAAGAACCGTTACTGCCTCCCCGAGCCTCCCGGCCGCCATATTGCCAGTCAGAGAGAAACCCCCCCCCCCTTCCCGAAGAATGCGCGCCGCTTTCCAGCCGGCCGGTCGGCGCCGTACGTCACCACGCCTCGCGCCGCACGTCACCGCGCCTCGCGCCGCCGTGTCAGCACGTCACCACGCCTCGCGCCGCACGTCACCGCGCCTCTCCGCCCTTTCTGTCAGCTCCGGCCAGCCGACCCGCGCGCTACGTCACCGCGTCTCGCGCTCCGCTCGCCGGCAGAGCCGGAGGGAGCGCGCGCGCCGCGCGGCTTTGGATGACGTCAACACGTGGCTGGCTGGCTGGCCCGCCCACCCACGTGGCCCCCACTCCAGCTGCTTGGACCCACCACCCCAACCTGTTAGTCAGTCAGTTAGTAGTTGGTTAGTGAGTGAGTTAGTTAGTGCTTTGGCTGCTGGTCAGCAGGAGCTCCCGAGGACTGGTCGGCCCTTCAGCCCCTGGGATACCGCGGCTCAGGAACCCGGACTGGAGGCCGTCCCCCCGGTGGGGGAGGGGTTGGGGGTCGATTCCATTGCCAAACGCCTCACTTTGGGGCCAGTTCAGCACTTGGTAATTTGGTGCAAACAAACTTCAGCCAATGTGGGTCCAAACCGATCTGCCGGTGGGGATACCTCACAGTACCAAAGGCTCCTCCGAGTGTCACTCGTGTGACGAGTCGTTTTGGTTTTAAAAAAAAATTAACCTCCACTGATGCTCATCACACGAAGGGATTCTTAAACACAATTGCAATCCGGGTCGTTCTTCCTGACTATTAATATCACCTCCGACACTCATCACTGCATTGACAGGAATAGGAAACGGATAAGAAAAGCACTGTGGTTTCCTCGGCCGAGGGGAGGCGGATGCTATTTTATTACGGAAAGTTTTAATCTCCAGCAATGTGCAGAAGTCTCTCGGAGTGAATTACCAGCTCAGCCGCAGAGGTCCACAGCAGATTAACTAACACACAGGAACCAGTAATGTGATTGGGTGTTTCAAATCCAACATCATACAATCAGGTTTCTGGTGCCAAATCTGGGCAACCGGTTGGGTAACTCGAAATTGAGCCAAACACTAGTAGCTGGAGTGTCCCTGCAACTGTACACCGATCAGTCAGCCATCAATCCTGGTAACACTATGGAAATTGCATCAAAGAGGAAATGAAGCAGCTCAATGCCCTCAGCAGGTAGCCAACCAATGATTAATACACACAATAGTCTGATCCCATCAACAGCTTTTGTCCACACGTGGACTTCTCCGCCCAGGGAATGAGCAGGCACGGGAACCCGGGTTATTTCTTCCTCCATAAATCAAGGCACGAGGCTAATTGTACATCATCAACTGCTCGCCTGCTCAGCTCAGTGCAGCACATGAATGATACCTGTATCTGGTCTCAATGGTTTGTTTCTGCAGTATTGACAGTATCTTATCCTGCCTACCATTACCAACAAAAACAATATATGGAATATTAACCTTCAAAGTGACAGATTTAGCCAAAATATTTTAATTAACAATGTACAGTATTTCTTCAGTACAATTTCTCAGAAAAATGAACTTTACAGACATTAAAAAGTATACGAAAGCTGTCAGTGTGCGCGCTTGATGTAGGATGCTTTCTTCACTCTACACATCCAACCATGTAACTTGCAAGTCTCCATGGGGGTTCCTTGCAATGAAAGGAAACTTGCTCATCTACCCTCCCTCCTGCTTGGATCCTTAAACAGACTTTCCAGATTTCCACCATGAATCCTGACATTGGTTGACAAAACAATTAAAATTAATTTCCAGAATTAGGTAAACAGGAAGCGTCCCTCCAGTGAGAGAGAGAGTGAGAGCGCATTCCATTCCAACATTCTGTCTCTGGGATTTCCATGTGTGGGTGGGATTGGTTTGGATACTCTTTAAGAATGATGATGGGTTTCTTCATGTGTCAGACACCCGGCTGTCCAAATAACATTGACAAAATAACCAATGAGGAGTCATAACATTACTTAGTAACTTCAGGAAGATGCAGGTTGTATTTGCTGTCTGTTGTTGGGATCAAAAATCCAGGAGCATACTCAAAGCCAAACTCATCAGCACCAGTTTCCAAGTCTGACAATTGTACTGCAACAGTGGACATCTCACCATGTATCAAAACCCACAGCATCTGAAAAGGTTACTGGCATATTCTTTAAATGTTACTTTAAAAATCTAGGCAGCAGAGATAAATAACCGAACTGACAGAAACCAGCACTGACAAGTATTCAATACACCTTAGCTAAGGCTTTTTATGAATGGGAAATATAGAATTCAAAAGAAAAGTCAATACATATCTTAAAACTGTCTTACTATCAGTCCTAACCCAACAAATTCCGGTAAGGCCCACTCTTTCAAATAGAACTAGAAAGGCATTCAACTCATCTTATTTTAAATAAAGTATTAAATCAACATTGCCAACGGTGCTACGGGTACAAATGCAGCCTAAGATGGAGTACTCTTTCACTTGTTCTCTGTGCCAGGAAAGAGAATGTGCTCGAGATGCCCCTGAACTCCATTCACAGCACATCCCCAAAGATCAACAATGTATAGCAACAGTTGGAGTGCCAACGTGCCTCACACACACGTGCATATACAGGCCTGATTAGGTGCGATAACCTCGCTTTCAGATCCCTGAGCATTACTTAGCCTATATGTACACTCGAATGCAACTCATTCATTATCCAGAAACAACACGTAGCAAAGCTCCCGAGACGAGGGAACAAGCAAATCGGACTCGTGGTTCGCAGCTGACTTTCAATACAGAGAAAAAACGAACAGCATTGTAATCGTCCCCCATCAAACACATTACTCAAACCTTTTGAGCAAGAGAAAAAGATGGAACACTTATTGCTAGAGGAAAGGGAGATTTAACATCAATCGGTCTGGATTCTTTTACAAGCCAGGATCTAGAGTTGAAACATCATTGTCGGCAAATGAAAGAGCTGTTAACACAATGTTGATACACCTTCAGAAACCCCTTCTCACAGACCCACACAGCTCAGTGGTAAGTAGAATTGCTAAATTTTGGTTATCCTTTTAGGAGCTTGAGAAACTTACTATCATGCACTCCCAACTCGTGAGGTTTTTTTCCCAAAACAACACAGCTCTAACAAGCAGCACTTCCAAAGAAACATTTTTATTTTATAGCAAATCTCAGACGTTAGTCCCTTTTTATTAATAAATTATAAAAAAGGTGAGTGAAAAAACAATGAAAATGTACAATAGAGAGGTGGTCACGAGGCGCTATGAGTTACTAAAGGTCTCTCCTGATCTTAGCATCATTGGGAGCGTACAAGTGCATCAATTCTTTGATTTTTCGGATAAAGTCTGATTTCTCTGCACAGCCTTTGCACGATTCTCCCCACACGTCCAAGATCTTCTTCAGCTCCTTAACTCGGAGGGTCTTCAGATCTACAGTGCTGAGATCCACCTGCTTGTCTGTCATACAACACAGCAGAAAAGAGCAGATTAATAAAAATGTTCAGTGGCATCCTCATACATTAATCCTTGCATTTGATATCGTGCCTTATCACATCTTCAAAACGTCTTAGTGCTTCACAGAATATACTGTAAAGTGAATTGATTGTATAGTTTTTGAGCGAAATGTGGTTGTGGATTGAATTAAATTTTTTTTAAAAGTGATCCACCAATTGACTAAAAAACAGGTTCCTTCTTACTGCTGGTAAACAGAGGTGTGTGTGGAGTAAGGAAACTTGCCTAAGGTTTCGTCCTGCCCGGGAATCGAACCCAGGTCATCTCGCTTGCGAGGCGAGCACTCTAGCCACTGAGCTACAGGACTGCACAAATACAAGGAAATGCAGCTGCAAACAGGCCCCAGTGCTACTGTAATCAATAAGATGTAGAGGTGACAGATAGAGAGAGGCATTAGTAGTGGAGAGCTTACCGTATTTCAGCTCACAGATCTGACTATCCATCTTCTTCAGCTTCTCACAGATTTTCTCGACTGGCATGTGATAGCTCATGGGCTTGGAGACTTCGTTAATTATTTTTGTTGCTGCATCACTTGTGGCTCCCAAGTAATAACACTGAAAACAAGCGAGAGTCAGTTAATAAGTTTAGGATTCTGCTGCCTTCCCTTTCCAGATTCTCCCACCACTCTCCTCTTTAGACACCAGTTAGATGATGATCTAAGAATTAGTGTGGCCTCAACAGGCAGTCCAATTTCACCCCCCCCGCAACCACTCCATCTCATCTTGCCCACCCACTCCCCCCAGTAGCCCGTAAATGTTATGTTTCTGGAAGGGAAACAAAAAACCTTTCTCAAATAGGGTACCCAGCCCTTAGCAGCCAACAGGTTGGATGCCCCCTGATCTAAGGTAACAGCACTCCCTTCTCTCTCTACATCTAAATAAGCAACTCAATGGAGAATCACATAAATTGAGTCATTCCATTATCCAGATGGCTAGGGTTGAGTCTTCCACCAGAATCTGCATGATCAATGAATTCATAAAACTACAGGATCCTTATGATAAATTTCTTTTTGGTTACATACTTGAATCAAACAATTTTGTGATCCAACTAATTTTACTGTTGAAATAAACACTGTGGGGTCATTCATCAGAGGTGTGTGTACAAGGTGAAAAAAACGCCATGACAGTAAACCTGCGACGCAGTGGATGCAATCCACATAAATTTTAAAGTACAATACATGTAAAATTGACCACTTACAAATCTGTTCTCCTTGCCCTTGACACCCTTGCACGCTTTGACAAGGTGTTTCTCTATACTAGGAGGAGTGAACTCCACTTGGTCATCATTTAGGATCTTGTAAAGCCGCTCCAGGAAACTAACACAAACTGAAAGAAAAGAAAATCGTCCTTCATTAACACTTCCGCACAGAAGTTGGTACCTACCCACAGCACAAGGCTGACGGGCAAACCCTTCAACTGGGTGTCAAATGGAACCAGCAAACAAGTACCTTGTTGGTTTTCATAGAAATTCATTCATACAAATCATCTAAGCCAGAGGTTTGCAATGGGTGGAAATCCTAACTTTCTCTTGTTCACGTTTACAATAACAGATTACATTTATATAGATAATGCTCTTCACACAAGATAACGTTAGGGTAAAGGGTTGGGCACTGAGGAATGGGGGAGTTGGCCATAGGCACATTCAAAGAGGTAGGATTTGAGGTGGGACTTAAAAAAACAAAAATAGTGGGGGTGAGATGGAGTGACAGGGAGTTGGGGAACTGAAGGCTTGGCCACCAATGGTGGAGAGGAGAGAACGCACAGCGAGCACAAGGAACCAGAGCAGAGTGGGTGGGTGCAAGAGCAGGTCATGAAAGACCCCAAAGGAAGGCAAACAATTCACAGTTAAAGGACACTTCATAATAGACACACAGGTGCATCCCAAACCACTTGTAGATCAGCTTACAACCTCTGAATATTCATCTGGTAGAGGTGATTGATCAGTTAAATTTCTCCCAGCCGCACCCACCCCACCTATTTGTAACTTCCAGCAAAACAATGAATTCATTTTGCATGTACGATAACTATTAGGAGGAAAATAGTCTTTCATTGTCATTCACAGTTCAAAAGGTAGGGGATCCTTTGTGGCACCCAGATAGTATGATAGTAGCAAAGACTGAGATGCTATGGAAGTCTGTCACTATAAATAACATCACACACAAATTGGGCTCATGTGTCGGAAGTACACAATATGAACTAACTTACAGAGAAATACATGTTTGTGACACATTCAGTGGCCCATTAGCACAAGCACATTGGTTGCCGTCTAAACCAGCAACTTGGCTAAGCTTCATGTGCCCAACCATCAACTTCTTCACAATTCAAATGACACATCAGCCAACTTGTACCCATCAAAGAAATCACCGACAGGCAGCCAGTCTCCCCTCACCATCACGTCTTGGCTCAGTTGGTAACCATCTGACTTCAGGGTCAAGCCCCCACCACCCACCAGTTTGAGATCAGTCTGGGAATGACATTCAAACACGTCATCTATCAAATGACACAGACAGGAACAGGAGGCCATTCAGCCCCTCGAGCCTGTTCCGCCATTCTATTCTACAAGATCATGGCTGATCTGTACCTCGCCCCGTATCCCGGTACCCCGACCTCACAAAGGTCTATCATCAGAGCCCCACCGCCTCTGTGTCTGTGTCTCTCTGTGTGTCTGTGTGTGAGTGTCTGTCTCTCTGTGTGTCTGTGTCTCTGTGTCTGTGTGTGTGTGTGTTTCTCTGTGTGTAAGTGTCTCTGTGTGTGTGTGTGTCTCTCTGTGTCTGTGTCTCTGTGTGTGTGTGTGTGTGTGTGTGTATGAGTGTCTGTCTGTCTCTCTCTCTGTGTCTCTCTGTGTGTCTGTGTCTCTCTGTCTCTCTCTGTGTGTCTGTGTCTCTCTCTGTGTGTCTGTGTGTGAGTGTCTGTGTGTCTCTGTGTGTGTCTGTGTCTCTCTGTGTGTCTCTCTGTGTCTGTGTGTCTGTGTCTGTCTGTGTCTCTCTGTGTGTGAGTGTCTGTGTCTCTGTGTGTGAGTGTCTGTGTCTCTCTGTGTGTCTGTGTGTGAGTGTGTGTGAGAGTGATGCCTCTCAGCCTCTTACCTTCACAATCGCCCTCCTTCAGGGCCTCAACCGGCATCACCGCCATCACCGCCACCGTCACCAGGGCCACAGCCGCCACCAAACGGCTCGTCAACGGCATCGTCTCGGGGTCGTCCAACACCGCCAAGTCCCCCACAGTCTCCGTCACAGTCCCCCTCACAGACTGACTCTCACGCCCTCACTAACCGCCTTCACCGCTCACCAACTGACTGACCGGCAGCTCGGCGCTGTGTGCAGCGCAACCAAACTATCCCTCGCTCCACCCCATTGGCCGCTCGCAGTCCCGCCCCTCGCCATCCGCTGCTCTGATTGGGCAGCACTAGCGTCACTCGCAGCCGCGTCACCGCCAGGCTAGCGGGTTAGGTTGTACCCGGGCTCCCGGCGGCCAGTTGGCGCCTCGTGATTGGCGGGGTCGGCAGCGCCGGGAGCCAATGGGGAGCGGACAGCGGGCTCTCCCCGCAGGCGGCTGCGCGTCACTTCCTTGGTTACGCGGTTGCTGGGCGCCGCGTGTACGTCACTGCGCCGCGGGGTCACGTCACTGCGTCTTTAAAGAGCCATCAGCACAGCTGAGTTGGCAGTGCTGTGCGTGTGTTCAGTTATGGTCGAAACACAAAACACAGTCACTACACTTTACAGTGTATTGGGAGACCCGTATCTCAGTGGCTGGTTGGAGCCCTCTGGAGCGAGCGAGCGAGCGAGCGGGAGGGAGGGTTCCTTACGCCCCACGTTACCAGCGGTCAGGAGGAACCCGGCGGCCGAGTTGTGGGCGGATCGCTTTTCTGGGGGTAATAATCCCTTTCACAATAGTAATAATAATGATAATAATTTGGTCCCTCCGCCCGCGGCTGTTGGTGGGAACGCCGCTGTGCGCGATCGGCTGCCGCCTTCCGCAAACAAATTACGGTCCCGTTCACTTTGCAGCGTATCCTGTGAAGCGCTTCTCGAGACGTCTCGAAGACCTGATGAGGCGCTGTGTCAAATGCAAAGATCATTATTGATATTATTAGTCGCCACACCCAGCAATGAGAGAAAGTTCCGAGCTTTTCCTCGGGTGACTTCTCGCTCATGTCTGAGTTTGCTTAGGATGTTCTTGCATTTGTAACAAGTGTTTTTTTTTCTCTTCACAGAGACTATCTACTTAGATGAACATGTTGTTTATTTGACGACTAAAACAATATTGTTCGACTGGTAATAGACATGTTTTATGAGCATCAGGTGGCGCTGTCAAACTTACGTTGAGTTTATTCTCTACGTGACGAGGTGATGCCTCATGAGAGTTTGCTGCGCAGCTAAAACCAAGACACAGAATTACTTGTTAAATCAAGACTTTAATTTTTAGGCATTAAGGAATTACACATCACAGCAATTTGGTGAATAGGAAAACAAATTGCAAGTATTTACATCTAAAATTCACATCACATTGTCTGACATGCTAACACAATATATACAGTAAAATCCCCCTATCGGTACTTTCTTTCACCAATTCGTCCTGACTGTTTCCCTGAACGGAACAGAAAGGGACAATTCTATTAAGTACACACAACAGGAGTGGGAAGGTCTTTCTGAAAGTACAACTGAACAGTGAGTCTTGTGAAAAGTCATGTGCCATTATGGCTATGTGCTTTTCTCAACCCATTCGCCCTCCCTCTACCCCCTTCCTCTCCCCCACCCCCCACCCCACTCCCCAACCACCCCACAAAGCCTGGAAAGTCAAAACTGGCTTCAAGTATCCCCCCCTCAGTCAACAGTTGGTTTGCTTCACCTAACATTAGATAGATGACCTGCTTTAACAAACCCATTGCCACTTCGTGCAATGGGAATGAAGCAGTTTGCAAAGAACTGAGTGCAATGTTTAGCAACCACAGCGTCCCCCCCCACCCCACCCGCCCCCCACAGGACTTGAGCAATAGTCAGTGACCTTTCAGCCCAAGCCAAATGTAGTTTGGGTATAATTAAGCCATCAAATGCCATTGAATGGGAGTTCGATTAAAAACCCTTTACAAAATATCCTCGGCAGATAAGACGTCTCATCAGCAGTTTCTCTTTTTGCCCATTGTTAAAAATTCATAAATACATAGCATTCAAAAGGAAGATTTATACAAAAGCAACATGAATGGGCACTGACAAGGTCAACGAGAGACAGACACAATTCAAAAGGGGACAGCTTTACGTCACTGTGCAGATAATACGTTGTACTCACCATTCATCAGAAACAGGGCTCAAATCAGGAGTAACCCATGATCACAAAAGTGCGGCTTATACTGTGTCATTTCAAACACTTGCTGCTGTACAGTAAACTGGACTGTAAATTACAATGTTCACAAAAATACATCTCACATGCTTTTGTTACAGCACACACTCCAGTGCAGTGTACTGTGAAGAAAGCACTGTAATAGCTTAGATATTAAATAAGAACAATGCCTATTAAGAGATACGTTACCGTTATACATTTAAATTGCAGGTTTTTTTTATACAGTTTTTTTTAAAACCCCAAATTCTTCACATTTCATTTTCTTTCACTTAAATCCAGGCAAAACTCTTGACGTTTCGCTGGCTGGTAATAGAACATCAGGTTGAAAAAGCAGCATTTCTTTTTTTTTAAAAAAATGTTTTAAACAAATAAAATTATTTTTTCCCGTCTTATCGAACAAGTGTTCCGATAGAAACATCCAGTAAAAAGATGAGAATGGGAGTGTATGCACAGACTATAGTATATGTAATGCACTTAAGACCAGTAGATCACTATGTACCACCTTAGCAGCATCAGGAATCAAAATGAAAAGGAACAACAACTGGTTTTCTACCCCAATAGCCCTTTCACATTTTTCCTGGGAATATTTCAACAGCAGCTGTCTTAAACTCAAATTCTGATGATAGATAACCGAGTGATTGATTGTATGTTGTAGTTGAAGGCTTCACTCATTCCCTCCCCCTCCTTCCCCCAGGAAAAAAAATAGCATAGTGCTCTACTCTGCTATACTTCATTATCAGGACACAAAATACGGTTTCTATACAAGAGTGCTTCATTAAAGTAATTTATCCCAGAGATATTTCCTACAAAATATACTTTTCGCCAAACGGGTTTATTCAGTACTTCTCGGGCTACAGTAGCATTCAACCCCATAACAATATCCCCATAATTATCACTTTGAGAGGAAGTTGGATCATACAATATTTATAAGATATTATAAGGAAGAATCACAATCGCTTTTAAATGAGCTCTACTTTTAATTCCAAATGTTAGTTCTTCGGAATTATAATTTTGTTGCTTTATACACATCCTCTGTCCTCTTTATTACAATTCTGATATTTTTACAATTCTAGCTACCACTGAATCCTGTAGATCAGTATGTATCATACTCACACCACAGTGTAACACGTTTCATTTCCATATCCCTACTTTCACATGCACAAAGTAGAGAAATCCTGCAAAACGTGACCTTTACAACTTTGTCCTTGGATTCTCTGAAGTACCACATAATACTGTATTGTTTATTGTTCCTTCAGTTATAGAGATGCTATAAAATACTTCCTTTAGCACACAGCCACCTTTATGAATACACTTTCCGTATATCTTGCCAATGTAGTCATGAAAAGAATGAAACTTTTACTCCAATACAGCATCTTGTATTTGCTTTGACACTATTCCTCACACACACAGTAAAAACTGATGTGATTCACCTAGATTGGGAAGTGTGTCTCGAGGCGTAAAAGGACAGGACAACACAAAACCATGTCAGTGAGGTGTGGTGATAAACTGAGGAGAGGAATCGATCGTAAAAGGTTTCAAAGTAGCGAAAAACTTTTTAATTACAAAAGTGATTCTTTCGAAGCTTCAGTAATTAATTGTACAAAAAGTCACTAAAATACCCCCAAACTGTAGTGTTAATTTAACGTTTGCCTACCCCTATCCCATGTACATGAAAGTATGACGATAGTTGAATGAGGTCATGAAGTAAGGAAGGAACTTTGACTTTTCTAAGTCAAAACCTCTTTATCTGTAATCGTTACCAATGTCTGACATTTTTTAATTAATTTACACTTAAGTCCTAAGAATTTAAATCCAGTTTCTCAAACTAACCTCAAATGTTGTGGGAACAGAAGGAACAACCAGCCAAACTGCATGTCTGATAGTCAATGGAAAGTTCTTTTGAATGGAATCCTGATCTAAGAAAGACTAGATGTTATACTACTTATTTTAAGACTTAATAAATCTGATTTTTTTTAATCTTCTTCAGACTGTCCCTAAATTATTTCCATTTGGCCTTTCTCTCCACTGTCTTAGCTCCCCAAAATCTTCAAAGTACAGCATTGTGCTCAGCTAGCACAGTACAAGATGAACTAGTTGGTTGAATCAATGTCCATATTCTACCTTCATGGTATCTCTCTTACTTAACTGTCTGACTCAGGACTGAAAAAACCTTATCAATATCTTGCGAGACCACTGATACTTGAGTTTAACTTTGAGATTTGCGAGTTATAAACTGCACATACAGTCATGTTGAATTGCTGGTTCATTGTGTTGTGGAAATGACTAATAATAATCCACTAACCATCCACGAACATTTAATAATAACAATATATTGTGCATAAATTCATTGAAACCGTCACGTATGACTTGGTAAAGAAGATGACCTCAGGTACCTGTGCTGCAAACACATTCCTGAAGTCAGGATTGATAGTGACCATGTATAACAGCTGTGAACATGAATAAAGTGGGCAGGAAATATCTTAACGGTCATTTCTATAATAATAATAATAATAATCCTTGTATTGGGTATAGCGCCTTATCAAGTCTTTGAGACGTCTCAAAGCGCTTCACAGAATATACTATAAAGTGAATTGACTGTATATTTTGTGGGTGAAACTCAGCAGCCAATTACGCACAGCAGTGTCCCACAAACAGTCATGGGCTGACACAACATATAATAAACACAGACAAGGAGTTGACAATTGCTATTCATTCAACAGTAAATTTTCTTTTCTAATGTTTGTTTAAGTGGGTTTAAAAATATATTTTTTTCCTTGGTAGGATTCTATAGTAATTATTAAGAGCACTTCATTTACTAATTTCACACATCGATGATGCTACATGGGTAGTTTTGCATGGAAGCATAAAATAAATATAGCTAAACAAACTGAACCGCTACATCTTCAGATCAGTTGCTCATTAGCACAGACTACTTACTGCTTCCAACCATCATCACACTCTGCCCCTCTTTACACGATAATACTGATGTTACTTTAACGGATTGCAATAAGCAAAATTTTAGGACACCCTGTGTTGAAGAGGTGTGCGTATATCTGACAAATCAAGAATCATTCTAAACCATCTTTGAGAAAAATACTTTAAAGGCATTATTCAATTTAAAATGATGTCACATATTCTGGGGCATTATGTTAAGACTTATATGTGCTTATGATTCATGAAAAGCTTCCATTCTGCCTGGTGATGCATCTGTCTGTGTACTTGTGATTGGATCAAATGCACACCAGCTAGGCAGAGGATAAGTGCAATGAGTATTTTTCCCTAATACCTGTCCTACAGACATATATGCTTCTCACTGATGATTTCTCACACTAAGTCACGTATTAACCTAACACAATTTAACTGTGACGTGATTCATTATGTTAAAATAAGATTGTAAATTTTTTTTAATAGATTAATCTACACAGGCAGAGCAAGCCTCGCAAATGTACATTATCCAAGTAGATGGGAGCAAATACTCTCACATTTTGGAGGGGTTTTGCCAGGTTATTTGGCATATATACCAGACAAGGTAGCGTGTGATAGTGTGCGCCACTTGTTGTTTAAAACATTTGATAAATGTCAGCTTTCTTCTACAGCACAATGGAAAGTTGCTAAACACGACAACAAAATGAATGAGTGGGTTATACCGCACCATACTTGCCCTTTACTTTCCCAACTACACAAACTGCTGACCATACTAACACTTATGTTTTCTCCTGCCCACCACCCCCCCTCCCCTCAACATTTTGATCTGAGATATTCTATTATAAGAAGCTGGTACTGGAAGTCAAAGCTGACTCCAAATAAATCTAGACTTGAAAAGAGCAATCTTCATCGAACACTATTTACATGATAATCTCAGATTTAAATACTGGATATTGTAAATATCATTACAACTAAGATATCTGCTATCCCCTTTGATTATCCAGAATTGTTCGGTAGATTCCAATTGGAAAAATTCCTTTAATAATAGTGGCTTCCAAAATTCTTCACGTAATGGTGTTGAGATGTTGATTCCAAAGGTGATTCTAAACCGATGAATTTAAAAGTTAATCTTCTAACAATGAGACCTACTCTATCTGAACCCACAATAGCCTATAATACCACGTTGCTTTGCACAGTATTTAACTTTTGGGGTTAACTAAATCAAAGTAGATTTCAGGATATTACTTTTGCACTCCTCTGCAGGGTTCCAATGATCTTTCTTTCTTGCTTTCCAGAAAAGAGTATTGATAGTTTTGTCATGGTTTAAATAAAGGTGTTCTGTGACATCTTAACCTATATTATTAGCAAGACTGCACTGCCCTAGGCAACAGAGTAGACTGACGTGAGTTGATGTCAAATTCCTAGATCTAAGATCCAGAAAAACATTCAGGGAAAGAAAATTGAGAGAGGATTTGGTAAAATGGAATGAAATGACTATGTAATGAAATCACTACCACTTGGTGAACATTTAATGTTCCCTTTCGTGTTCCCAATCCTTGTAAATCATAATTAGACTCCCAAACTTTATTTTTCAAACAATTTAAATGAAGTGCATGATTACGTCAGGAATTTTCCCCAAATGTAACTGGAAGGGTTGAGGATTCTTCAAAACACTCTCCTATTCCTACAGGTACCTTCCAACTGTGAATGTATTCAAAGAACAGCCAGACCACAAACTGAGAGGCCTTACTTCCCAGAGAAATAAAATATTAGTCTACAGCAAGTCCCTTCTCAAAGACACAGTCTGTTTGCAAGAAATGAAGATGGTTAGGTAGCCGAGAGAGAACCAGAGAGGACTTTGTTTTTCAGAGCCAACTTGCCTATTCTTGACTAATACCATGTTCCCACGGTACCTTGGCCTGCTCCTCTTTACCACCAAGGACAGCCTGAGAGAGTTTGCGTGGAAAAGGCTTTGGCCTACTTTCTTCATTAAGGGTCTCTTCAGTGTCTGTGTACGCAAGCCTGGAATTGTAGGGTTTTGGAGGCAAGGCTGGGGGTTCTTTTGTCTCCAGAGGAATAACCCCACTGGGAGCAGAGTGGCTGCGACATGGCTGAGACTTCACCGATTCAATCACGTCTGGTTCAGACAGGCTGTACCGCACTGGCATATAAGGAGTTTCTCCATTTTCATCCGGAATCCAGGTCTGACTGGGAACAGAGTCAATGGTGTCGATGCGTGGCGGCTCTGTTGAGTGGGCAAAATTGCTTTCACTCAACGAGGACACGCCGCTGCTAGCACTGCCAGACAGGGTTGAATTACTCCCGTCAAGCCCAGACTGGGGGCTGGTCGGTGATGCAGGGATAGGATGCAGTGAAGACTGTAAATAACAATGGGAAAAACAATTATCAACTTTTAAATTAATCAAAGACTATTTGTCCATGTGCCCCGTTACCCAACCAAAACTGCTATCCTATCGAAGGACATTTACCTTGCGCAGGGTTCGTGCAGGCAGTGCGGGCGGTATGTCACTCATCTGATGATGGAATGCATCAAAATTCATAGAAAAGTGACCTGAGCAATATAGAGAAATAAGATCACAATCCAGTAATCACTGATTGTAGTAACGGTTGATTATTATTATTATAAATTAACACCACATCATTTGTCTGATTTAAATCCAAAGTTTTCATGCAGAGAGGGAAACAGCATGTGAGCAGTGGCAATGGCCAGATAAGCAATGGCCAGGTAAGCCAAAAAGTCTTTTTTTGACCCTGCCAAAATTCCCACAAAAATGGTGCAAGACCTAATTAATATTTGTCCAGTGGTAGATTACCCAGAATGTACAGGAGAAAGACGATATAATTATGTCTCTGTTCTCCTTCCACACACCTCTCCCCCCAATTTTCAGGCTAATGCATGAACTTTACTTCAATGGTTCACTTACCAGGTGGCAGTGACCGAGGTGGTACAGGTGGTGCTATGATAGTGCCCACATGTGCTGAAAGAAACGGCATAGTATCTCTGGTTCCACTGTCTAGGCTCCAACTACTGGGAGTGGCTGGGACCGCTGAAATGCAATGAAGCAAGTTAGCCAAAAGGTATCAGAGACTAACTGTGGGTTCCAGCCCCATATTAGGATGAGTTGGTAACTTAGGTTGAAACTTCATATGTAGTGATGAGGTGATGACCTTAAAAGGAGACGTTAAAGTGAGACCCCATTTGCCTGTTCTGCTGGTCAAGTGAATGTTGAGGATCCTGTGACACTTTAAGAACACCGATGACATGAAAACATAGCAACACAATTTGAGATCACGTTCTCCTTAGGCTTCCCGTTTTTCTCCTATTTGCAGATCCTTTTCAGATTACAACAAAGGTGTGGTGATGGGAAGGTTGAGTGTTTGTGTAGCCTGTTTGCACATGACCATTAGTTTCTCCCTTTAGTTATCCCCCTGAAAGGGACACAGCACTAATCCAGTGAGAAAATCAGGTCTGATTTCCCCATCCTTTGCACGGAGGCACTTGAGCTCTGTATGAGTTTAAGGTGTAGTGTAGGACCCAAACGAAGGAATTGAATAGAGTAGGAGATTCAAGTGGTCTTTCATTCCATGCTAATGTGCCAATGCTTAATGCCACTCCACTTAAGTATAATAGCTCCACTATATTCCTAGCTATCAAATTCAAATGAAACCACACCGACTCTGTTGTTAACACGTGATGAGATTCAAGTACCAGTGTAGCTTGATGCAAGAAATATCCAACAGGCTGAAACTTAAAAATCAAATGTGCTCTTACCCTTTTCAGCAACAGAGAGATTAGGATCGCTGCAAGGTTTGCACGGTCCAACCACCTGCTGGATCAGGGCTCGCTGGAAACTAGGAGGCTGAAACACAAACCAATGGTTGACATGCCCGGCACAACATGGTTTAATGAAAGATGTACAATATGCAGAAATATTACTTGGGGTGTGTACAATAACAAGAGATTATATTACTCTAAAACCACTCACAGTAACTGGTATAAATTATAAAAGATAATACTGAGTGCGTTATTTATCGCTATGTTCTTGTAGGCTACAATTAGATCTATTACATACCAAGTAACAAATAGCAACGGTATGACTATGTCATATAGTGTGTGCATATAGTCAGTCTGAAACGTACTGTATCAGCAGCTCACCTGTCCATTTTCCATCATGGTCGGGTACATGGCACTACTTGGCCTGTCCCTGTGAGGAGGCAGCAACATGACAATCTCCCGTGAGTGGCGATACTTATCAGATAGTGACGGGGAACCTAAATACAGCAAGGAGGAACAGTCAATTAGCATTGCACCTCTATAATAATTCTTGACATAGCAGCTCATCATGTCACTGAGACATCTCAAAGCGTTTCACAGAATATTCTGTAAAGTGGAGTGACTGTGTATTTTGTGGCCGTACCGCGGTAGCCAACTGGATTGAGTGACCACATTATTATTTTTTTTGGTGGGATTATTACTCCCGGAGAAATGATCGATCCGTCAATCGACTAACAACCGGATTCCTACTTACTGCTAGGAAATATAGGTGCAAATAGAGGAAAAAAAACGAAGTAATTAGAATGTCTAGAAATCAAAATAAATGCTTTCCATTCTTTTAGGTAGATATTATTTGACAATTCAGACTGAATCCTCTGCTGTAAAAAAAACCTGATGTTCATCTAGGTCTCTTTATGACACCTGAAATCTCTTTATGACAGAAACACACAGGAATGAAGTAGCTCAATTTGGAGTCCTTTCAAGGCTCGTTAAAAATAATCATTAAAGATCTTACCGCGTGCACTGGACGGGGCAGAGTTGATCAGCTGTGAAGGTGCGGAATGTGTGGAGCTCAGGCTGGAGGTGGAGGGACTCGCCTGGCACGACGACAAAACAGATACGTTGGTCATGGAACCCTGGAACTTGTTGTTAGAATAAGCAAGCTGTAGAAAGCAGAGAAGAAAAGTGCTGGAAACCCGATGAGGAAATGAATAGTGACAGATGAATGGATGGGAAACCAAAGACAATGGATACCTCTGAAAATTCGTCAAAGATAGATGTTTACCAACCACATGACACAATGCCCCCAGCTTGTCATTTCCATGTGAGATCATCATTCTAAAGATAATGATGTACGTCTCTTCTCCCTTGTCCTTTGACTCAGTCATTTAATGAATGGTTAAAATAGAAATTAATTTCTATTAGAATAGAGATAACATGGTCACTGTTCATTGCCACTTTTATGAATCAAACAATACCAGCTTCTGTGATGGGTTAGTGCATATACATTGTCTTTATGCACAATTACAGTTGAGTTTTATTACTGAAACAGGCAGTTGGAAGTGTTCCCAGCTCCTTGTGAATCAAATTTGCCTTTCATACATTAGTCTCATTTATCAGTCATAAAATCCTTCTACACTGAAACTCAGCCGGTGTTACTGTCCAAACAAATAACAATTTAGGACCCTTTACACAGGTTAGTTAGTGGCTTGGGAGTGCTGGTAATAAATCCCTTGTTAATATTACACATTAAACTCTGTTAACAGGAACACAGGCAATTTATTTTCATAGTTGCCCAATTTACATCAGAGTCAATGTAAAGATGATCACTTTCGAACTACCTGCCAGCTTTGCTGGTTGTGCAAAAGGCCTCCATTATTCCAACTGATCCGAACTCCCAGTTCGGGTCCGAATTCCCTGACTGTCCAGTGCCTTGGGACATCTTCCTGACATGAAAGGCGCCTGTGTAAATGCCATTTGTTTGTTTTGTTTATGGTTGGACAGGCACAGAGAGGCATCAACTGCAGAGAGGAGATTCCCCAAAGGAAGGGAATTCATAGGTGAATCTATATACTCTCTAGTTGGCTAGGTTCAGAGCAGCATAATTAGTGAGAAGTGGACATTCAGCAGGACGGACACTGGCTCAAAAAGCCTAGGAATTGTGTATGACAGACAGACGGGGAGGGGAAACCTACGAGTGGGAATTGAAACAGAAATATTTACCTGCATGCGGTAAATATCATCAGGAGTTTCTCCACCGAGACCATCGGTGAGGATGATGAGGTTCCCCACTTCACTCGAGGTTTGTGAAGACAGGGAGGATGAAGAGTGCCTATTGGAGCCAATCAGGTTCAGTGGGCTGGAGACAGAGAAATGTTTCATAGTCATTTAAAAATGTTAAAATACTCGTACAACCAGTTTACTGCAAATCCGAAAAGAGATTATAAAGTTTGTGAATGCTTTTAATCAAGTGAAACTAACACCAGATTTTCTTTCTAGCCATACTCAGATTTCTCCCTTGACAGCAGGCAACCATCTATAGATGACCCTTCCCTTGCTCCCTACCCACCCAACACTAAGAGCATAGGGTTTTGGACACTCAGGAGCACTTTGGGGACCAGATATGCCACCTTTTAATGACTTAACACTTTCAAGCAAGGTTGTGTGGCAATCCAGCAGTATTGGAGAACATTGCAATGCTGCAGCTGCCGGTACATGTCTTCAGACGGACATTAATGATCCTTTAATACTACTTGAAAATAGAATGTTACTTCTCCCAATGTCCCGGCAATCCCCCAGACACAATTGGTCATTCACATCATGGCTGTTTGCGGGACACTGCTGCATATACAAATTGGCTGCTGCGTGTATCAGATCCTCATCTTGCTTACCTGTGCCTGTGGACGAGCTTGATGCTTTCTGGACTCATAGAATTGTGAGTGGACAGGATGCTGCCTCGTGGTGTGCTGGCACCAGAGCAGGCTGGGCTGATCCTCTCTACACCAGGGAGATCCTGTAGAGGCAAAGCAAAGAACATTATAGGGTTTGTAGTTCTAAATTAGAACTGTTTTTAAATAATTGTTTTCTGATTAGAAACAAATGAAACGCATTCCTGTTGCCACATCATGTCATTTATCTATTTGTATGTCGGGTAATGACAGGTCAATTAATTTGAATTCTTCTTCGACCGTGCCGGCAGTCACCTCCCCCTCTCTCCGGCTCAACATCATGCTCCATCACTGTCAAGCAATCTGGGATGCTACCCTGTGTGAGGGGCGCTGTGTAAATGCAAGTTGTTATTGTTTGTTGTTGTTGATCAGTTATTGATAGTACTACTGTTTTAAGCGCAAATATGCGATTTTCTGCATTTGTTGTACTTGTGATTAAATGATTAAATGAATATATTCCTGTGGTTCAATCAATTACTTGTTTAACCACTAGAACAGATGACATGCTTATAATGTATATAAATCTCGATGCTTGTATTAACCACTAATTAATTCATCCATTGCTCGGAAGATACTCACATGACAAAGGCTGGATCTCATCACTTGGAATTGATCGATTAGCTTTTTGTGCAGGGGACGCATTTCTGGGTGCACTAACTTCTCATGCATTGCCAATCCCACTCCAAGGATATGAACCTAAGAACAAGAGTAACACAGATGTAATTTCTGACACGTTTGTTTTATTTGAATCTACCCTGACTCAGGCAAAGCTTTTTGTGCAGGGGACGCATTTCTGGATGCACTACCCGCTGGCCTCGTAGCTGGTCAGCAAGGTTCCGCTGTTTTGATCGTGTTTCGGCCACAAAATATACAGTTAATTCATTTTACACTATATTCTGTGAAGCGCTTTGAGACATCTCAAAGACGTGATAAGGCACCATATCAAATGCAAGTATTATTATTATCAGCAAGGATGAGATCGCAGAACCTATTCCAACCGCCAGGGACTTTGCTATCACAGGTGTCGCGAGAAACCATCCGGGGGGAATGATTTGAATGGGATAAATTGTAGATTCTGAAGATTGGTTATGCCTGAAACATTAATTTTGAATGACCTGTTGTGGATTTATCGCATTTCTGTAGTTCAATTAGGTCTGTATCAGATGATCGAAAGGAAAACCCAAAGCTGGAATTTTTTATGACTTCAGTACCTGTTCTTGCATCAACTCCTTAAGCTGGGTTATCTTCTCAGTATCCTCGGGATGGCTCATGATATACTCCTTTTGGAAGAATGCCTACGAACAGGAGAGAAAATCCATCACACAAAAAAACCTAACACACAAAGAGGTATAATTCAATGATTCCAGCATTAAATGGATAGAAAAACCTAACATGTTTTCACTACTTTAAATATCTGACAGCCCACAAATAAAAGAAATAGTAATGAAATTCCTAAAAATACAACCAAGTCTATTTTCCCTCTCAGACATTCTTTGGATTCAAGCAATGGCTGCTCACCCTCTTCTGGGTCATTTGCTTGTCACTGTCGTCACTTACAGCTAGAAATGCTTGTGTGAGCAGTCACTACTGTAAGTGTCTGGCTGGCTTCCAGTGTGCTGCACACATACAAGCTATACACATACATACAGCTCGTAGCAAAGTCACAGTGACTCAATGACTCACAAGAATGTCCAGCAGCCCTTGTTTAAGGGCCCATGTTTATTTATGGGTCAGTCAGTACTTACTTGGGAGTTTTGTAGCATTACAAAGGGTAAGAGCCATTTAATAGGGAGTTCCACAAAGGTTACAGCTAAACCACACCAAGTTTATTTATAATAGTGGTAAGATGATGTAAACAAAACATATAAAATCAATTGTTATATTGAACATGAAAGTAATTAATAAAATGTAATACCCAAATCTTGCTCTAATAAGAAGAATCCGTTCTGCAATGTGTTCCTCGTGAGCTTTAAGCTCTAGAGTCAGACTCACTGCCCAGAGCAGATCATTACCTCTTGGTACCTGGCTATTCCTCCGTTGACCGCTGCATCAATCACCCCGTTCAGACACATGCTGAGAAGGTTGATGTTGGCATGCAGTTGCTTGTGCTGATATTGGCTGATGAGAGTACGTAACTCCTGATTTTTATTCTCCACGACTTGGATGGCATTCTCCAGTGGGCTGACCTCCACCTGTCACACACCAACACAAACACGCATGTTCATATTGAGTTGAGGTGGCATAATCCGGCAAAAGACATTGTTTTAGCCAGAGTTGGAATGCACTGCCTGAAAAGCTGGTGGAAGCAGATTTGATAGTAGCATTCACAAGGGAATTGGATGTTTACTTGAAAAGGAAAAATGTGCAGGGCTATGGGGTAAGAGTGTGCGATTGGATCTAGTTGGCAGCTCTTTCAAAGAGCCGGCACAGGCACGATCGGCTGAATGGCCTCCTTCAGTGCTGTAAGATTCTATGAAATTGTGAGCTGCTATTCCATTATAAAATAAATATAATAATAATCCTTGCATTTGATATAGCAATTTTCACATTTTCTGGACATCTCAAAGCATTCACAGAATACACTGTAAAGTGAATTGACTATGTTTTGTGGGCAGCCAATTGCGCACAGCAGCGTCCCCACAAACTGTCGTGGTTTGATTGACCAAATTATTATTGGTTTTTTTTCTTGAGGTATTATTATTTGGTGTGTGGAGTAATGAAACTTGCCCAAGGTTTCGCCCTATCAGGAATCGAATCCAGGTCTCTCGCTTGCGAGGCAAGTGCTCTAACCACTGCAATGGAATATCAAGAGCTTTCCCTAAATATTATTAGAGAAAAAAAATTGAGTGAGTCAGTCCTCCTAACAGCTGGCTAAAGAATGGCACTGGCACTTGGAGAGGGTTGGGAGCAGGGTGTGTGATTAACACAGTGCTTGGCAGGAGGTACTACAAATCATGGTAGTGCAGTGGCTTACAGCAAACATACCAACTTCCTTTATTCAGGGAGGACCTTTGAAAATGACGCTGATTGAAGAGGAGGAATGAATCCAGAATCCATTATGTCACAAAGCAAGCTCACTGAATGAATAACAACAAAGTTGAGAAGGGTAAAAATGGTGTCTCACTTACCACTTCCCTCCTCTCCACTTCAAACCAACGAGAAATTCCAGGCAAACTATGTGTTAGAATCAGTGTGGTTCGCTCAATCCAGAGGCTCTGAAAAAGGTCACAGAGCTTCAGTAATTAGCATTCCTAGACAATCTCAGATCCCAGCACCCAGTTCAATTGCTAATTTATATTCTTAAAGCTGCTGTGCTATATAGAAATCATGTTTTCTACATATCGATTATGAATGATTCAATTTATTTTGACGTTGATATACTATTGTCAACAAAACTAACCAAAGCATGTATTAATATTAACCAAAGCATATATTCTATGCACAAAACACAGGAAAGTCAGTTTTATGGTAAAATGCAAGAAAATTGTGGATAGAGACATCATTCCCACTCCTCCCTACCCACATTTTATCTTTATTGGTCCCTGCTTCAAAACACAACATTTATAATAATAATCCTTGCATTTCATATAGTACTTTCTTACTTTTTTTTAAAAGGGATTATTACGTCCAGGAAAAGCGATCCGCCAATCGACTAACAACAGGGATCGTACTTACTGCTAGTAAACTGCTAGGCATGAGGAGTAAGGTAACTTGCCCCAAATTTCGACCTGCCTGGGAATCGAACCCAGGACCTGGCACTTGTGAGGCGAGTGCTCTAACCACTAAACTACAGGAATCCTGGTCAAATTTGTGGTCAAATTTCTGAGGGGAATGTTTCCACCACACAATACTTATCACGTCCCGAAACTCACCTTGAACTCATTTTCTTTGTCCTTTAAGCCTTTGTGAAAGGGCCTGTCATATCTAAACCGGCTGACATTATTTACGCGATAGAAGCTCTTGATGCGATCAGGGACCCTGTCCATCTGCAGCACCTCCACATTCTCAGGAATTGGTGACACGGCATAAATCTGAAGGTCTATGACCAGAGTTAAAGAAAATGATGGAGCAAAAGGCACAATGGCGACCCAACAAGCCGAAAGCTTTGGGAATATGAATCTAATGGGGTGTCTCTAGGACTCAGTCCTGTGAGTGAAAGGATACACTGTGCATCTGACTGCAGGATAGATTCATCGGGCTGGTTGAGATGCTGCATAGCAATGGCTTGTGGGAATTCAGTCAGCATTCTCTGTTGAAAGGCTTCGAGCCTCTCGTAATCGTGCCCTCGACACACAAACTCTTTGTTCTGGCAGGAGAGAGAGGAGGTAAAAGTCAGAGCACACGTATGTATGCATGTCAGAGCTGTGGAACTGCAGGTATAACTGACACTTACATCTGTACAGTACATAAAACAGGATGGTGAGTAATGATACAAAGATCGACTACAGACCCGCTGAATACAAATTGAAGGTAGCCTGATAGAAAATAAAATCTGCTGAATTTTTGAAATACTGTACATCAGCTGGATGTTCTCTCTGAATTTAAATAAGTTCCACTGTATCTGTAAATGTCACTCTAATTAAACAGACGACACACAAGTGTAAAACACAAGTCAGAATATAAATTGGTACAAATCTTGCACCCATGTGTGTAAGATCTACGTCTTAGAAACAAATAAAATCATGAACAGGGTGAGGCAGTAGATGTTACTTATGGCTAAGACAGACACATACACAGAGCACTGTCCAGCGCCTTGGGATGTCCTCCCAAAGTGAAAGCGCTGTATAAATGTAATTTGTTGTTGTTGTAACTCAGTTGCAGTTGTAACTCTGTTGCACACCACGAGAGGGCGTCCCAACTACACACATGCACAAGAAAACATTTCACAAATAAACAGAAATTGCAGATGATGGAAATCAGTAACAAGAACAGAAATGCTGGAAATTCACAACAGGCCATTCAGCATCCAAGCAAGCAAAGAAATCACCCAATTCTGCTTGACATTTCAGGCAGGTTGATATTTCAGATGCAGCAATCCTATTGTAACCCCTTCAGTTAAAGAAATCTCCACTGCAAAGGATGTTATATTCTCTCTGATAATGGCCCAAAGGGGATCAATGATTATTCCCCTATGTAGCCCAGGGTCACTGAAGGCAAATGTAGTGGCTTCCAATGCTGCCCCCATGTGAGATGAAGTAACTAAAAGAGCACGGACTGTACAGTACATCACATGTATTTATTGTGTACCCTGAGCTTTCCCCAAGGTTTCTCAAATATATATAGTTATCTACTTACTCGAAGATAGAATGGAAATTTCCTGCCATAAAACCCAACTCTGAAGAATTCTGGTTCCAGTCGCTGCTGTTCCATAATGTTGTCATAATACGCTGCTTCCATTTTCTGTTGCATTGGAAAAGGGAACAGTTAACAGCTGTAGATTATTGACAGATGGTAAATCTTCACACACTGTCAACACGATAAGAGATATATGTTAGAATCATAACCCTTGTATTGACAGTGGGACTTCTTTTTCAGCAGACATCTTAGCTCTCTCTTTGTTGTAAAAATAGCCCACAACCCGAAGTGCATGGTTTGTGTTACATACATACCCGAATCCAGCTGAGACTCTGGTAGTCATAGAACACTTCATACTGATTCGCCAGTTCTCGACAAAGAGGGATTCCATATTCCCAGCACTGAGAAAAAAATGAAGATTCAGTTAAGATAATAATATTTCTTGTATTTGATATAGCACCTTATCATGTCTTCGAGACGTCTCAAAGCGCTTCGTCGAATATACTGTAAAGTGATTTCTGTAAAGTATATTCCGAGTCACTGCGCACAGCAGTTTTTAAATAATGTTGAAGGGATTGTTATCCCCGGAAAAGCAATCTGTCAATTGACTAACAACCAGATTCCTACTTACTGCTAGGTAAACAGAGGTGTGTGGAGTAAGGAAACTTGCCCAATGTTTTGCTCTAACCACTTAGCTGCAGGACTCCACAATTACATACAGAACTGTTTCAGAGCTGTGTGGTATAGTTTTAGAGTTGTGTGCTTTAGCAACACTGACATTTAGCTTTTTATTTAAAATGTGAAATTCCTCTATTCCAGTAAAAAGTGACTTGTATACACACAGGAAAGGAAATCCAGTAAAACAGAGGTAAAAGAGAGATGTGTGCGTATCCTACTGGTTACAATGATTTTAAAACTTGGACTTTGCAAGATATATGAAACAGAAGTGGTAAAGATCTGCGCATTTCTCTGGGAAATGCAATCAGGCATGACTAAACCAGCAATTTTCAATGCATATGGTGATTGTAGAGTACCACTTTGAAGTTAATGAAGCGTGACAGTCTGAACCAGGTGTAAATGTTGTGCATATTTACTACTCAGCAAAATATTAGTGGAATTTTCTGGCGTCTATATTCAGTGCCTTTTCACTCTTGTGGCCGCAAAGAAAAACGTGTGCAAAATGCTATGTATAGAGAAATTTTGTTGTTATCTGGGTAAAGCAGCTGGAACAGTCGTCCCCTTTGGCACTAGGGTTTAGCTGTCATATGTGCAATTGACACCAGTGTCGGGCCCTATCATAAAGATTCAGATTTAATGCTCATTTTGTCTGCAATTCTTCCAAATGTTTTATCTATAATCATCCACATAACCTGAAGTAACAAATTACACTTGCAACACATATGCTTTCTTAGTACAGCATTTTCAAAAGTTTTTCTTTTCCTTCTTTGCATAACATAATTTCAGCTTCAAAAATAGGCCAATGGGGGGGGGAGGGGGAAGAAGTGGCAAAGAAGGTTGCTTTATGCAATGTAATTTTGTTGGGTTTTTTTAATGTTTAAAATCAACCATTTTATAATCATTTGATTCTAGTTTATTAATATCTCTTTGGAAATTAAATACAAACAATAGAACACCTGGAAAGGGCAAAAGGAGTCACTACACAAAAGGCATAAATCTGATAATAATCCCTCAAAAAAAATAATAAATGGTCATTTCAAACCACAACTGTGTGTGGGACCCTGCTGTGCGCAATTGGCTGCCGCATTTTGCCCACAAAAACATAGTCAATTCACTTTACAGTCTATTCTGTAGAATAGTTTTTGGAGTCCCGTAGCTCAGTTGTTAGAGAACTCGCTTTGCAAGCGAGACACCTGGGTTCAATTCCAGGCAGAGGGTGAAACCTTGGGCAAGTTTCCTTTCTCCACACAGAGCCTAATAATAATCCCTCAAAACAAAACATAATAAACTGGTCATCTTCAATCCACGGCTGTTTGTGGGGACGCTGCTGTGCCGTGTTTCGTCCACAAATATACGGTCAATTCACTTTAGTCTATTCTGTGAAGCGCTTTCAGACATCTAGAAGACGTGAAAAGCGCTATATCAAATGCAAGGATTATTATGAATCAATTTATTCATCTCATCATATTAGTAATATTCCATAAATTAGCTCTCGATATTTTTGGTATTGGAATAAACACAAAACTAAAGGCTCAATGAAACATGAATTAATAATAATAAATTGGTCATTTTCAATCTACGACTGTTTGTGGGACATTGCTGTGCGCAATTGGCTGCCGCGTTCGCCCACAAATATACAGTCAATTCACTTTACAGTGTGTTCTGTGAAGCGCTTTGGGACGTCCTCCCGACGTGAAAAGCGCTATATCAAATGCAAGGATTATTATTATTAATTACACAAGGGTATTAATACTGCTGCCACATCAGAGCCACTGCAGTCTGAATAATACTGGGATTGGTGGGAGAGTGTGTATTAATCAAACACTAATTGAGTGAATGGAGGTCTTATTAAGATGCAGCAGCCAATTGTGCGCAGCAATGTCCCACACAGTCGTGGATTGAGTAACCAAATTATTATCAGTAATTTTTTTTAAAATTCATCCCTTTCTCCACTACTTTTTGCACTCCAAAAATGTGTGCAATATCTGCATCAACCAGAATATCTGCCCTCTCTCAATCCACTGCAATGACAAGGACACAAGCTGTTGATCATAGTTGTAGAATGGAAAAAGTCCCAATCAATAGCATTATCTCTTGTATGGTCATTCTTTGTGATCAGTCTCTTGTTATGTGCACAAATCACATTGATCGTAATACAAAATATATTCAGCTGCCTGATATAACTGGCTACCTAGAAATTGTAGGCTTTGCCCAATGAAAACGGACAGCTCACTGAGCAACAGCAATATCAGGAATCTTTGTGTATATTGACTTTGTGCTCCCACCCAGAAAAGCTCTCACCATTAACTCAAGCTAAACCACTCACACACAATGCTTGCCATTTCCAATAGCACTGCATCCATAAACACGGAAAGCTTGTGATTTCTAGAAGCTGCCCTTTTCTGACAGGCCAACCTACTCAATATGACGGTAATTGCAGTCTTTGCTCTACACAGCCAGGGTCTGTAGGTCACAGAACTTCAGCTAGTCCCATTTTCTTAATCAGCTATGATCAAGAAGCAAGTGAAGACCTACAACAGCAAATACTCCTGACTCATGTCACTTCATCTAGTACATTTCCCCCAGTGCTTCCCCAGGGCACTCAATGAAGGTGGATCATAGTCCATCCATGTGTATCTGAATCAATATATAGTAACAATACAGTGATTTATATGCACATATTATGAAACACAAGGGAAAAGAGAATGCATGTTTGAGGGAGGAGGGAATAGAGAGGTATGGAAGTGGGTTAAGGCAAAGGAATTAGGCTGGGTGGCGGCCCATGTGGAGTATAAACACCTGAGGCGGAAGAATTAATGTCCCTCTAATAGGAAACTCCTGTAGAGATCAGCAGAGAAGGAAAAAGTGCAGATGCATGAAGGTAGGTCCGCAAAGGAGGCAAGCTTGAAGAAATGATTCCAGTAATTTATTTATGAAATGTGTCATAAGCCTTGCATTATAAGAATTAAATAAATACTTAATCTTCAGTGTGTGCGTTATGCAATGCTACATTTCTGAATCTCCGCCAACTTCTTCACCTGGCCTCTTCAAACACAAAACCATCAGCAACAGCAGCAGTGTAGCGGAGGTGGAGGATGTCTCCAGTGCCCTTCACCAGGTAGAGGACAGTGAGGAGGAGATAAGAGGAACATCATTATGAAAGGGGGAAGCCCTTGATAAAGGCGTGTAACATTATCCTCCTCGGGAGTCCCGTAGCTTAGGCCCTCGATTGTCTAAAACTGTTAACAGCAACATGCTGAGGGTCGGGCGCTCACCTTCCCCTTGTTAAAGTAGTGGATAACCTTGCGGCAAAGGCCTTCCTTACGATGCCACTCTGTCTGTGCTGGGTAGTGCAGGAACTCCCGCAAAGGTCTGTCTTCCCACTGAAGCAGCTCCCAGTACAGTAATAACGTAAACGCTGCCTCTGGAGAGAAAACAAATAATTTCACACTGGGAAACTTTGCAAGAATTTAGCATTCATCTTTTAACTAGCTTCTATTCTGACACGTTAATTGGGCCCCATCAATGCTTTATAACAATAATAATAATCCTTGTATTTGATATAGCTCCTTATCATGTCTTCAAAACGTCTCAAAGCGTTATACAGAATGTGCTGTAAAGTGAATTGACTATTTTGTGAGCGAAACGCGGCAGTCAATTGCGCGCAGTGTCCCACAAACAGCCGTGGATTGAGTGAGCAAGTTATTTTTCTTTGTGCTTCTGGAAGAGTTTAATCATTTAACGGCAAATACAGTGAATGTAAAGTAAATTAACAACAAGGTTTTTCCAATTTATTGTTCACTACCCCCACCAAAACCTCACTCTATCAGTTCTACTAGGCAAGAGGATAAGAGAGAGAAGCTGCAGAAATGTCTTGCCATTGCATACAGCAGGCATTCATTTCCCCTATCTGTATGCATATACATCAGTTATGCCATCAACACTAACAGCTTGCTGAATGGATGAATGAAAACAGCACTTAAGGCTGGGACTCGTGTCAGAGGTTAGTGGCAATTTGCAGGAGTTAATTTATGCACGTTCAGAATTCTGCCTATTTACCAGCTTTTTGCAGTGCTTACCCGTGTAATTCTCAGCTTGGAGATGCATGTCACACAGTTTGTGGATGTAACGGATATACATCTCCTCTTTGTTTATCTCCGATTTGTAAAAGTTCTGAGATAAAGAAAACATCTGTGAACAATTCAGGCAATTCTGAGGAGCCGCAGTTGGAATGAAACACAAGCATCTAAATGCAGATACTTAAACTACTGTTGTAATGGTTATTTAGTGCCTACTGCCCTTCGGTCTCCCATTCCGTGACCTAACAACAGTACAGGGTGTACAGGTCCCAACATCATTTTCCATTCAATCACTAATAAAGCTGGCAAAATAACAGTGGATTTTACTTCCATGTTAGAAGACCTTTTTGTGTATCAATCATTAAAAAAAATCAACAGGGTGAAAATCAAACAGGTCAAAATTAATAATAATAATCCTTGCATTTGATATAGTGGCTTATCACTACAAGTGTTTCACAGGATATACTGTAAAGTGAATTGACTGTAGATTTTGTGGGTGAAAATTAATTGTAAATCTGCAGATGTGCAGTTCTGTATATTTAATATTAACATTGGATGCTAAAATTGCAGTAACATTTCACCCCAGCATGAAGACCCTCACTTCGATGAACATAAAAGCTTACCTACCAACAAATTTACAGTACAACCAATCTTCTTATTTTCTGTTTCATCCCCTTTCATGCATTCTCTGGAAAACAAAATGGGAACTTCAGGCAAATGACACATCCTTCCCCATAAATTTACCACATCACGGTAAATTATTAATAATGAGATTAGATTTATGCAAAGTGTAATTTCAGTTGCTTGCCGTGAGGAGTTTCTGTCCAGTGTAAATAAAGTATTTCTTTAAAAATAAATCCATGACTTCCAGCAGGATATCTGAGAATGTTCATAGTTTTCATAATTTACTCAGAATTTGGTCTCCGTGCAAACTGAGAATCTGAGGGAAAATCCCTCATTTCCTTGACATTCGCTCTTATCTGCTGTGAAAATTTAGGCCAGTGAGCTACGAACCCCTAGTGAGGACACCAAATTTGATACAAAATTCTAATTCTCAAAACATACATCCTGAAATTTGCTGCAGCTTGGCATTGGTAGCAAGTCTATGGTCAAAGCTATCACACACTACTGTGATTGAAATTTGGTGAGCTGTACATATTGGGAAACAGAGAAGGGAATAATAGAAGAGAACAGCAATAAAAAGAACCTTGCCTCAAACAATACAAAAAGGATAGGATTGCAGATGAGCAATTAGACCCTTCTATTTTCCTACAATGACTAAAGGAGGTAGGGACGGAGAGAAATTCCTTGCTTTGAAAGTACTGCATCCATTTTTTGGACAGATAGGTAAAAATCAGATGATTCTCCATGTCATGTCAAATCCATACTGCTGTCATTCCGATGACTTTCAAACTCACACTGGGTAGAACGAGGAAGGCTCCACTTCAAAACATTCATTAGACATGACAAAAAGGAACTGTAAGGTATCCAGAAGGTTCTGACAGCTTCATCAGATCAAATCTCTAGGAGCTGAAGAAGCCTTTGGGGCAATGGCAAACATTATGACCCATGTCCGTACTAATAACAAGTTTAGGTCTGTAATTCCTTACGCATCATCTGACAAAATACAACTAACTCCAGAGGCCAATGTCAAATAAAATCTTTTTATTGATAAATACACTCAATTCACCTTTTATCTGTCAACTTTTAAATATTTGCCAATGTAAAGTTCACACAATCTGATTACAAAGTTGCAACAACTACCTTTGCAGATGAGAAGAAGTCTCCATAAAACACACAGACTCATCACTAAATCACCAGTTTTAGCCCTTTGAGTATCCTAGTCCTAATAGGCTATTTCCAATTTATACTGAGACAGTCTAAGCATGGTGATAGGGTTCCGCATGTGTCAAGGCACCCGGCTGACCTCCCCCCAAAAAATTATTCACAAGTTGTTTAGTCTCCAAATGCTGAAATTCCTCGCCATCATATTCTTAGGACCATTGTCTTCACTGCAACTTCCAAATTAAGATTCAATTTAAGAATTTTCCAAAATAATAACAATGATCTTGAAGTATTTACCTGTAATCAAGCAGCCGCTCCATTAAACGGGTCACTGACAAGACAAAGGAAACACCAGTCTCTCTCCAAGTTTCTTGCTCAATCTTCTCCAATAAGCTGCGACCACAATGAAAGACAACACAGTGAGCAACAAAGCTCACAAGTAAACTATCAACAAGTGCACCATTATTATAGTAACATATTCTGTAAATGCATTGCCTTACCTAGGATATGGCCCAAAGAGCTGGGTGCTATTTCCAAGCAGCAGTAATTAAGCAAACACAATTAGCATAAAAACGCTAATATTAACAACAACAAACAATATTACATTTGTATAGCGCCTTTCACATCGGGAAGACATTATTATTACATTATTATTACATTATTATTACATTCATCAAGAAATATCTGCAGTCACTTATAGGACTACCAATCCCTAAAATGATTAGTGTTCATAGACCGGAGAGGTCACTTATCACCACCACCATTTTACACAAAGCAAAGCGGCTGCACCAGAAATTAAACTATGCTCCTGAGTTTTGTTAATTGCTCTTTTTCTTAAATGAGTCCATTGCTCTATCCTCCAGCACTGTTTATGGAAACTCATTATTTATCATTTTTCAAAGAACCATGGAGTATTTCTCCAGCTCTGCTGCTTTCTATACTTAGAGAAAGGTTGCCGGTGACATAACCAGATATATAAAGCACACAGACAGTTATTTATTGAAACTCGGCATGAGAAAAGGAGGGAAAACTGAAGGACTCTTAAACTCTTAAAATAAACAGTTGCCGCTGATTCTCTATAATTAAACATTATGCCATGGCTCTTTGATAATTACATTCATCTGATCTTAGTATTGCTTACAGGAGACTGAAGAGCTCTCGGTAGTTTTCATCTCCCTTTCCTTCTGACACCAGACTGTCAAGTTTATCGATCAGCTCAGCTTCCACCTGCAAATGAAAAACAGTCACCAGTAAACCCAGTGAATGGGTTTAAAAATATCAGTTAAGTTACCAGGCTGTCTCTGTCTGACAATCTTTGCAGCCTTGAAATTTACGGTAGAAATAGGACCCTTATGTCTATCAATAGTTTTGCTTGCCTTTGAACTGCCAAACTGAAATAGAAAGCTTGAGTGGCTTCAACTAGTGAAGAATTATTTGCCAAATGGAGAAGCTCATCAGTAAGCAGTCATTAAGAGGCTGACTAGAATAGCTCTTCCTGCAGCTTGATTTGCCTTCAGTCAATTTGCCAACAGAATGCAGATGCACTACATCAGATTCTTTCAGCAAACTCCAGCCAGTAAATTGGACAGCAGCAGAATTAAGAAAATTTAAATGCCCTAAATATTCATTGCTACTGTAATATACGACAGAGGTCAAGTGAGTGTGATTCATTTTACCAGCACTCTGAAACAAAAATATGGTTATTAATACAGAATATCTTAAATCAAGTGCTAAAGTCAAGCATTCAGAATGTTTCAGCGTAGTAATATCAAAATAAGTTAAATCAATCAACTGCCCATAGGCTGCTTTTATGTTGACACACACACATCCTGCTGTGGACATACTAAGTACTGAACCAATATGAAATTAAAAAATAACTGTGGTTATTAAATCAGTTTTTTAAATGTTTGTATTTTTGTACTTTGGCACTTGTATCCTCTTAAAGAGCAACCGGAAAAACTAGCAAATAAGATGGAAGATCAGCAGTGGGAAATAGCTGTTTTTTTCCCAATTCAACTGAGAAGGTGAGGTCTCTATGAATAAGGAAACTAAGCTGAAAAAGAATGAGCAACAAAGGCATATGGCAGGTAACAACAACAACAAATTGAAAAGTGAAAGGACAGTTTTTGTTAAGAATATTATTAATAATATTATTATTGTTGTTAAGGGGTCAAATGACAGGCCATCTGCTTCCCCAATATCCATCCTCACCTGTTTGAAGTTGCCATTCTTTCTCTGCTCCCAGTCCATCATGTCATGGAAGATTGGGATCATTACGTTTCTCACCTCGATCTGTGGCACTAGAGTGACTCCCAGGAATGGCCCAATCATCCCAGGAATAAAATGTATTTTATTTTCACCTGAAAACAAGCAAAAATGTCAGGAATCCGCAGAAAGACAAAATAGACGTTTGTTATTTATGTAATTCACATGCTGTACCTGATCTGAAAAGGATTTTGGTGTAGAGAAGAGAGCTCAATTTCATGTGGGGGTATTAAAACAATCAAGCTAATTTGATTAGCCACTGCTTCACACCCCAGGCCACTGAGACCCTCATACACGCATGCATAACACCCAAGCTCGACTATGCAAACTTCCTGCTTGTCGACCTCCCCAACTACTCCCCCCATAGGCTGCAGATCATCCAGAACTCTGCAGCCCGTGATCTCTCCAACACCAGGCTCCAAGACCCCATCACCCCCATCCTCACCTTCAAAGCCCTCCATGGCTTTGCTCCCCCCTACCTCAGCAATCTCCCTAACCCCCTATCAACCTCACTGCTCCCTCTGCTAAGTGGGCTCCGGCCTGCTTCACGTCCCCTGCCCCACCATTGGTGGACGGGCCTTCTGCCACTCTGCTATCACCTTATGGAACTCCATCCCGCAGTCCCTCCGCCTCACCCCTCCCTTACCTCCTTCAAATCCCATCTCAAGACCATCCTTTTCGACCATGCCTTTGGTCATCCTCCTTCCCTTCTTGCCCTCCACTCTCCCCGATAAATGAACACTGTGGGTGATTCTCCAATATCCACATATTTACTGGCCATGGTAAAAGAATGTGTTTAATTCCCTACTGGGGTGTGAATTTACCGAACTGTGAGTAAGACCGGTTTGTCCGCCAAAGTACAAATGGCAATAGCATCTGAATATCCCATACTGGACACTCTGTGCCATGTTTCACATCTATCCACTTAATAATAATCCTTGCCTTTGATAGTGTCTTATCACGTCTTTGAGACGTCTCAAATCACTTCACAGAATATACTGTAAAGTGAACTGACTATAACCTTCATTCTGGGTAGCCCAAATATTAAATGAGTAATATTTACTGAAATTCCAGGAATTAATTATCTGAGAAATGATGATCTGATATGTGAAGACTGCGAAATTCAACAACTTGATTCATTAAAATCTTCAGTTTATGTTTGTAACATCCAATTGTTTCTCTCCTTAAGCAACTTACCCAGATTTTGCCACATAGTGAACAGCTCATAGGCCATCATCACCCTCATGTCACCATATCTAGGAGAAACACAAAATGGAAGAAATATGTATCACAACGATGCAGAGAGTTTCCACTTACTACCAACAACACTCAATGTGTACATCTTCACAAGGTGGAAGTACGCACTTGTCTAGAATCTTCTTTCTTTTGGTTGGTGTTACAGACTCCAGTTGAAGGCTTGGCTGGTTTATAAACAGTACAGTCAGGCTAAAGTATGAGTTCCATACCTAAAGATGAATACAAATAAGAAATATATACTAAGTACTTTAAATGGAAGATTTGTAATGCAGGGCTACATATTCCAACTGTAAACAAGGTACCAATGGTAACCACAAATCAATCTCCTTCTGTTGTTAAGAACTCTTGATATAGATTCTCACTCCACCTCTTATTTATAAATGTATCCCTGTAATACAGTGTCATTAGCTCATTTAACTGTATATCCACTGTGTGCATTCAAGGCAGCAGTTAAGTTGCTGATAAACTGTTATAAAGTGATGCCAGAAATATTTAATAATTGAACGTAAGAGTGTTATATTTACATAATTATGATTATTCAATGGTTAAAACAATAGATACTGTAAAATTGGTGGCATTATGTGCCCAATCAAGAGTTAATTTAAATATTGGTGAGTACATAGTTTAAAATAAATTAGAATTGTATTTAACATGTGCTGAATATTTGTGTAAACTGCTGGTGGTAAAAAAAAGGTCATGTGTGCAATTTGTGCACCTTTTGTTTCTGTTAAGAAACACAAACCCACCTTGAAATCAAAATCTGCTTCTGTGAAATTCTTATGCAATGCAGGAGACAGGTACTGGACTGTTGTGACAATAATGCTGCAAAACAAAAATAAAATAAATGAATTGCCAATCATATCACATCACCACATGTATCGGCCATAGTACACAAATTATTTTAACGCAATCTTCAGAAACAATCTTTGGAAAGGAAGTGTGTTTAATGTCAACAAACTCTTTAGATTAAGTTAATAACTGTATAACAAAAAATAACTCCTAATTTCACTCCTAAATGGCCTGACTCTAATTTTAAGATGATGCCACCTTGTTCTGGATTCCCCACCAAAGGAAATAGTTTCTCTGTGTCTACCCTATCATTATACGGCCTTCATTTGCTGCTATTTCAGCCACTAGGTCCATCGCACTGTGTAGTTAGTTCAGTCACTGGCTGCTTCAAATCAATATTGAGAAGATTGCATCACATTTGCATCATTTTGCTGAAATAGTTTTATGTCACTGTTCTATAAGAATTAGCACATCTGCCTCCCTGTCTGCAGTAACTGATCTACTAATCATGTCTGCTGCAAGGCATTCACCTTCTTTTGTATCTTGACTTAGTTACTGCTTATCAACATCCATGTGACATCTTTGTTCACTGTCATACTGTAGAGCATGAGAAAATCATTATTGTTCCAAATACCTATACCTTGGGGCGAAATGTAAAGAGCCCTTGAACTGTCTAAACATTGGAAATACATGTACATGACAAGATGCTTTGAGGAAGAGTGTATCCTTTATTTTCTTATTTATTGGAACACAGAAAATGTTCCAACTCTTACGATGTCAATGGAGTTATGTGGTGGCTCTGGCAAAAGAATTAAGGCAAAGGCAAACTTGACAGCCACTGGTGTCTCAGTAATAATTGTGGATTATGCCTTACAGATCTTTGTGGACAGATTATTGAACCCTACTTTTTAGGAATCAATAAATTTACAAACTCAGCTGATATATTCTAATTCAGTCTAAAGGGATGCATTTGGGCCAAAAGCTTGTACCTTGATGTAAAATAGTCATCCTATATATAGCAGTGTGGTCACACTTACTTGCTTGTCAGTAGTCTCATCACCATCCAATCCCGTGGATAGACGCTGAGCTTCATTAAATTACGGAATACACAGAATATTTTTAACAGGAACTCCTGAAAGAAAAAGGAAGTCATCTTGAAGTTAGCAATGAAAGGCTATATTAAATTTTTGCTCTTAAAGTTTTTCTTTGTATGACCCTTTAAGTATTCAAATGAACAATGTACTAGAACGTTCTTTATATTTGAATCATGTAAACTTCGGGCTAACAATGGAACTCACTCAACCTTGGTTCAGATTGCAAAAGTGCATTTTGCAGCACCCACAAAATATACAATCAATTCACTTTACAATATATTCTGTGAAGCGCTTTGAGACGTCTCGAAAATATGATAAAGCGCGATATCAAGTACATGGACTATGAATATTATTGGATTATTATGGTTAAAAGTGGAGATATTCATCCAATCAATCAGTTTGTTTGATTCAAACCCAGGTCCCAAACATTAAAAAAAAGTGTGCTCAGTAAGTATGTTCCTTTTCCAATACTTTACAAAAACCATCAAAGTCAAGTCATTTACCTTTAGCTCTTCCTTGCTCTGGAAGTTATCCAATAACTGTTGGTAGTGGTTATCTGACATTTGCCGAAGCAGAGAAAGTAAGCAAGTGACATATTCCCCCTACAGAATGAGACCGAAACAAAACTATCAGTAAATCTATGTACAATGAACACCATATGTAATCACAGGTTAAAATACCAGAAGTAGGATCTTTCAGAGTTTTACACATGAACATACAGTAGATATCGATTTATTAAATACCCATACATAAAACATAATTAAAACTGTGACTTAACAATGTTGTTTAATAAATGGGTCTAAGGGACCATATTATAATGTGATAGGATGCAATTCTATTCAAATAATAGCAAAGGTGGTTCAGTGAAGGTTAGCAGATATGAAGCATTTCCTTCTTAAAGACAAAAGGAAAAAACAGGAGAAAGGGAGTATGCAGCAAGAAATCGGAAATGTTAGCAATTTCCCAGACAGCAATCAATCTCGATAGGAGTCTATTAAAGGGGAACTAAACCCAGTGGTTAATCTATTTAACTTCTGTGAATGTTTCTAAGCCACTTCTTGTTCTTAAGGGCATTGCACTTGCTTCTCAATAAATACACCGACATTGGGAAAGGACATTATTCTCCACTTCTATGGTAAATTCACCAAACCTTGACAGGACGCACTTAGAATGGGATTTACATAACAAGTCCATGTTACTAAAGATAAGTAATCTATCAAGTGGAGAATAACCGATGTGGTCACTTATTTGCCAGTTACTGATACAAATTTAACTTAATCCCTCAAAAAAAATACTATCTCCTCTAATTATCAATGTTCTAGCAATAAAAAAAAATGGATTTACATGGTGCCTCATCACATTGAAATGTCTCAATAAGCTTCCCAAGTAATTACTTTGAAGTGCTCTGACTGCGTGTGAAAGCAAACTCAGCAGCTATTTCTGCCAGCAAAGGTGGCACAAAGCCATGAAATGATGAAAAAATAATTTGGTCACTCAATCCATGACTGTTTGTGGGACACTGTTGTGCACAATTGGCTGCCACGTTTCACCCACAAAATATAGTCACTACACTTTACGGTATATTCTGTGAAGGGCTTTGAGACGTGTCGAGGACATGATGAGGCAACTGTATCGAATGCAAGACTTATTATTTATTATTATGAGGTGAATGTCCAATTAATTGCCAAGATCCCAGGAAAAATTCGCTTCTTTTTGAATAGTATCGTGGGATCTTTAACTTTCACCTGAAGAAACATTCACAGAACTTAAATGAGTCAAGTAGAATGTAATATTACAAAATAAATGACCACTGGGGTACAGTTTACCTTTAAACGGGTTCCTGCTACTACGTTCTACAATCCTACATTTGTGTTTAAACATCGGGCTTGGGAAGAACTGAAAAACAATTTTCAATTAACTGTTAAATTGAATTTTAAACTCTTAAGTAAAGTGAATTAATAGACTATTTGTTAGGGAAGCTGCAGATAACTGTCATTTCCTGAATGATGAAATTAAAGGAGTGTTTTTCTCAAGTAAAAGTCAAATCACCGTATGAGATATTAGGCAACGTTCACTAATTATTCGATTACAAGATAAATACAAGGGCCAGGTTGTTAAATGATATATTCCTGCTAAAATTACTTACTAAAATATCAATTTAAAATAGTTTCTATATTAACAAACTACTGCTTGCCATATCTTCACTTCAAGTTACTGGTTACTGATTAGATAGATTGGGATATGACATGTCAAGCGACTGCCAGGATGGTGGAAGACGAACTAGATGGACCTTGGTCTTCTGACACCTAGAAAATTCTTATGTTCTTACTACCCTGCTAGGTTCTCTTTTACCCATTAATATCTTCTCAGACAACAATACTCCTTTGAAGGTACAAAAAGCTACAAACACAATCTACCTAAACATAGTAGTGAGTTCACCTTAAGCAGTGATATGGGATTTTGAACTCACACATGATGTTGCACCATGAAGCAGGTGGAAAGACTAGGGAAGGGTGAATCCATGCAATGGGTGAGGGTTGTTAAAAAGGATTGTTAGTTACTAACAGTGATTTCTGCCGTGCACTGTGGGCAGCGCTGTCCTCTTACCGCCTCCGCCATCTGGGACTTATTCATAATAGATAGCAAGGTCTGGAGCAGAACATCGAGAAGGCTCTCAACCATCATCTCCACTTCTTCTGATACTGAGCACTCCTAAACCACAGGACAACACTAGTACATCAATAATGTAGACAAGTACAGAAGATAAGTAACTCGCAAATTGGCTATTATGTCAACCTTTTTGTCTTCTGTGGCGGTACGTTGTCTAGAAATGGAATACAGTATTTTTGTTCTGTAAGCAAAGAGCTTTACCAAGTAGCAGAATGTAACTCTGATAAGAACAAATTCTCATTCAATTTGAGATTGCAGATTTATTTCTTCTCTCTCAGGTTCCATCATATGATGAACAATTCTACACAAAAGGCTGGACAGACAAACCTGTTTCACAGCCTTTGTCAATAATTCTTCAAACACACTGGGAGATGTGCAAGGACAAGCTAGTTCATCTTGCCATTGTTTCTCTTTGGCTATGCCTGGCAATTCCCCAGATAGGTTGACTGAAGGACCACAAACAATCAAATTACTGATCTGGCGTATCAGTGGGCTGATATCTCTTACACTGGCCCAACAGTTCGAGTTTATTAAATTATCGCTGAAAATCATTTTAAGACTAAGGTTTTCATTGGCAAAATGAAACTGTCTTTAACAGGAGTCACACAGCAGCAGTCACTTACCACCATACTAGTGTGTTAACAAGTATCTAATTGAACTGATCAACCCTCCACCCCCCCAGCATCCGACCCCATCTTTGTAAGGCACTCCAAAACGTTAACGTATATGGAGGCACTACACAAATACAAGTTGTTGTTGATCTAATGCTATATTGCAGTTAATTCCAGCCCACTGTAATGTAGTATGGAGAACTTGGACAAATTTGTAATTCCATCATTACCCACGAAATTAAATTCTAATCGCAGGCATGTTTTTAAAGAGAAAGGGAGTAGACATCATGAGAGAACATGGGATGTCAGCCGGAGCTCTGTTAGAAAGCCTTTCAGAGGGACAGAGAATAAAGTAAATCCCACCAGCATTTTAACAGGTAGAGGAACAGCGTACCAGGGAGCTTGTCTTCATGATGGAAAAGATGCTGCTGAGAATCCCTGAGCAGATGAGCAGCTCCTTCTGTTGTCGCAGGTGCAAGTGGATGTGATGGAGAACTACAGGCAGCAGGATCCGCCGGGAGTCTAGAGAGAAATATGGCACCGAGCTACATTTCCACAGTGCAGTACTTTAACATTAGCACGTACAGCTATCAAAAGGGTATTATACCAGAAACAGATAGCGTTCATTACTTTTGTGTAAAACCGTGTGATAAGGATGTTACAGGGATGAATTAATGTCTGAATAACTGAAACTATCTTGAATTTTATCTACCACTGGCTAGCTTACGTCCTCTAGTTCTGGGCTCACCAGCAAGTGGAAACAGACTATGAAAATCCATCCTAACAAATTCTTTCACATTCAGTCTGGACTGTGAGGGGAAGGAGGGGTTTATTGCTTTAGCTGGGTAACATAGAGAGGATGGCTTCGCTTACCTGTGTAGGAAAAGAGTCGGCTGTCTACAGTCCGTGCGATGGACTGCAGCTTGACGACGTCCATCGACTGGCCAATATGCACTGTGCTGGGCATGCTGCCCAGTGTCCCTCTCACAAACTCTGCCACCTCTTGAACTGTAAACATTTGCAGCAGCTCATCAAAGATCGCTGGGAAAGAGTTGAGTAGAGCTGCCTGCGTCAACAATGGGAATATTAAAAGGTAGTTTGCTGTAAATACTGTACATAATGCATGTACAACAGTTCCATAGTCACTATAATGCCAGATTCACATTTATCCATACAACACGCAAATGTCCCAAAGTTCATAACATGATCACATGCATTACAAATCACACAGAAATAGACTTTGGACTCTCCATAATTAAATTTAAGTGAGCACTTTGACATAAAGGAATAGTCTCAACCTGAATTTATCTTAAAAGGCTTACGTCAGGCTGTGGAATTATTCTAAAATGAAAGTATCTTAAAAGCATGTACACAAGTGCTTTGTTTGACATATTGAACACTCGAGGAGACGTGCCACAGTGGGACGATTCAGGTTTACGGACATAATTCCATACATATTGAATTGCTTACCTCAACTATATTCTGGTGAGGCACTAATTGGCATTTAGTGTTGTGTAATACATTCACATAGAGGTTAACCAACAAGATGTATATATAGTACACGTACAGCCATATAGTACAGCCATTCCTCATCTACAGATGTATAGGCTGTTCTCGTTCAAGCTGTACAGTACCAGCAGGGTGCCCCAAGCAGTTATGAGGAACCTTGTTGTCAAATATACAGAACAGGTGGTACTTAATGATACAGTGGGAGCTCTGTTATAACACCATGGATTTGATCCATAAAATTCCAACTCACCCACCTGACAAGGCTGCAATAACTTGTTTCACTATACATACGGCTCGGTTTCTGTACTCAAGACAAAGGCCAACCTCTGAGTCATTAGGTTGTCACTGTCACTCGCTATGCACTGTACAGAATATTCCACTAAAGAATATAATATAGCTTTATTTTCATCAAAACGAAGACAGGAGCCGTGTTTTAGTGTGCTCATAATGGTGTAGAAAGGCGGGCATCAAAAAACATTCACAACCTGCTGTTCATTGGCCTGCATCAACAATACAAGACAATAATTGACAACAGCTGCAGGATTTCAAACATCTCTGTTTAGTACTGTCGAGCTAACTGTTTTGACTGATCTGTTGTCACCTTACTGCAACCAGAAAGAGCTCAGAACATTACCAGTCAGTCATGTCGCTGCAGAGCTATTGTTATGGTTTAATTCAATGGCATAACTATTTCATTATATACTGCTTTGTACAATGCTGTGATGTGACTTTATCAGGCTGGTCACATAGGCATGCGATGGGAGATATGTGATTGACCTGTGTGAAGATGAGAGTTTCAGAACTTCTGCTGTCCAGGCTCAGCACAAAGCGGATGGACTGAAAGAGCTCCTGAATACTGGCACGAAAATGCTCCTCTTCTACCCCACCTGTCGCTCTTGAATACAAAATCCGCGACTGTACGATAAACTTGAACAAATATTCCAAGGCCTGCGGAGGAAAAGAAAATGACGGTTTAAAGACTTCGCTAAACATGGGTGCAGTCATCATTTAACCAGCACTGGGATAGTTCCTCCAAGAGGATCTATATCCTGTGCATTCGCCTGATTAAGACTAGATCCTGTAATAGTGGACCTTTGTAATGGGGGTGAAGAGTCAGGCAGAAAAACATTGAAGTGGGAATTGCATTATATTTTAGTGTGAAAGCCATATAGGAGAAGGCATTTTCATATTTGCCCAGTAGGAGCATTTTAAAGTGCAAACGCCAGTATTTGCGTATGTTTAATCCCTAACTTTGCTAATGTTAATGTAGAATGGAAGCTTCATACCCTCATTGCATCTTGAATGTGATCCTGTCTCACCACTTCAGCAGATCGGTCCATATACCACTTTAGACATCTGATTAACTCCCTTTAAAAGATCACAGGATTTAAAACAACATGGCACATAATATCAGATGGAGGAACTTAACACACGTATACTGGGATAGATAGACACGTAAGAACATAAAATAATAATAATAATAATCCTTGCATTTGATATAGCGCTTTTCACGTCGGGAGGACGTCCCAAAGCGCTTCGCAGAACACACTGTAAAGTGAATTGACTGTATATATTTGTGGGCGAACGCGGCAGCCAATTGCGCACAGCAATGTCCCACAAACAGTCGTAGATTGAAAATGACCAATTTATTATTGTTTTAGGTTTTGGAGGGATTATTATTAGGCTCTGTGTGGAGTAAGGAAACTTGCCCAAGGTTTCGCCCTCTGCCTGGGAATGAACTCAGGTCTCTCGCTTGCAAAGCGAGTGCTCTAACCACTGAGCTACAGGACTCCACATATATATATATATATAAAATGTATTATATATATAAAATGTATTATACATGATAACAGATGTTACCCTAGATTAGCACACATATATCAAACTGGCACAGACGTACATAAATGAAGTGGCACACGCATAAACATACAAAAACAAGCACAGACAGACGTACAACTGCTGAAATTTCACGAGTTTGCAAGTCAGTATAATTACAACAAAAGCTGTCTTTAGAAAGGCTAGACTACATTAGAGTATTTTATTCTGACTTCTCATTATCTTTGTAAGGGCTATGTGGATTTGAGCGATTATGTGTTGTGCATCTGTATGTTGTTTCTCATAAACGAAAGTAAAGCAAACATGACAGTTCACCAATGGAAAGATTAATAGAACAGTCAGGGAAGCTAAGCTGGTCCTGCCAGCTTGAGGGAATAATCCGACACTGTCAGATACTTCCTGACATTGGGCTCCCCTGAAGTTACTGCTGGTAAGGCTCATTATAACTGCATGATTTAAGAACATAAAAATAGAACTTACACAGTGTATTACAAAATATGTTACAATTGTATTGACACGTCTGATAAAACAGATTCAACTCAACCTCTACTTGGCCTCAGTTTATTCCCTGACATAAACTCAATGGGTCCCTGAAAGAGTATAATTACTAAACTGCAGCAGTCTGAATGGCACAGCTGTAGAACAAGGGAAGGGGGTACACAATCATGAATAGTTGGTAGATAATGGAGCTTCCCTGATTCATCATTTTACTCTGTAAATTGAATGATTTATAAAGATAAACTAATCCCAGTAGATCTCTTCCGGACTGTAACATTGGCAATGTTGTGTGCAATAGTACAGCTTTGTAGACTTGACCTCCAGTGGCAAACAGTGTTAAAAGCATCTCTGGATGATTCTGTAAGTAATTGTTAGAATAATCCACACAGAACCATGAGGTAAATGAACTCACTTGTATGCCAGCGCCCCAGAGAAGTGCTTCTGAATGTAGGTATCCATCACAGGGCGGAAATGAAAATACTTGCTGTCTCTCAGCAAATTTATTATGAATACCTGGGAAGCAGAGTGAGAGCCATTATAAGAACTAAATAAAGTGTGTTATGGCAGGCCGAGCAACAGGGATTACATTAAACCAAAAAACATCTGGCCTTTCCTGTTTATACTCAGGAAATTGATAGTGGAAAGGGAATTACAGAGGTTTCCAGGACAGTGTGGTCAGTGTTTCTATGTGTACAACAAACTCTATAATCGCTGCTTTAGGAAAAGACTCGTCTCTACTTTCCCTCCTCCCACCCTCCATGTCACATTGTCCACTTGTGTGATGTTCACTTCAGTGTCCTGACTCACACAGTTCCTTCAATTAAATTCAGCTCAGCCAATGGAGAAACATGTCAGAGTGAACTCATAACCAGTAGAATACTGTTTTGCATTCAGGCTATGCAAGATGCTGTCGGAGATATCAAATAGGGGTAAAGTATAAGTAGTTTGACAGAATTCATGAATAAAAGAACATTTTAGCCAGCTCATTTTAAAAATGGCACCTGCTGGAAATTACAACCAGACTGCTCTGTGTTTTGTTATAAACAGAAACTAAAATAAACTCTTAATTTGGCAAATTCTCAGCCTATTCAATGAAGTGAAACAGGCAGCTTGATAGGTGACTGAATAAGCTTCCATTGGAACTGAAATATGATTTTATTTTTGCTAAGGACCAGAATGTGATGAGTGTTCTCTCATGTAGTTGTGTGTCTCAAACAATCTTGCCGGAAACCACTAGTTTTTTAGTGATTTATAAATGAATAATGTTTTGTGGAATGAGCTGGATATAAAATGATTTGGTTTGTTGCACTTACCAAAGATTGAAATACCAGAAGTCCATATTTCTCTGTATTGTCATCTAAAATTGAAAACAGTGTGTCTAAAATATCCTGCAAAAACTGTAAAGGAAAAGGGAGATTAGCTGAAGAAAGCCATCACTGGGGTCACAGTTCCATGCAAACAATAAGTAACCAGAGAGCCCTCACACACAACTAAAAATCAGATCGCTTTAACACAAAATACACACTTCATTAATTTAACAAATGAATACGTCATTAATTTGCTTATTAAAATCATATTCTTATCTAAATCTAATCAGCCTAAATAATCACTAGCCAGTCACCTGTCCATATTAGCACTTCACATACTAGATAAAGTTCCATGCTTGGTTTCGAGATAGCTAAGATTGCAGCGGAAACACTAAAAATGGCTTCTGTACCTTCAAATAAGGGAAGCAAAAAAAGTGCTGGTTTCAGTCATCACCTGGTGATTCCTGCTTAGAAATGTGTTCGTGAGAATGTTAAATGAGAACAGGATTGGGCCACAAACAACAAGATGAAAATTTGGACCAATTTATCCACAGTATGGTCTTTACTGATCACTAATGATCATTTCATTTCAGACATCTCATCTTTTTTTCTTATTCTCGCTCTAATCATTTACCTATTTTGAAATGATCTACAATCATTTGAATTAAAGCAGGCTGGCAAAAGACGTGAATAGTTCTCAATCTGATTGTTATTTCAGCGCTCCGGGATGTTACCCCGTGTGAAAGGCGCTATATAAATGCAAGTTGTAGTTGTCTAACGTCAATTTGTTCCTGAAGACATGTGTCCTACACATTGACACCATGAATCTGAAAGTCAACTTACTTTAACTATTTCTTCTCCGCTGACATGGCGCAACCTCCCCAGTATGTCCATCACCCTGTCTGGATGCACCTTCCACTTCAAAAGGGCTAGGAGATCAACTGCAGACAATCAAAACACAAGTATTAAGTACCCTGGGTGGTGTTTAAGAAAAGATTATATGTATTAATTCATGGGCAAGGAACAGAGGGTAAATGACATTAAATGTGCATCACCAAAATATCTTCAGAGCAACATTCCAACTACATAACCATTTGAGGAATGAGGAAATAATGCGTGGAGGCCAAATAGAGGGAGAAAAGTAAGATACCAAAATATTTGTTATAAAAAGGCGGTTAAATGGCAAACAGTTATGCAGCAATAGGAAACTGCAACTACCGTAGTGATCTGTCTGAAGGAAATTATTTGATATTTTTCTCAGTTTTCCCACCAGAAACGTGGATGATACATTGTGTGGCTAAATAAACATTCAATTGAAATACTTTCTTCAGGATGTCTGACACATTACAACTGCTTTCTTACAATACAATCTCATGCAATTTCTCATCCTGTGCCAAAGTGCTGCGCATTCATAAACAAGATACTTTCTACAATCAGCATCTATGGAGAGAAGAAAGTGAGTTAACGTTGCAGGTCGATGACCTTTCGTCACAACCGGACAAGTGTTCCCAGTGACTTCTGTGTTTATTTCAGATTTCCAGCATCTGCAATGCTTTGCCTTCTATACCAGAAATGCTGTTCACAGATAAAGTAATGCAGAGAGTGCATTTTATTTTTAAAAGACAACCGTTAAGTTCCTTTAAGTAAAATAAAACATTACCATTCTGGGTGAGTTTGGTAGAGGAGAGCAGAGTTGAAATCCAAAAGAACTCCTTTGTACTTCGCTGAAATATGAGACTGGATGGGATGTTAGGACAGCCATTGAAGTCCTCTTTACAGCAGGGAAGGCCCAGGTACAGTGCATGGTTACTGAAAGTGCTATTCTCATCGCACTGTGAAACAGAATCGTCAAATTATTTAATTCTCCTTCATTTCCTGCCTTTCTTAGCTTTGCTAAAATAGTTGCATCATTGCCTCCGAGTCAGAAGATTGTGGGTTCAAACCCCACGTTAGGACTTTCAGCCCATCTTTTAGGTTGACACACAGTTCAGTGCTGGGGGAACGTTGCATTGTTGGAAGTACCATAGCATCCTCCAGACGTGAAAGGCGCTATACAAATGTGATTTGTTGTTTTTAATCAAGTTTTAAAACTGCATAGTTTGCCATGACAAGCACTGTAGGCAGGTGTTCCACTGCTCTCCAGCTAGGACCAATCCAATGATGATTTGGCTTGAAAGGTTAACAGGAGCCGAATGGAAAAATCCCCATCCCCAGTAACTGACCTGTACCTCCAAATGCTGCCAACTAGCCAGGATGGCTGGCCTGGCGTATGCAGTGTCTTGGAGTACTGTTGACCTGCCTGGCTTAGGAACCAGATCACGAATGCCATACAGGCAAATGAATTAATTCTGACATCCTTTAATAAGCACATCACTTAGGAGCCAGTTTAGTGCCAAGGAGACCCCACCTTTCTACCTCCAAGGAGGTTAAACTCTCTTATAACCTTGTAAAGACAAAACACTCTTATTACCTTGTATACATATAGTTCGTGGACATCATCTGAAAGAGTTGTGCCATCATCTCGCATCAGTGGGGTAAATGCAAAGCCAAAAAGCTTCCTCTCTGCTTTGTCTTTTGCTAAATGAAAATTATACATTGGAATCAGAGATATAGAAAGTAAGTAGGTCAACAGCACTTGGCATCATCTGTATAGAGATAGATAATCAGAGACTGGCTTCAGGTTATGCTTTATATTCTCAGGTAGATAAGATTGCTCATGTTAGAACAGATACTTACACCCTAACCACCTAGGTGCAGTTTCCTGCTGAGCAGGTGACAAATCTGCTCCAATTCCTAATCTTCCCTTCAGAGGGGAATTTAAAATATTTATTATAATGTGCATTGAGCAAAAGTATGACCACCTAGACTGACATTTGGTTGCAATTTTAAACAGCAACCGATAAATACTGTATAATGTTACCGCTGTAAAGTACCACACACAGCACTTACTGGGATTCAGTATTGGTAAAGCACTTACTGGAACAGTGTCGGAACTCAAATCGAAGGTGTGAGCCTCTAAACTTGTCAACAGGGATGGGCAGTTTGACAATCTCTCCCCACCGTGGACTGTTGTTGTGGTACAGCACGAATGAACAATGGTCAGTCATGGGGGGTTCTCCAGACCCAAGACTGATACATTCCTGCCAATCACAAAACAATAATGTGAACAAACCACCCGAGTATTTCCTGATTTACTTTCTACAAAAAGATCACGATTAAAGATCAGAATCACAAAGTGAGCTTAGGCCAATGGCAAACATTGGCAGTTTGGTTCCATGTTTTTCATGTACAACAACAGTCATAGTACTCAATGTTCTCCTTTGTACCTCAGGCGATACCGACATCAAATGTATTGTCCTTCAACTATGCAAGCTGAATTTGGCTCACTCATCACAGACCAGAATTAGAAACTCAGATATTCCTTCTGTCTCATTCACGACCATAACACTTGGAACGTTGACTCACTCAGCCTCCAAGCCAATTATAAAGTAACTGCATCAGAAAAGGACTGATATTTCTGCTTTTCTCAATAGAAGTTAACATTTCATTAAGAAAGTTATCTTGTGCCCTGCATCTCCCTACCCAGCTCCAGCCTCATCTCCCTCCTCTTGGAAGGTTTTCCTATGGAATATTTTGGAGGTAGAGAGCAAACAGAAACCTGAGGTTTTGGGTTTTACACGCATACTTTGATATTTTATTACTGATATCAGTGGAGCAGCACATCACATTGGAGGCACTTTAGTACCCAGAATATGATGGGAAAAACAATGTTCAAAAGTTTTAACAGTCTTATTAGCAGAGCTCCTGTTTAGTAAAAATTTTATTAACATAATATTGTTTATTGTAGTTTGTAGTTGAACATGTTGCTTATACACTCAATATTATATAATCAGGCAACTGGATGAGCAGTCCCTGGATCTGACAGCAGAAGGAATACAAGTCATTAACCCGGGGGTGTTTCAACTCCACTCGCGTATGTTAATTTGCTCTCACACTGCCAAGCTCAAATCTCTAATAATCTCCATAACACTCATTGAATAAACAAAATTATTGCAATGAAATCAATAGAAATAGACTCAAGAAAAATAAAAGCAAATTAAAATTAACAAGGATTTTTGTAACTGTTTGATTTTTAGAAGGCTCTTGATGAACATATTCATCCAGCCAAACTGATAGCTCTCTTGCTCTAGTTGTACATATCAGTTGAGGAATCTTAGACCCAGTTCCAAGCCAGCCATTGTCTAAGACTCAAAACTAACATGAAGAGAGTCAACAGAGGTCAAGATTGGCTGATATGGGAAATGTACATGTTTATAGTCATACCATATGTTATTTCAGATGTTTCTCCTCTTTTAGCTTAAAATATTGTGCTCAAAATACCAATGGAAGATTTGGCTAAAGATTGACTTCAATCAATGTCGTTTAGATACTCAACCAGAGTCAACTGGTTTTAATCCTTAATTTAAAAAAAAATGATGAAAGCTTTGGCCACTACCGTTAGTTCGTAAGAACAAAAGGACCATTTGTGCTTTATTTTAAAACATTTCAAATGTGTTCCCACATGAAGCATTGTAACTTAAAATATTACAATGCTATCTGCCATATTACTGCCAGCTTATAATGCTATTGCGCTTCCAGTAAGCATGCTGATTTAACTTTAGATTGATAAAGAAAAGCCTTACCTTTAGAATTTCTCCATCTGCATAGAGAACATATACAGTTATTTCAATGTTCTTCTGCACGCTCTTTCCTCCCCGCTCAAAATCCCCTCGCTCCAAGGTGAGATAAAGATCGTTCCTGATGTCACCTAGATTATATTTATACAACATGCCCAAACAATTCCTATTAATAAAATCAAACCTGAATAACAGATACATGAAAATGACATTGAACATGCAGCCATCTTCATTCATTCAGCAAGTTATTTTTGAGATGTTAGTAACGGTGTATACTCGATTGCAGAGGTGAGGTCAATCAAAAAGTGCAGTGAAGATTCAGGGTTAAAGTGAACACAAATACATTCTTAGTGATACACAGCTCATTCTTAGGGCTGCAATGAACATTCTTCTCAATAATTTACATTATCACTATGAGGTGCCACAATTGTACTCCGAAGAGCATGTGACAATATGATTTGTAATGCACTAACATTAACTCATTACCTAATAGCATTAATAAGAATTTACATTCTGTAAATTTAATAAGTTTGAGAAAGACAAAAATGCTTAAGTGCTGCCACAGCACATGCAATATCTGTTATAGCATAAAGCTGCGCTGCTAAAAACTATTCCATATATCAACACCACCTCTAAGTAGATATCATTTTCAGTATATATGCCATTTCAGAATCCCAAATCAGTGCTTAAAAAATTGGTACGCAAATGGTTCCTGCTATGTGACTGACAAGTGGTTCTCAGAAGCAAAGCTCTTGTTAGGTGATTAGCAGGTGCTTGTCATATAGTTTTATACAAATGTGTGGGAAAGTGCTAAGCCTCTGCTCTGCAGCTTTACACCAGGATTGTGTGATTGGCAATTCACCAGATAAGGAATCATGATCTTCATGATTCTTCATGTTGAATTATGTTAAATACTTTAGAGTTATCTCAAATCTTCGAATTGTAATTGGTATTCATCACTTTGCATTTGCATTTTTTTTACCGAGGAGAGTTTCCAAAGTTTCCAAAGACAGCTTTAATACATGTTTATTTTGAGACTGATAGTGATCTCACCATTATCTATGTAGGGATATGCAGAAGTGTATCACAATCTGAAAGAGTAAGGTTGTAAGGGTAAGGTTGTAGCACAGCAATTTGGAGGAATGCTTATGCAATGAAATATCATTCACAACTTAAAAAGAACTCATACTGCGGTGCCCATTTGCATTAGTGTCCTGAAATAACACACCAAAATAAAGCTTTAAAATAGCACTCAGGGCTACAACAAACCAGTTGATATAACACATTATTACAAAATAATGGATCAACAGGTAATTGCTGTCAAGTGTAGTAACTGTATATTTGTAGGCAAACATAGCTGTCAATTTGAGAATAGCAAGGTTTCACAGGCATGAAGTTAATGACCAATCTATCTGTTGGAATAATCAGCACTGGGAGAAACACTCTTCTCTTTTCAAACAGCAACCAGCTGAATAGGCAGATGGAACCTTGATTTCAGTGGTCAACACAGAAAGTCAGCAGCTCTGAGAACTGAGTCCTGCACTGAGTGTCAGTTAGTGTTCATCCATAAATATTACATAAGTCAAGTGTTATGCTATTACTCATAAACACTGTGAAGCAAACATGAAAAATAGCCTGGAATTTACACACTTGAATTTCCTTTTTTGTATATAATGTTAAAGTGATCAATTGCTGGTGTGGATGTTTGCATGGGGGGGAGGGAGAGAGAGAGGTGGCAGTGCACTGCTGCATGTGACAATATATGTGTATACATGTGGGCATGCTATGCGCGGTATTGTTTCTAGCTATATTTAAGCGTATACTGCTATTTCTAAGCCTAGGTGCTACCGTTTCTTCTTGTGAAGGTGGTTACATGCTCTTGTTTTTAGTGGTTCCAAATAGGAAAGGATGAACAAAGCCTTTTTCTTTTATTCATAAGATTGGTTCAGATAGTTTATTGCTGCCTTACACTAATTGGACATGGCGAGTGATGATGAGTCATCTAACATAAGATCTCATCAGCTTCCCCCTTGGCAAAATCTATCTCATCCATGGAGTACATGCATATCCTATTCTTTCTTGCTGCCACGTTTTACCCACAAAAGACAGTCAATTCACTTTAAGTATATTTTGTGAAGCACTTTGAGACGTCTCGAAGACGTGATAAGGTGATATATCAAATTTAAGGATTATTATTACTTTATATAAGTAATGCCTTGCTGTTGAACCAGAGAATGTCAGGAAAGATTCTCGAAGCCAGGACACTGGACCCAGAACACACCCCCAAGGCACCCCACTTTAATACCTCTCCTATTTTCACCGCTCTCCCCAAACAATGACCCTCTGGATCCTTCCTTCCCTTCAGCCAATTTTGTATCCATCCATTATGCAAAACACAGCCAGTGGCATCTGCTTAGCTCAAAGAATTTATTTGCTGTACACATCCCTTGACAATGCTGGGAATGGGATACTTTTTATTAACATACTTGTCAAGGTGACGGATACCATTTTAACAAAGTAGAATATTCTTTCCACTTTGCAATCAGTGCAGTGACTGATCCGATTTGTTCAACTCAATTATGCAACAATGGACATGTATTTTTAATGACTTATTTTCTTTCCCCTGCAGTGCATTTTAATAAGGTTACATCACTGGTTCAGCTTGCATTCTGTAAGTGATACAATTTTGACTCAAAACAAATTCGTAATTTGGTCTTTTAAATTACCCCAAAATATAAAAAGTTGTAGCGCATGATTATAGAGCACCATTATCATAGTTTACAACTTTTAGAGCTGGCTTTGGTAATGCCATCTTACTCAAAATGCACTGGGGAAAGCAGCAATTCCATCCATTGGTAGTTTGAAATATGGTACAGAACATTCTTTATACAAACTTCTACTTGGTTGTGGAAATCTTCCATTCCCTGACATTTTACAAATAGAGATATTGTACTTAGGACTATAAATGTTCATGCTGGCTATAAGGCTCTTTTACATAGGAGGTATATTAACACTTAGAGAGAATATGAATAAGAACAAGTGTTTCTAGACAGAATAAGAATTTCCTTAATGTTTATTGGAATTGAGGCATCACATAACCCTGTCCACTGAAGCATAAAGTACATTTTTTTTAAACAGCTCACAACATTGTCAAAGTCATTTAAATAAGATACTGCTTCACTTAGTGACTACATGCTGAAAAATGGTTTTAGAGTCATAGTAAATTAAGTACAACATATATTCTCCCAGTTTGAGTATTCTGAAACAGCAAACGGCTATTTTAACCCAATTTCCCAGTGAATCTACCATCGGTGGTCGGGCCTTCAGCCTCTCAGCCCCGAGGCTCTGGAACTCTATCCCCCAGTGCCATCGCCACTTCCTCCCTTTCCTCCTTCAAGGCCGGTCTCAAGACCTTTCTCTTTGACCTTCAGCCTTCAGCTCCCCTCTCGACTCTCTACCCCCTCCTCGCCCCCTCCCTCCCCTCCCCTCACCCTGACCATTCCCCCACTGCTCGGGTCCTGACCCAACTGTACAGCACCTTGGGACATCCTCCTGACATGAAAGGCGCTCTATAAATGGAATCTTGTTGTTGTTGTTGTTGAATGAATATCTTATACACATTCTCTAATTGGTGTAATAATAATAATCCTGGCATTTGATACAACGCCTCATCATGTCTTCGAGATGTCTCAAAGCGCTTCACGGGATATACTTTGAAGTGAATTGACTATTTTGTGGATGAAATGCGGCAGCCAATTGCGCACAGCAGTGTCCCACAAACAGTCGTGGATTGAGTAACAATTTTTTTTAAAAAAGGAATTATTACCCCAGGAAAAGCGATCCGCCAATCGACTAACAACTGGGTTCCTACTTACTGCTAGATAAACAGACGCGTGTGTGTGGAGTAAGAAAACTTGCCCAACGTTTCGCCCTGCCCGGGAATCGAACCCAAGTCTCTCACTTGTGAGGCAAGTGCTCTAACCACTGAGCTATAGGACTCTGGCTTCAAGACATCTCAAAGCACTTCAGAAAGCGTTCCATTTCCAAGCTTTGACATTCTTCACCTTGATTAAAGAAATCAAATAATCTTCCGAAAATGTAAATCATTTTCACCAACCAAATATCCCTGCTGACTCCCAACACTGGGAAATCAGATTGTAGTTTTCGATACACTAATTATTATGTATATCCTTGGCTGATTTTAACCTCCATATTATCAATCAGGGATCTTATCAATCAGAATTCCTGTCCTCATGTCTCTTCACCCTCTCCTGATATGAGTGAGTGTGTATGTGTGTGCGCGCGCGTGTGTGTGAGAGAGAGCTGGGTGAGGAGTTAGGCTCAGCTGTGACATGCTCTATAGTCGTGAGGCCTGCTGACACTTATTGCCATGGTTCACTTCACACTAGAACAATGATCGCTTGGGTGGGAGACCATAAGGCAGCCAGTGCCATCTAACTGAACCTCAGCAAGAGGAGGCTGGGGACCAAGAACAGAGGTAAATGCGAATTGGGGCAAAATTAGAATACTGTAATTAGACACTTTTTTTTCTTCATTCTGATCCCAGTGTTGGCATCTGCAGTACTTGAATGGTGAAAATTACATGCATTTGTTTAAAAAGACTTAAGTGAATCTTGTGCCGATTAAGGTGAGGAAAGTCAGTGCTGCTAAAATGGAACACTTTCCTACTTTTGCTGCTCATTTATCAGCATTGAGCCTGGGCCAGATACAGAATTAATTTGTGCACCTCTGCTTCATCGAGGTTTCTTAAATCTCTTGATACAGCAACCTGACATTGCTTTTCCCTCACTAGCCAACATAGTGGTCTCTCCTAACTGAGTTTGACATCTTGAGTGTGAATTGGTGGCACAATGGGCCGAATGGCCTTCTTCTGTGCTGTACATTTCTGTGTGCCTAATTTCTATCTGGGCAGTTTTGCTATCAACTGCTGCCACAAGAAACTGGGTTGAGATGGTTCCAAACTCTCTTCATTCACGATTTTTACAATCAACAAAAGAAAAGTTAAATTAATTCTATGCTATCTTTGAACCCACGTCCCAGAGACGAAGGATAAATGTACCACACAAGCTCCACTTAATAATCCACAAAAGACTTTATAACTGTGGGCAAAGGAGCATTTAGCAAAATTACAGAATGAGCTGCTTCTTCATAATACTCCCACTTTTGTTTTGTTGCTTTAGCTGTGAAGACCAGCAGACACTAACGCAGTAAAATGATGTGTGACCCGTCTTAGCTGTAATTCTGTAATTCGAGCTGTCTTAACTCGAATTCAAGATCCTCATCTACAAGGCCATTCACAGCCTCGCTCCCTCCTACCTCTCTGATCTACTATCCCCCTACTTACCTGCCCGTACCCTCCGTTCCTCTGGCTCCGGTCTGCTCCACATCCCCCGCCCCAACCGCCCTACCATCGGTGGCCGGGCCTTCAGCCTCTCAGCCCCGAGGCTCTGGAACTCTATCCCCCAGTGCCTTCGCCGCTTCCTCCCTTTCCTCCTTCAAGGCGGTCTCAAGACCTTTCTCTTTGACCTTCAGCCTTCAGCTCCCCTCTCGACTCTCTACCCCCTCCTCGCTCCTTCCCTTCCCTCACCCTGACCATTTCCCCCCAATGCTCGGGTCCTGACCCAACTGTACAGCGCCTTGGGACATCCTCCCGCCGTGAAAGGCGCTCTATAAATGGAATTTTGTTGTTGTTGTTGTTGTTGTAAGGAATAGCGCAGACCAATAGCAAGGCAAATGTGTTCTGGAGTGAATAGCATACAGTAAGTCTTATTGTTCCAAGCAGTGAAGAAGTATTAATTATTCTGACCCCACCATGTTTGGCCAACTCACTTAACTTTTACGTACAAATCAGCAGATTCAACTTGAAAGTGGCAGGATTGACAATTAAACTGGATACTTCCTATTTGCTTAATGGAAAGACTTTTTTTTTTTTTGCAAGGGGTCAATTGACCAAATGCTCGAGTCTTGAGGAACGGTGACTGCTGCAATGTCTATGCTAGGTACACACAGTCATTGGCAAAGTTGCCCTCAACATATAGATTTTCTCAATGTTGGTGCATAAAAATAAACAAACAATTTAATGCATTTTGGTTCAACAAAGCTTTGGTGCAAGAGTGTCTCAGGTGAAACTATTCACCCGGGACACTCTTTTTCGTCTTAAAAATAAACTTTTTTTTAAAAAAACCTATATAATAGAGCCAGTGTAGTTCAGCCTCAAGTACTGAGATGGTTTGTTGAGGAAAGCAGAGCAGCCCAATTAAAGTATTGATTTACTGCATGTGTGTGCCTCTGGTGCTTCTCTGCTGCAGCGCAATGGACGTTCATGAAAAAAGCAAGCAGCAGACACTGCAAAGGCAGGCATTGGGACTTACAGCCCATTATATTCATCTCTGCAGCAGAGAGAGAAAGAAAGAGGGACCAGGACATTAGTTAACAAAATAACATTTACATGTCAGCATTGGGGCATGCAATGTTAGAAAATAACAGGAATCAGGAAAGTTCATTGAACACCAGTGTATCAAAAAAGGTAAACAGACAAATAAAGGAAAAAAGAATAACAATTGTGTTAGCTTCCTATGATCAGAAAATATCAAGTTCTTCTGATTATTGTTACTTGATGTTTTTGTGGAACAATATTCCTTGCATTTGATACTCAATCCACAATTGTTTGTGGGACATCGCTGTGCGCAATTGGCTGTTGCGTTTCACCCACAACACACATTCACTTCACAGTATATTCTGTGAAGCGCTTTGAGACGGCTCAACAGTGTGATAAGTTGCTATATCAAATGCAAGGATTATTATAAATCAATGATGGGGCCAATTAATGTGTCAGAATATAAACTAGTTAAAAGATGAATGCTAAATTCTTGCAAAGCTTGACGCTTATGTTCACACAGTGAAAAAAAATCTATTTATAATAATAATCCTTGCATTTGATATAGCACCTTATCACGTCTTCTAGACGTCTCAAAGCCCTCACAGAACAGACTGTAAAGTGAATTGCCTATATTTTGTGGGCTAAACGTATCAGGGAGAAATACTGGAATACAGGAGTGCAACTATATGTTACACATATACACACATACATACACAATTTATATGCACACACTCACAAACACACGTCAAAAACTTGCATTTATATAGCGCCCTCCACGCCGGGCGGCGTCTCAGAGCGCTTAACAATGGCGGAGCCCGAGGCCGAGCCAGGGGGATGGGGAAGGTGATCGTAGGTGCAGTCAAAAAGTAAAGTCCTCAGGCGTGACCTGAAGAGGCGGAAGGAGGGGGCGAGGTGAAGAGGTTGAGGGAGGGTGTTGTGGCTGAAGGCACAGTCGCCGATGGTGGAGAGGAGGATTCGGGGGACACGGAGGAGGTCAGATGCAGTAGAGGCAGCAGGTGCTGCTGTGGGGAGAGAGGAGGTAGAGAGATGGAGGGGTGCCAAGGAATGGAAGAATTTAAACACTAGAGTGAGGATCTTGAAGTCGATCCGCTCTGTGACAGGAGCCAGTGGAGATTGGCAAGGACTGGAGTAATCGGGGTACGGGGTTTGGTGCAGGTGAGAATGCAGGGGGCAGAGTTTTGAATGAGCTGAATCTTGTGAATAGTGGAGGAAGGGAAACCAGCGAGGAAGGCATTAGAGTGGTCCAGCCGAGAGGTGACAAGGGCACGGACAAGGGTTTCGGCAGCTTTTAGGGTGAGGTATTGTCGGAGACGGCAATGTGGTGGAGGTGGAAGAAAGCAGTGCTGGTCAGGGACCGATGTGGGGGAGGAAGGATAACTGGGGATCGAACTTGACGCCTAAGTTGCACACAGGTTCAGAGAGTTTTAAGGACAGGTCAGGTAGGTTGAGGAGGTCGGAATCATGGGACAGAAGACATCGACGGGGGCCAAAGTGTATGGCTTCCATCTTGTTGATGTTTTTAACTGCAGGAAATTTGCACTCATCCAGCTCTTGATGTCCGACAGACAACCTGACAGAACATCAGGGTCGCAGCTGGAGGTGGAAAAGTAGAGTTGAGTGTCATCCGCATACATGTGGACGTTAACCCCGTGTCTGCGGATGACATCACCAAGAGGGAGCATATAGATGAAGAGAAGGGGGCCAAAGTTGAATCCCTGGGGTACCCCGCAGGTGACCGGGTGGTATACGTATCATATATATATATGGACAAGAAACTGCACTCAAGAATGAAAAAGACTATCTAAGACTATGTAGCTGAAAAGTCTATCCAGGTTATCTTACAATGTACGCTTCAGATCAATGTTTAATCTTGCAGTCCTTATTTGACTTCTTTGTAAAGATTCAGAACCACATACAGTATTTGAATAACTAACAACAACAAACAATAAACAAACTAAACCACTCAATGGCCCTGGTCAAAGCCTACCTGGCATGATAACATCAGGGAATCCCAGTTTCCGAGTAACTGCCACTCCCCTATTGAAGATCATGGGATTCTCTCTACGGATATGATCCATGTCACCTCTCAGCAGTTGCAGGGAGATGATCATACCTGAAGCAAGATTAAGTTCAAACTTCAGTTAAACTGAGGGTCTTTTTCCAGGTATTTCAATACTAATTTTTATTTATTTTAATGAGACTTATGGTTTGAATATTTTTTCCGTGACACTGGAACAACAAATATAATTTTTTTCTAAATATTTAAATGTTAAGAGGTTTTCATGCACTTAAGATCTATCCCCTTTGGTCCAAATGACCATTTCTTGTATGAAAATATCGTCATTTAATGCAATTTTACTGAAAGGTCTCTCCCACCAAAGGGAAATTAAGCTGGTCATCAAAAGGTATAATATAATAGTTATTATTATAATAGTAATAATCCTTATTTTTGGGATCAATTTCAGCCGAAAATACATTTAGTACTTTTATCATTTAGATCCAGGACTTGATATAACGTACGTTACAAAGGGATGAGATAGCTTCCGCAGATGTGTTAATAGTATAACTGAACTTGTAGAAGAGTTACCATAATTTGTGCTGGCTGGAGTATACTTGGTGCTGGATTTCCGGATGATACTTTCATGGATTTGATACCATTCGTTTTCATTGTTGCACCTAATCAAAAAATAAAATTGATTTTTTTTCTCTACAGAAAAAGTGAAAGACATGTATAAGACAGTGATACACCTATACCAAACCATGGGGGAAGGGTATTCATACCAGTCTCATATCACTTTTCCAAGAGCATATAAATAGTTTCAATGGCTACTGAAGCCAAAGCTAAGGTCACTATTGCATACTCAAATGTCATTTTACAACCTTAAAAAAGAATGGTAGTATGAGCTGTGAAAAAAAAACTGATAGTTCAACATATGTATGGAAATGTTCATTCATCTGGTATGGAGCACATTCTCTTTCCATGAATGGATGCATTTTGCTTATCTAATAACAGTGAATTAAGTACAGGTTGGCAAGAGCCAAAGCTTTGGGATCATTGAGTGTGCATTGGGGGTAATGCTAGGGTTTAAACAACTCAATCTGCTTATGAACATTGGCAAACCTCACTAATTGTCCAGCTCAATCCACCCTACCTGTTAGGGCTTTAGCTTGCAAGGTTAACACATGCCAAGCCCCCAGCAACTGATCTGACTAGAAGAATTTACTTCCTTGAGAGCAAAGCACTTTCTAATGGCCGAAGAGTATATCTTGGAGAAAAGATTGATAGGCTATAGCACACCAGCAGTCTTCAGAGAACCCAGTGTTGTTTAATCATGGACTGGAACTTACAGATGTTGCAAATAGCTTCCCCAACCCTGACATAGACCATTATCTGCCAAACGAACGGTGAAAGGGGCCATTAAGAGGAAGCAGCCAGGACTTATAAAGCAGGAGAAAAACAGTAACGTCACAGAGCTCAAACTCTATTCTGTCTTGAGTTTTTCTGAGTGAGTCTGGAACAAATAATAGATTGACATAGGAGAGAGCCCCTGCCTACAACGATCAACCATGTCCCAGATTAGGCAGCGACACTGACAGCATCTGCTGCTGTATCTGCAGCTGCTGATTAAACAGCTGTTGTCTGGGTAAATCTACCTTTCTTTCCAAAGAAGGGGACAGAGTGAATATAGAGATTGAAGTGAAAATGAGATAAAAATAAATGGAAAGTTAATTAGAAATCATTTGCGCTTCACAATGAATGCTTTTGTACTACTATAGGAAATGTCCAATTGCAGGTAGTTTCTATCTTAAGGTTGCAATTTGTCACTGAACTGTCTCCACATTTTAACTAAACCCGCCTGGCAGCTTGAATGACAGATTACATTGCTCATCCTCCTCAATACACCATTGTGTCAAAGACAGATTCATAAGCAGCTTTTACAAAGGCGTTTAGACACAGGAGATCTGATAATGCATGAGTAAAAATTATAACAGAAATCTTGATTTGAACTATTGTTGCTTTGGGAATTGAAGCCATTTTCAGCACTTTTCTTAATGCAACTAATGAACAACAGTTTTTGGTAGCTTTTTTAAGCAAGCATAAATCACCATTAAACATAAATACCAATTGGCTACAGCATTAACGGTCACTACACTTCAAAATAACTTGACTATGTTGTTTGAGTGGAGCTCAAGTATAGTAGTAATATTAACTGTCCCACTCATTGAACACATTTGACTTACGTATAAACTTTCAGAACAAAATCCTTCTCTTCCTTGAGTTCAGAAATAGATGGCAGAACATCCACCATACTCAACACTGCACAGCCATATGGGCGCCGATACTGCACATGAGGAGGGCCTTTTTTAGAATCATTTGTTAACATTCGACCTTGAAAGAACACAGAGATAAGATTTTAGCATCTCTTCCACTGTAATTTAGTGGCTGCTTGTGAACAAATTATGGAATAAGTAAAATAGATTATTAAAACAATCTTTCTGCACTTTATAACCTTTCCCAACTAAGTGACCTGCGCTTCCTGCCTCTGCCAAAGTCACTAAAACATATTGCGAGTATACAAGAGTAGTTCAAGTGAATTTATTTTTCATGTTTAGAAAAGCCCGTCCTCAAAGAATTCTATTTAGTGTTTCCCCACAGTAGCACATCTGATCTGATCAAAGCATGTAGAGGATTACATGCAAGAATTTCCACTGTAGCACACCGTGGTACGGTACTGTAAACTCCCATGTTACATTCAGATTTTCAAAATGAATGGTGACCAGACTATATATTATTTCACTCCTTCCTGTTGTTCTTCCCTTTCATTCAGTCATGAACAATGTTAAGGCCTCAACAGGCTCACTCTGACATTTGTAATGCCCAGTTTTTGTTTTAAGAGAAGAACAAGCAAGGTTAATCAGGAAACTATTGTAAAACAATCTGAATAACTCTAAATTATACTCACATTAAAACATTTAAAAAAGGGGGTAATTGCTCCTTTCATATTTAAATCTATTATAAACGAGTACAAGGAAAGAAAAAGGAATTGTGATTAGAAATGTTAGAGAGCTGAATGATGTCCTTCTTTGCTGTAATTTCTAACAATCATAAAATAAGTTTGCTAGTTTCAGAGTATAAAATGAGAAGATAATTTGTCCTGTAGATTAAGTGATCATTCATTTCAAGGCTCCTAGGTTAAAAAAGTATCTTCACAGGACTATAGTATATCATAAAATATGATCATCAATGTTCAGAATACAGTATTGTCATATTACCTTGACATTATCTTTCAAATGATGTTCATTTAATCTTTAAAACAAATCTAAACATAAATAACGAAAACACACACCTATTCGTATGACATGAGCGACTATGTAGAGATCCCTTTTCAGATCTTTGTTACTGAGATCCTGAAAATGTAAACATATAAAATGCAAAGTTACATTAATTCAACTGTAATGAAAATTCACATATATGATACATCCTGCTACAAGTCTAGGATAATGAGTGTATATAAGATTAGGTACAAAAACTAAACCTGAAAGAATACTTTCAGACACATCAAGCCAGAAAAACAACAAGAACATATTACATTTACACAGCCACTTTGACATTGGGAGGACGTCCCAAGGATTTGGACCCGAGCAGGGGGCTGGGATCAGGATAGGTGGAGGACAGGGAGGTGGGGGTTGCCAAAGGCACGATCGAAGAGAAGGGTCTTGAGACATGCCTTGAAGCAGGCAAGGGAGGGAGTAAGGCTAAAGGATCAAACAGACCAAAGGGGTTTCTGTCATTATCAGTACTATATATTGGCCATCACAGCCCAGTGCTATCCACCCCTAAACCTCTACACTCCAGAAACATTAACACCAATTAATTATTACTGCCCTGACTACTTCCATTAACTCAACATGGAACCAGGGATCCAATCCAGAGCCCTCCAGGCGTGTATGATTCATTTGATATTTGAGCAGAAATAAATGTCTACCATCTTAAAGGACCCCGAAGGTACATAATATTATTTCCAATTAAAAATATTGAATTGTCTTTTTAAAGTAAACAGACAAACAAACAGTCTCAGAGTTACCGTAAATAATGCACACATGCGGTCGTTTTTTTCCGGGTTCCTTGGCATACCATTCTTGTTCAGTCTCACCATAAACCTCTCACTGTAGAAAGAAATAACTTTTAATAACTCTTAAAGGGACCTATGGTAGTGGTCCTTAATGTATACTGGTTCATGTGTAACAACTGTACAGCTTTTGAGCCTCCTGTAGGTAAACATTGCACACACAGCATCCAAAATCAACAGAATGTGAGGAGTCCAGGCCTTCTGTATTCAATAAGTACCACTAATCAGGTACAATTAAGAATTTGAGCCTTGGCATCATAGAAGTAGTTTTCTGCTACAAATAAGCACATCCAATTTATTGAGCAAATTTGTAGTGTTTGCAAATTTACTTAAGCAAAATGCACTGCCAGTCTCAAATGTCCTTCCACACCAGAGCTTCATCATGAGTTGCTATTTCAAAAGCATCCAACCAGGATACTGCTGAAATATGCATAGCATAATTTGAGCAAATTGATTCTCATTTATTCACTGACCTTAAAACAATATTAATGCTTTGTTTTACACTGACTTGCCTCATTATAATTGGCCCAAGTTTAAGTAATATTAAAGCATATTGTTCCTGTGAGATTCCAGTCCAAAGATAATCAATCTGGACTGAAATCTCACAGGCACAATGTGCAATCACTCACAGAAGACACATCTCTGTGCAATAACATTTTTGTCCTCTATTTATATTCTAATTTAAACAAAACAGTTAAATCCCAAAACGTGATGCTAACATAACAGAAAACATAACATAAAACAGGATACATCAGTGATCAATGCACTCAAGAGTTGAGTATTCCAAATTCCACCAAAATTCTGATCTTGGTATAAACTTTGTTGGAAAACAGAGGTAAACATTAAACAGTCTTAAGACAATTGTGTCAATGTTGGGATACATAAAGTAGTTGAGAAAACCTGAAGGGGAAAAAGAAATCTCAACAGAAGCATCTTAATGTCATAACAGCTAATATTATGCCTTGTAGAAAACTACAGTAAAATCCTCTTAAAATTCAATTTTAATTCGTAAGTGGTTCTTTTTAAGAACTGCAAAATCAAATATCTTCCAAAAGTAAGACTGAGTGAAAAAATATCACATTTCTGCTGCATCTTAAATTCTAGGACAAAACAGTGGTTCAGGCTAAGACTTAGTAGATTTTCAGATCTTCTGCATATGTATGAATGTAAAATTTCATATATGCGTGTACACACACTATCACTATTGCACGTGACTGCCTAGATCTTTAGCAAAGTGCCACTGCAATTTTTTAATATTCAATGGTTGTCTGCCATCTCCTTTACAGATTTCATAACTGTTAATGACTGATAAAGATCATAATCACAACAATATTAGTCAACTGATAGTGGCCATAGAATGATGTTATTTTCTTTCCACTCCAAACCAGCTTTTCTAAACCTCTAGTGGCCCTGAATGGCGTACACAGTTAGAATAACAATCATTATTGGCTTACTCTCTCAATCCCATCTTTGTTCCACGACACCAGCTGCTATGTTGGAATGTCTGTTTATGATACACATTATGTTTCTGGTATTTGAACTAATATTCATGCAAAATAAAAGTCCTACGTAAAATATTTATTCCACAGTACACATCGGTGAGTAATCTTATCACACTTCATACACTGACTTGTTTTTATATTGATTTCTCTGGTGCTGCATAGCTAGCTATTTGTATTTTTATATTTCTTGATTTCAATGGTTATAAATTCATTCAAATCAGTTCATTTATCAAAACCAGTCTCTATTTAAGTACGTTTACTGGAAAAAAGGACAGTGAAACATTGCAGTTTGGTTTAATTTTTAAAAAAAGACAAGCATGTTGAGAATTGAGCCTAGACAGTTACGCTGTTGCTATTAATCTAAAATTAAATCATTGGTTATTGTACAAACCAAGCTACAGCTACGACATTAAGCTCTTCACTAAGCTTTACCACCAATATAATGCCTCTGCTGCTGTGCACAACACGAGTACAATAGAAAATCCAGTGTTTGAATCAGTTGCACCAGGCAGCAGTTGCATAGAAAAAGTAACCATTTGTGGGAACATACTTTTGCTTTTTGTTCCAGCCTTTTAAGAATTCAGTTTCTGGATGCCAAATTGAGGCAAAGTATGACAGCAAAAATTAAGTCTACAAAAAGCAATTCATCAGAATCGCAGTTACACATACAACTATTTCCCTATTATTTTACAGCATTTACCCATCCTTTTGACAATAATTGACATCACCATTTCAGAGTTACTTTGTCAAAGTCAGAACAAATATTATCGTCATGGGATCACATCGATGGCAGAGATAAGATTTGATGATGTGATGGAACAAGTTTAAAGTTACTCCTATCTCAGGAATATAAAATAGTATCGCTAACTCAAATTTAATTCAACTAAACAGCAATACACTGATTCATAGAATCAGAGATAGATTCCGATTATTTTATAGTTTTATTTTTTGCTCTTCTCTATATTGGAGGTAACTGGCAAAGGGTAGGGCTAAATATAGTACAGCCATGTTATAACTCACTTCTTGAATGCTCAAGTTTACACATACTGTTACACATCATTTATCATCCTTCCTTTCACTAAGATCTTCCACCCATATCTGGAAAACAACCTTTCTCATTGTTATCAATACATTCTATGGTTATCAGCCTGAACTCTGTACCTCAGCTTCGGGTCTCACCTAGCACACAAACTCAAATGTGCCATTCAGCAAATTAAACAGGCAGGGACACACTAGACTAAAACCCTTTAGTTATTATACAAAGGAGCCGAATTCCCAGCAGCATGGCTGGGTGACAAGCAAAGTGTAAGCTCCATCCAGTCAGAGGATTGTGATATGCTGAGCGTCTCATAAGCTGATTCATCACAAACAAAACACACAGGCTGCATACAGATTCCCACAAACGTCCAGCTTTATTCTCAATTCAAGAGTTCAATTTAATTTTCAACTTGTTCTCAATACTTAAACAGTTCTCAGTAAATTGAGTAGACTGATGAGTACATTTCAAATACCCTCCAGAAAAATGTTCTTCTCCGAGGCAATTAGATAAAACTTTTAAAACAGGGACATTTTAATTATGTCACTTATTGGACACTAAAATCTTACTTCCATTAACCTAATATAACACAGTTAAATCACTAGGCCATTCCCTCACATCTTGAGAAAAATAGACAACAAAGATAAAAATGTATAATTTCAGTTAAAAATATGCCATGAAATAAATAGAACAAGTGATGTTCAGCAGTAAGATATGAGAAGTGTGCAATTAAAAAGTGGAAAATAAGATTGCCGAAAAAGACTTGAATTTCTCTGCACTTGCCAGGAGTCTGGGGGTGAAGGGAGGAAAATAAATCAAACCGAAGTGAATAAGGACTTTTTTATCTGGGGATTGCTGGCCAAGACATCCTTCTCTATTTGAATTATGCAATGGGTTAACGCTCATCTGAACATGTGGATGGTCTTCAGTATAACATCTCATTCGAAGGCAGCACCTCTAACAAGGTGGGGCTTGAACGCACAACTTTCCTAACCCACTGAACTCAATCAACAACTCCAATTGATTGAGCAGGACAAGAGTTCACGTGGCCCAAGGTGTGAAGGGCAAGTGTACGGCAGGTAGATTTTATTTCAGAGAGTATTTAACAGCTTGAATGCACTAAATTTAGGGGTTTTTGAGGGCAAAACACAGAACTCATTTAAGTAACAGCTTGATGTTCCCCTGGGATGTTGGTAGGAATGGGAGTCTCGATAGATGAGATCAAACAGGCCAAAGGTCTTTCTTTATCTGAAACTCTCTTATGATGGTGTTTATTGCACAGAGGCAAACGAGAATATGCAAAGTGATATCCATAATTAGAAAATAATGATGTCCATATAAGTTCTGAGATAGGTTCCTGCGTTTCATCCTCACAAGCCAGAGATTTAATTATCAGGCATGGCCAACTGCCCAGATTTTCATTTGCACAAAAACAGGAGATGTGCCAAGTCTCAACAGCTTGAACTGATATTTGGGGAGTGTTTGAATCACCCAGAACTGTCAACTGAAGTCATTAACTTTGAGGGCTCCTACCTGATTGGTTTCCCTTCTCGCATATCATAAAGAGAGAAGAAAATATCTGTGTCTTCTCCAATGGTATGGTACGTAAAGCTCTTCAGATTGAGGAAGAGATGGTGAGGAACAGGCATGCGACACATGTCACCATGTCGATGCCTCATGGTGTCTATCTGTGTAGCACAAACAGAAAGAGGTCAAATTTCTCAAACAAATGTTAATGCAATTTTTTATCTTCGGTAGTGGTTTGAAGTCAGGACAATTCACACCCACAGAGTAAAGACTTGATGGCATGAATCACACTGAGCTCACTCCCCTATAGTCATTCAAAGCTCTGGGACCATCCATTCAACTGTTTTAAAGTGTTATTAAGGAACCGACTCTATGACTCAGTTTGTTTGCGTTCCTGTTTCAATTCAAAATGATGAGGCATAGAAAGAACAAGCAGGGTTCCAGCTGCACATTGTTATACTGTTAAAAGCAAAGCAGCCTTGTTGCCAGTAGTTTAAACGTGGTAATATGGCACCTTCAACAGGGTGAGTTCCGACATTTAGGATTGAATGTGCCAAAAGCGGACCGCATATGCTACTCTTAACTGAGATGTCCAATTTGCCAAACCTATGACATCAGACATGCAAATGGTAGCTTTGATTGACAATTAGCAGGGTATCATCTTGTCTGAGATCTGCCACCTTACACTATAGATCTGGCTTCACAGCTGAGAATGGTGGGGTTGGGGGGAGTGTCCAGCCATTGGTACATTTGATGTGATAAATATAACAAATATAGTAACTATTTTGATCTGCTTCATGCAACATACCTGTGATGTACTTTGCTGTATGCTGTGTCTGCTGGACAAATGCTATTAAATGAAAAACACAATTAGTAAAATGTAAAATGTTGTAGTTTCAAAGTAGATGTTTTGAATCAGACTTGCTTTATTGAGTTTGATCAAATAAAGTCCATACCGACTTCTCTTCACAGAGGAGCTCAATGCTGCTCTTACAAGGTAGCCACATGCAAACTCTCCAATAAAGCTCACTGAAGAAAGATAAGAAGCAGGAGCTCTGAAAGATTTGTATTTTTTTCTTTCCCCATCCCTCTCCCCAGATACTCCCAGTGAAGGGATGCTAATTGTTCTAATTATTGGCCAGGTGAAGATCACCAGGAAATACCTGTTTATGCAGAGGGTAATTCATGACTGTAAAAGGTCACAGAAAGAGTGATTGAGGCCAGGCTACTGGACTCATTTAGAAAACAGTTTGATGGAGTGATGGAAAGACAGTGGGGTGAGAATCATGGAATGATGAGACTAAATGGGCCAAAGGGCCATTATTACCCTCCACCCTCTTGTGATTTTATGAATATCAGAGGAGACATTGACTGTGCAATGATTTTGGATCTGTGTTTTAATCTGAGCAGTTTTTACTGCATTTCTTCATTGAATGGAAACAAACCAGTTAATAAAACAAATCAGTTTACGACCAAATCTTAGAAGTTCGGTACCATGAAGAACATAAGCCTTAGAATTACTCATTTCCTGCAATCTTATACCAAACAGCTGTTAGCTAATGAAGCCAATGGTCCCGCAGCCAAATCTAATAAACTCACTCCTTACTTACAGGAACTGATTTTGGAGTATTGTCAAAAAAATAGAAGTTTTATGGTTTCAAAAAAACACACGTCACCTCTTCTGAAGACTAATAAAGTAAAAACACTGCCCAATTGTAGCACCAGCCCAAACAGACCAGAATCAAATGTATGTACTGGTTAGCATATCTCAGGACAGCATTTGAGGGCATTACTACTAAACTCAAGATGCATTAGGGTGGAGGAGATATCAATCTTGTTTTTATTTCTGACCCACTGTAAATAAGCCATTCACAAAAAGGAAGGGTGAAGTGCTGTCCTCTGATAAAATGTTCTGCTGAGCCTTATATAGCAATATAAATGTCACCTCTCCACCTACATCAGTTATAGTGGATCACTGTCACCTCTCTACCTGCAACATAATCTATGTATTCCATAAACATTATTTATGGAATACATCTCTCTCTACTACCTACATCAAGAGTTGTAGTAAAATAGCACCCAGCACCCTTCCAACTGCAACATCAGCATGGTGGAAAAAAATTCACCCTCACTACCTACTACGACAGCTACAACCATACATTTTAAGATACCGTTTAAAAAATGTATACATTAGTTGAATCCACACAAATAAAATAATCTTACTGCAGAGACAGAGCTAGTATGTTGTAGTTGCCTTTTTTCCACTACGTATACTAATTCTGTGCATTTGCACGCGCGCACACACACACACACGTCAGTACTTACTAGTTTGTAGAGATCTGCCACGCTTATCTGGTCAGGATCAACTGTTTCAAATTCCTTTCTCGGAACCAGGTCCAAGCCCATCTGTCTAGTAAACCAGAGAGATTACATTTGTGCAGAACAAGAGAACAGAACAATATGCATTTAACACTAGCCTTCAAAAATAAGATAATTTTCTCTAAAACTATTTCTTGCAAAAGCATCCCAAACATTGTGTAACACAAAGGGAAAGAGGTAATAATACTTGCATTTCAAATAATTTGCAAAATTTGACATATATCACATGAATTGTCAAACTATATTCAAAAAGAAAATTCACAACTTATTTTCGTTTGATGACACTGCAGTCAAAGGGTTTCATTAATGTAATAAATCCAATGACACTATAAAGACAATTTTTCTGGCAAATATCCACGCACTTCAAAAGTTATGTAGGAATGTGCAGCGGTGGCTCAGCAATACAAAACATTAATCAAGTGACAAAATGATTTTCTTTTATAATCTGAACCTGTCATAGGCTTCAATATGATACAACCTTGCAGCAAAGCCTGGTATGGAATGATTCCTCCAGTAGTTTAACCAACTAAAATCACATAGTTTGTCATTGAGAGCACTGTCTGACAAGCTTCCCATTACTTGTCCAGCAAGGACCACCCTACCCATTAGGCTATTGGCCTGCAAGGTTAATATAAGTTGTGTAGGCAGAATCTCTGCTCCTAGTAGTGTCTAGTCTGCATCTCCAAATCTTGCTGATGAGCCAAGCTGGTTGGTCTGTTAGCAGCAGTGCCCTGGAGTACTGCATTCCCACAGAGTGTTGACCTGATTCTGATATTCTATTGCCAAATGTGTCATCTTGGAGCCAGCTCAGTTCCAAATGGAGCTTACCTCACCTCTAAGAAGGAATGACTGATGTCACGCCTGAAAACTGAGGAGGGAAACTGATATTGAAGAAAACTTAACAATTTCTTCCTTTCATTTTTTTCCTTTATTGGGTACACAATGTAAGTTTTCAAAAAAAAGTTGTACAATGGTATTCATCGCAAGCTGATAGAATTTGAAAACTGCATAGGGATGCTATCAGAAAAACTGGAAAGGAAACTGCTATCAGAAAAACTGGAAACTACTTTGCTAATTGAAGATTGAAGCCAAGCTGTTGCCTACAAGTTGACTGGTACCAAAGTGGATGTCCTTAACATTCTACTGAAAGTGTCCTAGGCACTGAAATCCAGGTAGAGGATCTGTACCGTGCTGACTACATTAGCTGGCCTGTTGTGGCACTATTCCCAGTTCTCTGCAGTGGTTGTTGTGCGTATCTGCAGTGCTCAGAGCTGATTGTCACCAGCTTGAAGCCAAATGGAGAGGTGCCAGAAGCAAGTGAATCTGGACTCTTGGGAGACAGCAAGCTGCAGCCATAACACATCCAATGCCATTGCCTGAGACTGTATCCGACCCTATATAAGGAATTAGAGCAGGTGGACATCTCCTAAAACCCCTTGAACCAGCTTTGATTCCCTATCCAGACACAGGCTGGCAGAAGACCACTTTGTGGCAGGATGTGCTTCTCACTGTACTCTGGCATTGCTGGCTGAGGTCTCCACTTTCAGTAGGAAAACACCTCAGATGTGAAGCAGCATCACTGTCATTATATCCCAGTGTCTTTTCAATACTTATGTACCTGCTTGCTGATCCTCACCTAGTTTGGAAGATATTTTTCTGAGAGTGCAGATTCTAAGAGGTTTATACAATTTTGCAGACCTTTCGCTAGGTTTTGGCTTCATTCATAAATAAAAGTTAAGCTGGCTGATAACTGACAGTCCTAATGAACTGAATCCTTATCAAGCCCTGAGCTACAACTACTTTGTCAATAATTAACAATAGTAACATCCTGTACTACAGAATTAATGCCTACTTGTACAACAGAATTAAATAAAGTAAGATAGACAGCTTGCCACTTTGTGAACAAATGTATCCTTTACAATGCAAAATAGGCGAAACAAACATAATTTCAAGTTTTAATAACCTTTTGCAATGGAAAATTATTTTACTGAAAAAATATATTAGGTGGCAAATAGGTTCATTTTTGTTTAGACAATTACTCTGAACACCTCTACAATTATCAAGGAATTGGTTCCGTCATGAATATTAACTACTGTATAGGAAAGAGGCCATTCAACCCACTGAACTTGCTCCCTCCACCAGCTTGTTAGATGTGTTCTACATAGAATTACACAGCACAGAAGGAGGCCATTTGACCCATCATCTCTGTGCTGGCTCTTTGAAAAGAGCTCTCTTTTAGAAGAGAACATCTCTCTTTTCTACATCCCTATTGATTCTCTCTCTGCAGCTTTCTGGGCAGATCAGTTCATATCTTCACAATCCTCTGTGTGACGAAATGTTTCTTGACCTCAGTTCCATCTGGTTGTAGTAGCAGGAATGTTTAAAATATTTAAGAATAAAGAAAATGTACAATTGGCATTGCAACGTATCTTAGTCAGAAGAGCAGAGAAGAACAATGAGACACAAAGAGACCAAGAAGCCAAAAAGCAGATAGAGAAAACATACACCGAAAATGGATGAATGATAACCAAATTGATATTACTTGCAAGCTGCTTGAGTTATTTTTTTCCAGCTCATCAAAGCCAGATAGTAACTCGCCCCTGGCTAGTCAGCAAGTATAATTTTCCAGATTTGGAACATGTGAACCATTTATGTACTTGCTGCCAAATAAGTAACCATTTGGGATTGAAGCCTTTAATTAGTTTTATTTATTGGGTGTGGTTGGTAGTTGATATAGTATATCACGTTTTGTTACTCTTAACACTTAACTGAATAAACCAATGCACCATTCATAAGAATTTGATAGGCTTTGACATACTGGCTGAAATCTGTTTTAGTGTGTAAGTTGGTTCAATTGCAAATCTGCTCATTTGCAGAGATAGTTTTCTTTTCAGGCTATACCAAAACATGACTGTTCTAGTTCATTTCTGTGGGTGTTTTTTAAAAATATTGGTATGTTTCTGCAGTTAAGAGTAAACCAAAGTACATCCACCTAAGAAAAACTGAGAAAGCCCTCGTTTTTCAGTGACATTTTATATGCTGTAAATCTTGCCTATATAATTTGAGGAGAAACAGGTTTCAAGATAAATCTCTTATCAAAGAAAAAAAATCATTATTGAGAACATAAATCATAATGCTAACAGCTACAACTGAGTATACTAATGGTTACCCAGCCTTTAATATATATTTATCAGCTATCTTTAGATCTGATCCAAAAACATTTATTGCAAGAAGCTTTCCCTTCCCTTTGAGCCATCAAATCTTCTGCACTTAGAACTAACATACATTTACAACAAGAAGAATTTACCTTTATACAGCATCTTTCACTTTAGAAGGTCATTTCATTTCAAATTGTTTTACCCAGCTGACTGGGAGCCTGAGCTGGGGGTTGGGGGAGGGAAAAGAAAGGTAGGTGGATTCGGACAGCAGACATGAAGCAAGTTGGTGTTCGCTGAGTTGAGGGGGAGACCAGGGCTGTAAGGTTGGAGGAGGTAGCAGAGGTAGGGTGGCGTAAGGCCATGGAGGAATATAAACGTGAAGGGAAAGATCCTGAATTTGATCTGGTAGGAGATGTAATTCAAACACTTTAATGTCTACCTGTAATTAAAATGAAAAAAATCCTACTATATAAAGTATAAACCTAAATAAATCTTCACTGAGATTCTGATATGATTCCTGGTGAAATATATAGTTTACTGCATATCCAATGTGAAGGGTTTTTCTCTAGGAAGTACTATATTGCTGGAAGGAAATTCTACATGAGAAGATTCAGGCATACAGTCAGCATTCCATGAAATAATTCAGAATAAACCAAATGTTCAATATCAACTTACTCATTGCCCCAGTCCAGGCGGATCGTGATGTGCCGCTTGACATCACGGATTTGGTCCTGGGTCAGGTGCCCAGATAGAAGCTGTCTCCGCAAATCAATCAGTTCGTTCATTACATGGCGCAATTTATAAAATAGATCCACCTTGTGTTTCTGCAGGAGAGAGGACAAAGGTATAATCTATTAAGAAAAATGTTATGACAAAATTGATCAATGTTATTTGCTTTTCTCCCTTCTCTCACACTGAACTTGACATCCCTGAATCAATGAAGGTTCAACCACACTGTCTATGCCAATGGAGAGTGCCACAAGGTCTGTTTTTATGAGGGTGGAGGAATGCATTCTTGGTGAAGGATCTCAGGACTGAAGAATGGAACACTGAGAATTTGGGTATCAGGAATCAACATCACATAATCATGGGCAGATACAATGCATAATAGAAATCCTTCTAATCGGCCTCAACAATATGCTTCAGAATACTGGAAAACGTACGCTGCTGCCTTACCTATCCACGGATGCTATTTTACCATTTACAAACTGAATCATGAAAATATAAAGCTCTTCAGACCACCAAAAGCCAGATGAAACAACAACAACAAAATTACATTTATAGAGCATCTTTCACGTCGGGAGGACGTCCCAAAGCGCTGAACAGTCAGGTGTCGGGGCCCAAGCATGGGAGAGGGGGGGTGGTGTAGGGGTGAGGGAAGGCAGAGAGGTGGGAGGGGGACCAAAGGCACGGTCGAAGAGAAAGGTCTTGAGACCGACCTTGAGGGAGGCGAGGGAGGAAACAATGCAAAGGGACCGTGGGATGAAGTTCCAGAGTGTGAAAGATGAAAGGGAGCATACCAAAAGGATTTACCAGAGTGGAAAATGTATAACGCTCAGTACAATTGTTGCTATTTTGCTGAAACTGAGATTAACATAACACTACTCAAAATAAAGGGAACTATACCGGATCCAACTCAAAGTCAAGTTGGCAGGGTTTGATCCTGAGACTTTGTGCCAAATTAGAAGTGTTCTAAACACCAGCAGTAACATCCTTCACTGATGCAAGAAAGACAGAAGCAATCAATTAAGTAGATGTATTGAGAACAACTGAAGGCCTTTAAGCAGTCTCTAATTGTCCCATTATCATAAATTGTGGTTTATACTACAGTATATTTGGCTCTATTTTTAACTACTGTACAGTAATATAAATTGCATGTTGTTATTCTGATACTAGCCTTCATGTTGGGCTTATTAGAGCACCAATTGGAATCTTTTGTGCTACGACTTGGTATTGATTATCCATATCGCACATTTCTAGAGTATATTTCAGGATATTTTCTTGGGGGCATATTGGGGTTCAATGTGGTAAAAACTAATGATTTGCTAACATGGGAAATACACCCAGAAAACCAACTTCATACATACCATTAAATATTTAGTCTGTCACTTTAGGTTTGTGGAAAGCATTTGACAAGTTTAAACAAGGAGAGTTTTGAATGTAGTGGTACTACTTGGCACTTCACCTCAGTTGTCGAAATAAGTGTTACCAAAGCTCATGTCGATATATCGACAGACACTTCAGCTTACTTATATTGAAAAATGTTTCAAGTCTCTAACTGTACTACCTGCATTTTGTTGTTATCATTATCGACAGGCCCTTATCACTTATGATCTGTGTGATCTGAGTGGGTGAGTGAGTGTGGTTTGTGAGTGCAGGAGTGATTGCATGTGAGTGCATGTGACATATGAGTGAGTGTGACATGTGTTAGGCTTGTCAGACCTATAAATTAGTCGTGTTGGGAGTACCTAACTAAGTGCTTCAACTCAGATGAAGTGCGAGTAAGTAGAATCACTGCATTCATACTCTCCTTGTTTAAACTTGTCAAATGCTTCGCACAAACCTAAAATGACAAGACAAATTATTTAATTGTATATATGACTGTGTGTCGATAGGCAGAGAAAGGACTTCAGCGCCTTGGGACGTCCTCACCACGTGAAAGGCGCTATACAAATGTAATTTGTTGTGGTTGACATAAGTGGGATGTCCATATAAACGGTTTCGAAAACAGTGGATAGGACTGTAATCACAATTCTGAATGCGCCAAGTTACCAATATTACCCACTATTGTTTTGTGTGATGTATGAAAAGAAATTACAGATTGCATAAACACTAAAATAGTTTCTGTTTTCCCTTCATAGATTTTTGAGACTAGTTAAAAATACTGCTTGTCCTGCCCTGGCTGTTTATGTGCTTAAAGCTGCCAAAAGAACGTTATCCACTTTCAAGGCAATAGATGGAGCCCTGGGGTATAATTACAAAGAAGAAGCTGCAATTTTCTAGCAATAACACTAAAATATTTGCCCTGAAGGTTACAAAGTTTTGTGCACCACTCTAATTTCTCAGGAATTACTCTACGAGACCTCTGAAAGACTGTGTAATCTATCATGGCACATTTTCGAAGGAGAAAATTGGAGATCTCTGGGTCAACCCTAACAATATCACAACAAGGAAGAACATGCCATTAGTATAATAGAATAGTAAATCAATATCACGGCAGTCATTATAAAAATGACCACTCTAAGCCATACTGCATTCAACTAACCATCCCTGCATCTTGTATGGGTTTACTCATCCAGTGACTGTCTGGCAGAGGCATTTGTCATTGAATACACTTATTCTGGTGCCCTCTTCCTGTTTGTATACTTTACATTACCATACATTGACTCATCTATGTTGAAACCCAAGTTATTTATCCGTGTGTAGGTTTCTCATAGGATTAAAAAAATCGATTCCTGGTTATATTGAAAGCTGTTCCTGGATGGGAGTTAATGTACCTAAAGCTGCCAACAGAAAATTTTATCATTTGAGCCCAGGAATCTATGTGAGCATATTGCAAAAAAAATCCTGAAACTAAAAAAGTTTGTTGATATTATTTTTATTACTAAAATGAAGGAATAACAAAGAAAATGTGACACCTCCTTTTCATTAGACTATTTCGCCATTGGTTTGCATTGTTAGAAAAGATAGTATTTAAAGTGTATTTAAAAGGTTTAGCCCAATGTTGCAGTGAAGTGCTTTGAGATGACCTCCAGACATGAAAGTCGTGAATGCAAAGATTATTATTATAAATAGTTCCTCCACCATAGAGCAATAGTGGAGTCATGAGTACAGTGTCTCGAACATTAGAAACAAAACATTTTAAAACTATATTTTCCCTTGTATTTTCACCTATATCAATAATAAAATAATCCTTGCATTTGATATAGCACCTTATCAAGTCGTTGAGGCGTCTCAAAGTGATTCACAGATGATATTGTAAAGTGAATTTACACTGTATCTTATGGCCAAAACACAACAGCCATCTGCATCCACAGTATCCCACAAATATATTTAACTTGCCAACAGGGCTTATTTCAATAGCGTGTCGAAAGATGCAGAAGATGAACAAACTGCTTTACAAGTCACTGAAGTATCAACAGTATAGACATTACCATGAAGATTAAAACAGAGTTTACAATTGGTTATATTTTGTTACTAAAGAAATCTCACACTTTACATTGTAAAATTAAGACTGGATTGTTTCGAACATGAAGATTACTCCAAACAGAACTACATCATTGGATGTCATCTACTTTTTCTTGGGTGAACCATAACTTGCTTGATGACACTTAAACACAGCACATTCTATTTAATATATTTTGCTTGAAAAATAGAGAGAGAATGTTGTTTTATATTGGGCTGGGAAGTGTTAATGACATTTGGATTAACTGAAGAAAAAGGAGGATTAAGAGTTTGAAAACAACACCACATTTCCCCATATAGCAATCATGCATAAGGAGAATACGCAATACGATTAAAAATACATTCTGTAGCAATACTTAAGAGACTCTTAACCCAATTCTGAATTCAACTCTGTACCTGTATTAAAAGGTAGAAGTCAGAGTAAAAGTATTACAGGACAAATGTACACCGTCAGGTCAGTGTAGTGAATGTTCTTTACATACATTATAATCAGCAAGATTAATAGATGTCTGCTGAAGAGCATACTGAATAATCCCTGCTCAGATCTTGTGGCTATGCCTGAAAGGCTTAGTGAGACTTAAGTATCAACAATTTTAACACAACTTTACAGTTTCCTTTCATAATGGTGATCCATCATGCCTGAATGATCTGTTTGCCATGAAAACGTGTATTAATTTACCCACAATTCAAACTGAAATATTCATATAACATGTCCTGCTGTACACTGCAGGTTTTTAAAACATTATATTGAATCTATTTATGAGTTAGAAATTTCCAGTGCTCTTTTTCTTATGAAACACCATCTTAACATTAACAGTTCATCAGTAATGAATGATGCAGGGCATCATACAGACTAAAATGTATGTGGTTAGCATACAACTTAACAATTCACGATAGGAAGAGTTCCTAAAATTACTGCTGTGCGCAATTGGCTGCCGCATTCGCTCATAAACTATACAGTCAATTCACTTTACAGTATATTCTATGAAGCGCTTTGAGATGTCTTGAAGACCTATTATTCCTTTTCCGACCCACTTTTTTTCAAGTGACTGGTGACAAACCAGGATGTTGAGAGCTAGATACTTGCAAAGTATTACAAGCTTGAAACTAGGGCAAAAAAACATGGATGCTAATGTAGAAATGCTTTAAATTCTAAAGGTATGTATTATTTATAATAATTGCAAACTTAGCTTCTAACTAGATCCAAAAATAGTTTTGTAATACGTCATTTATTCATCATATCTACTGACATTCTGACATTAGAATTGCATTTATTGCATGTGCTCGATGTGTGGTTGCGGGTAGGAATGATAGCATTGATGGCTTTTCTTTCCTGACATAATGATTCTAACCAGCACAATCCAAAAATAACATGGGAGGAAACAGTGGGATTTGTTGTTCCAAGTTTATTCTTTCTTGGAAATCTAGGACAATCTGTTTTTGCAATAGAGCAAATACAATTATGTTTGTTCAACAATTTAAATAAATAAAAATTCCCCCCAAAAGGTAACATCATCAACAACAAATGTTAACTATAACATTTAGTTAGGCTCACATGATATTGGATGTATATAGTGCAGCTCACACAGAGTAGAGTCTCAGAGTGCTTTTGACAACTATGAATATGAGGGATGGAGAAAGGATGTACTTTTCAGCCTCAGTTTATTCAACTGATATATTAACTTTGGCGTTATTTTAAGTTGTATTATCCCCAGAGATGAAGTGAGTTTTTTTTTGAAAAAAGCAACTAAAAACAGCAAGGTGACCATTAATCAGTGTTTTTTTTTAATGTGCCCTGGGTGCTGTAAATATCCATCAACATTGCTTTCTTAGAGCCTTTCTGAGGAAAATAATAATAATCCTTGCATTTGACATAGCGCCTTACCACATCTTTGAGATGTCTCAAAGCGCTCCAAAGAATATACTGTAAAGTGAATCGACTATATTTTCTGGGCAAAACTCAGCAGCCAATTGTGCACTGCAGTATCCCACAAACAGTCGTGGATTGAGTGACCAAATTATTATTATTATTTAACTTGGATCCACTTTAGATATTTCTTGTAAAATAACAATTCAATTGATGATATCACTGCATATTTTAATCAAGATTCTATGCCACATAAAATAAGTGACGGTGAAGACTCCTTTTATATCATTCTCTTAAGAACTGAACTTGAAAAGCAAAGCATGATATCATGTCAATCAATATTAATTCTAGCGTACAAATTGACATTCAGGCCTGCTCTTTTATTATACAATTTGAAATAGTAAAATGGAAGAGGGAAATTAGAGCAACTCCACCCAGTATTTCTCCCAGTTGCCACCAAGATCACTTCTCAAATAGACGTCATATTTCATGCTGAGACGTATTTAATTAACCCCATTAGAGCCAATCCAAAAATAATAGTTTAAAAGACCCCTTTCAGGTATCTCTGCTCTAAAATGATTGACCCATTATCAGGTTTGCAAGCAGATACAATGGTGTCAGTTCGCTGCTTTGAATAATTTGAATTAAATCAGAGCTAACATTCGGTTAGGCTCACATAATATTACGTAGCGAAATATTCATTTGGTTCCTGGATCAGCTAGCATTGAAACCACTATTGTACCATAAACCTCCGCAATTCATTTGTTGTATATTTTTATGTTAAATTTCTAGTAATTACATAATGGCACAAATGCACTGTTTAGAAATTTGATAATGGTTCTCTGCAAGATATATTACAAGGCAATAATCTTTCTTTACTTGGAAATGTTAAGTCCTGAACACTGACCAGTTTTATTTTACATATAGCAGATATGAAAAAAAATCACACAATTTTTCTAATACAATTCTTTCTGAATCATGTACAATTTAGTTACCAAAGGTTTTTTTAAAAATGAAAAGATTGTAGTGATCACACATCTAACTCCTTTTGATAATTTATTAGTACATTTGAACCCAGCTAATTTGGGGATATATATATGTATATTATATATACACACGCGTGTGTGTGTTTGCACGTGGACATACAAATTTAGGTAAATTCCTTCTCACATTGGCAGGATGTGACTACTGGAGTGCCACAAGGTTCAGTGCTGGGCCTCAATTATTTAGTCTATATCAATGATTTAGATGAGGAAATAGAACTTAACATATCTAAAGTCACGGATGATACGAAGCTAGGTGGGAGAGTAAGCTGTGAAGATGACACAAGAAGAATGCAAAGGGAAATAGACAGGCTAGGTGAGTGGGCAAGAAGGTGGCAGATGGAGTATAACATGGGGAAGTATGACTTTATTCACCTAGGCAGTAAAAATAGAAAAGTGGATTATTTTCTAGAGGGGGAGAGACTAGGTAGTGTTAAGCGGGATGTGGGTTCCTTGTACACCAGTCACAAAAAGTTAGTATGCAGGTCCAGCAAACAACTAGGAAGGCTAATGCCATGTTGGTGTATGTTGCAAAAGGGTTGAAATACAAGAATAGGGAAGTCTTGCTGCAGTTGTATAAGGCATTGGTGAGACTGCACCTAGAATATTGTGTGCAGTTTTGGTCTCCTTATTTAAGAAAGGACATACTCGCCTTAGAGAGGGTATAGCGTAGATTCACTAGGTTGTTCCTGGGATGAGGGGGTTGACCTATGAGGATAGTTTGAGTAAACTAGGCCTATATTCTCTAGAATATAGAGGAATTAGAGGTGATCTTATGGAAACCTATAAGATTCCTAAGGGTCTTGACAGTGTAGATGCCGTGAGACTGTTTCCCCTGGTTGGAGAATCTAAAACTAGGGATCATAGTCTCAAGATTAAGGGTCAGCCTTTTCAAACTGAGTAGAGAAAACATTTCTTCACTCAGACGATAGTGAATTTGTGGAATTCTCTACCATGGAAGGCTGTGGATGCTCAGTCCTTGAACATATTGAAGACTGAGGTTGATAGATTTCTAAAGGATAGAGGGACTAAGGGATATAAGGATAGGGCAGGTAAATGGAATTAGGTGAGAAGATCAGCCATGATCTTATTAAATGGCGGGGCAGGCTCGAGGGGCCAAATGGCCTACCCCTGCTCCTACGTCTATTGTGACATCTATTGCATTGTGTCCTGCCCATTTTTTGACATTTCTCCTGCGTGTGTGCTCACAATTTAGGTTTAAATTCTATGCCTACTGGTACATGATAGACGTGTTGAAGTATTACCATGATTTCCCAGCCAATGTGATGTGAATAATCCGAGCAGCACCAATTAGGCATAATTTCTACATACCCATATATGGAATTGTATTAACAATTTTGCACTTACCACATATAGTTGTTTCCAGAGGATTGACCATTCTTGTAATGTGACTGTGACCTCAGTAATAATGGAATCTTCCAAGGGAACTACAGTCTCAAACTGACTGCAAAATAAAATAACAGATTGTTACAATGGCTTCCTAACATTTATAAAACAGAACATCACAAACATCTAATATCATTACTGAGATTTGTAATTGTGAAGAATTGGGAAGGAATGCATTAACAATTAAAATAATTTTCAACTTTGGCCCTGATATCATTTCATTGACATTTATTCTTCTCAGATCATCACTGCGTGCACAGACTATCTGGCTGAATAAACAGTATTTTTGCACCCACTAGTCTTAGTTCATTATAGACCAGGTTGAAATCGCCCCAAACTGATTTCAGTTAGTAACCTTACCAGCTAAATATGGTTTCATAGAGTGACATAGCACGGAAACAGCATACTCAGATCAACAAGTGTGCTACATGAGATCCCAACACTCCTATACCCGCTATTTATTTTTCTCTCAAGAATGCATCAAATTTTTTGTTAACTACTTTGATCCTAATCATTCATCTAAATCTAACAATGGGATTAAGAAGGGGTGAGGGATAGAATTCAGACTGGATTTTAGGAGGTAATGTTTTTCAGTTTTGGGTCCAACTTTGCTGCCATAAATTTTCAATGAGAATACCAATGGCACTGCATTCTCCATCCCTCTTCCTCAATTGTACACAAATTAAATAAACAATTGAGATACAGCTGCTGCAAAATTAATAAATAATGTAATCAGAAACTGATTACTGTGAAATCAGATGGTTAGGACACCTTATGTTAAATGCAGTGCTGTTTATCTGTAAATCCATATGGAATACATTGTTTTTCCTCAACAATGATCATCAGTGGGGAGCTTTAATAGGCCTGATTGATTCTTTCGATCTTGTTACATTAAATAGGGTATCCTCGATTATCTTATTTAAATGCCATTTTGTAACTGTAACATGAAAGGCCATATTTTCAGCAACTGAATGCACACAACCACACAAGCCTATCTACAATTTATTCTGTCAGAAATTCACGAGGATAAATTCTTTGATCCACCAAAGTTTAACCTAGCAAAAAGATATTTCCTAGAAAATATAGACTTTTAAGTGATATTATTTTAAACATTTTTCTGAATTTGAAATGTAATAAACCAAATTATTTGCCAAAACGAATCAAATTAAAAATTGTCAATCAAGTTTTGTAGCACAGGAGAAAAATAGCAACAACTCTGCTTTGTATTTTTAATAATCGTTTTAAATTTGTCTCCATTTACTTCATCAAGCCTCTTGAGATGTCCTGAAGACATGATAAGGCTCTATATCAAATGCAAGGATTATTATTATTATATAAGAGAATAGACGATAAAGCCCTAAGATACACAATCAGGAACTGTACAGAAGCAGGAGAAGAAGCTGTTGAAGGAAACGAAGTGGGCAGGATAGGTAAGACTGCAACTAGAAGCATGTGTTTCCACAAAGATGGTTAAAAGAGGTGAGGTAATCCAGGACTTCAGAGTGGTTGAAAATGACTAGAAGTTACAATGGGTTTTTAGAAGTGCAAGTGCTCGGAAAAATTCTAATGTGAAATCCTACTATAGTTCTTCATGGATCTCCAGGTCGAGAGTTAGTATCTAGCTATTCTGAGATAAATATTGTGTTTTTTCTTCAGTGAAAAAACAGGAATACATTAAGCATGATGGAATGTTTGTTTGATTGGCCCCGTGTCCAAAAATCCACTGTACTTTATAATAGACTCCATTATAAATTTGTTTCCAGTGTTAAGCTCTAAGAACAAATGACATTCAGAAAAAAAAAATTGGTATTGGATTAGTCTTAATCTCCTGAAAATGAGCAGTAAGCAGGTCTAAGATAAATGTGCAATGATAATATTAGCTGTGGAGCCATTAACTTAATGGATGGAAATCAATTTCTCAGGTTGCAGCCCAGGCTCACATTCCAAAGCAATGCTGGTGAGTACTGCATTAGAAGTGCAATCCTTCAGATTAAATGTTAAACTAAAATCCTGTCTGGCTGTTTCAGGTGAACCTTAAACATCTTGGCACTAAGAGAAGGGTTTTCTCCCAGTCTTGGCCAACAGTTTCCCAGATAAAATTTGTCATTAACTTTTGCTGTTTGTGTGGCAATGCTGTGCACAAATTTGCTGCAGTTTCCATTCAATTAAAAACATGCAGAATCATATCTTATGGTTAATTATTTCTCAGCATGACAATGTTTAATTAATTACTTTATTTCCCCTACTGTTATTTTTCTACTTCTTGCAATATGTTCCCAGAGGAAACATTTCCCTACCAAAGAATAGTATCTGACACATCTAGTAGCTATTGATTACATTTCTACCCAATTTGTGGTGTTTTTTTGCTGGATAAGCTAGTTTAATCACTATATAAAAGAGCATTCTTTGTGGAGTAATATTTTCTTTCGGAAAGATATGTAGCAGTCCATGAAGCTAACAGCAGACTTTTGACAACGGCAAATCTGAGGAACATTTCAGCAAGTTTTTGTTTGCAAGTGTGAAAAAATCCACGTTTGTAATGTATGGATGCTTCCCAAACCCAAACTTCTTGCTTTCTTTGTTGATAATTCCTGATTTGCCTACAAATAAATAGTCACTGAGGTTTAAAGTAAATCCTAGGAAGTGCATTGAGATGTTCAATACCATGATAATTATTGTTATTATAAAAAGGACAATGCTAAATGTTTGGATCTGGGTGAACTTGTTGAAGGACTGGAGTGTCATCATAGTCAGCGAATTAAAATAAATGTAAGGATACAAGAAACAGCAAAAAATAGGGAGCTGTTGATCAGTTAACTTGCAAAGGAGAAAGATATTTGGGTGTTTTTAGCCGTGTTTTAGACATGTAAAACATTAGAGAAATCTTACAGGGCTTAAAATTGTCATTTTTCAACCTTCCTTTCAAATACATTGTGTATACCCAACAAGAAAGCCCCAAGAGCGAAACAAATTCAGCTTAAAAAAAAAGTTCTTATTCAATACGTAGGCCAACTGAAGCAATGTGAAAATACCATTTGCATGTCACACTGCCTTTTAGTCAAAAAGAAAACAGCAGAATCTAAATACTCCATTATATGTATCAATGAATACAACAATTAAAGTGAAAGATTCCAACTAATTAATGTTTCTTTCTGAAGTACCGATATGTCTGAAGAAACACAATCTGTAAACGTGGAGAGAAACTTATGTAAGTGTTGAATATAGTAGTTTCACTATTGCAGTTAAAATTATAACAAAAATCCAACCCTTAACCCTAATGCTAGCACAATTGTCTCAATATTTACTTATTAATTTCTCAAACTTAATTGATGACTTTTACCTAAGAGCATAATTGCTCATAAACATTGCTTATTTTTAAAAAGAGGTGTTTGTACGTGTCTGTTCTGACTCATATATAGTAAGTCAACAAAGTAGGTTAACTACTTGCCTAAAGCAATTGAAGGAGGGTCCAAGGCAATAAAAACTTTACAAAAGCTGTCCAACTGAGCATGTAACATTTTTAAAGGTCATGATCTGAATCAAACTACCTCAACAACCTCATGGAACACTAATCATTTACCTCCAACTGACTTGGAGACAAAGTGTTGAAATCAAACCCCACAAAGAGTAGGTGAAGATTACCTTTTTGGGGGTTAAGGATTCACAAAAGATTAAAGGGCTCTGAGACTCCCCTGCGTAAGGGGCGCTAAATAAATTTAAGTAGTTGTTGTTTAAGGCATCAAATCAAATTTAGTTTGGCAAGTATTATTTGCCTACAGTCTTCAACTACGGATGCAAACACAAGAGAGCAACCAAACAGGATACAATGAGTACTAATTTAGTAACTAAATTTTACAGAGGTTTCTGAGAACAAATACTGTGACAAGAAAATTAAAAAGCCAAATTTGTAAAATAGACATCCTATGCTAAATATGAAATTTAGAAAATGTCAGGGTAATAACATTGGTGAGAAATCTACTGGCTCTATGTAACAAGTCAACGTACAGTATCAAAATAAGCATTTTAACAAGTCTGTGCAATGAAATGGGTCCCCAGTACTATAAACCAACCCCACTTAACCAGGTTGCCCTATCCTTCTTAAAACAATACATAGTAAATACTTGAAGCAAACTGGAATAAATAGTTATACTGAAGGCTGTACTGAAGGCAGATGGCGGAGATGTTTGCTCAATTTACTTTAGGCAATAGGAGGAGGAAGGTTTTTATGTTGAGAATCCCAAGTATCCTACATCTTATTGCAGGCACATCGTTTAGGAATGTGTATTAGTATAAGGAAAGAAAATAACAACAGCTTCTACTACATTCTGTTGCTTTCTGCTTAATTTAATGAGTTTAATGCTGAAAACGTAATAAGAATCTGATGCTCTGAAACCAGGTCAAAAACAATCCAGTTTTGTGGGTTATTTTATAAATACCAAAGATTACTACATCCCCCTCTCAAGAGAATTAAAAGGCAGATGTTCACGCATGTGGGATATGTATTTGGACAAAACAGATTTCAGATGGGGATCAAGTTATTTGTACTACATCATTTTCAGTTTCAATACTAGTGAAATATTCACCATTTTATAATGTTAATGCTATTTTACTATAAATCTCTACTTTTACCCCCTTTAAATCATCCTCATATCACACCTTTTCCTTGCCCTTTGTGACTGAATAAATAGCTGAAGTCCAACACATATCCCCTTTAAACCAGCCACTAGGAATCATGCAAGTGGAATAATCAACTCATTAGTATTGGATTTTAGACACACAACTAGCCTGTATGTGAACATATATATCATATACATTAATATACATTTTTAATAAAAGGAAAGGACTTATTCAGGGTAAAACTCACTAATTGCTATCTAAATCAGTTTATTCAGGGAGGGTGTACCGTAATACTGCAAATTACATGTGAAAGAGGATTTATTTTCAGTCATAAGCCTACAACATTTGAACAACGCATACAGATAATCAAACAGAAGACCTACTTTCTCCTCTGTTTCTGGCCTGTGGCTGTTGTGCTTTTCCTGCGATTTCCATCTAAATATAACCTTTCATGTAATTAATCATTAGTACTCACCCTCTGTTGGCAACAGCAGCTTTCTTCAGGTGGATGTAGTTTGCAGGAAATAGACCCTTTAAATACAAGAAAGAAATTTTATTAACTGGTTGTACAACAAGTTTCCAATATTTATATGTGTGCTTCATCTCTTGCTCACCATCAGGCATTAAACAGAAAAAATCAGTTACCAGATAGAGTTCATTATCAAGATTTAAAAATTTGTTTTGAAATAATTACAGTGCAGCCCTTTTATAATGTACTTCATTACAACACTAGTTGATTTACAATGAGGATGGTATGGACTCTACTAAGTACACATGTGTGCAGCTTGCTGGCACAACTCCCATAGCCAGCTAACTGCACGTGAGTGAAGTGAAACAGACAATTGCTGCGTCATTATACAGTGGTTGGGATTTTATGGAGTCCAATACTGCCTCATGATGAGGATCCTCTTATTTTCACATCTTTTAAAAAGAATGACTTAAATAGGAAGTCCTGACAAATTATAGGCTTCACAGCATTTATGGTAGGATTTACTGATTTGGACAGTGTAACGAAGCAGAAGATAATTTGAACACTCATCAGTGAGACAGAGTGTTTCAGCTGTGTGCATGTTAATGCAGTGACTTCATACCACTTGGCTTTAACAAACTGTCAAACTACTCGCCCTCCCTCCCCACAAGGAGTTTTTTTTAAAAGTAAAAAAAAACTCAGGAATGAAAAAATACTGAAGGAATAGAAAAACTGACCCAAATCCTTTAACTGCTTAATATTAGAATTACAATACTGAGTGCAAAGTGACTGAAGCTGGTAAGAGGTATTAACCAGTTTGCAGAATGGCCTTCATACCAAAATTGCTGCATTTATATCAGTCATCCTGTCTAAGATGAATACTGTAGCAACAGAGTAAACAATTAGCTTTTTCTTTCAAATTTCCATAAAATTGTAGGTGTCCAATTTATTTCTAATTTTCTTCCATGTTGGTGCCACCTAGGCTGCAAGGGAAGATTAAAGTGTCCAGCTTTGCAAGAGTTAAGGAGGATAAAACCAGCCACATTTTGCTCCTGCTTTCTTTGCAGCGTGTGTGTGTGTGGCAGCGTTCTCATCCTGGGGTGTGGTTCCAGCAGCACTGGCTGCCCTCCAGTAGTCTCACCCAAGTGGCCACTCTTCATGTGAGCATCTTGGCAGTGAATGTCCACAAGCCACTCAACTGTTGAGGGAGTCACAGCTTTCTTCACCCAGTGATCACGCAAGCCCACTTAGGGATTCTGAAGAGGGAGATCAGGAGTAGCTGGTTTTATCCTCCCTAACCCTGGGAATGCTGTGGCAAATTAACCTCACAATTAATAATAATAATAATCCTTGCATTAGATATAACGCTTTTCACGTCTTCTCGACGTCTCAAAGCGCTTCACAGAATATGCTGTAAAGTGAATTGACTGTATATTTGTGGGCGAAATGCGGCATTTCAATTGAAATTGTGAGGGTGGCTGAGACTAATCAATTCAACACGAACAGGGATTCGAACCAGCAAGCTCCCGTTTCTGTAAAGCTGTAGCTCTATCCACTAAACCAGGGATGGCCAACTTGTGACCTGGGGGCCACATTACGCACATGTAAAATAGTCAAGCGGGCTGCAAGTTGTCCATCTCTGCACTAAACCATTGGCTATCCAGAAATTATTTTTTTGAGTTCTCTTGAATATTATTGAGAAAACAACCCAAAGCAATTGCAACATGATGCCGAATAGAAACTAACTTTTTCTTCTAACCTGAAACACTGATTATATGGTATAAATCTGAAAATGCTTCCCTTGAATAATATGCAGGATATTAGGTCAGAAATTCAGCACAGAAGGAGGCCATTCAGCTCAACGTGCCTATGCTGGCTCTTTGAAAGAGCTACCAACTAGTCCTGCTCTTACCCCATAACCATGCAATTTTTTTCTTTTTAAGTACCAATCTAATTCCCTTCTGAAAGCTATTATCAAATCTGCTACCACCACCCTTTCAGGCAGTGCATTCTAGACCATAGCAATTAGTATTGAAAGTTAGACTGTGGATCTCTGAATTCAAATTCAAACCGTATTTGTATCTGGATTTTAGCCATGCAAGCTTTCACTTCAATAAAAATATGGGAAAATAGTAATTCTTTTACAGTACTTGTATTTCAATTGATGGAGACTTGATTGGGAATGAAAATAGTTGGCATCGCTAAGCAATATGATGAATTGTCAGAATGTTATACATGTAGGGCAAAACATGCAATTCAAATTACTTTTTTATGTCTCAGGGCCTGCAGTGCTCTGCTGTCAAATTGCTACATGAAACCCTGCAACTGTTTTTAAAATTGGATTTGAATTGATATACTTGCTCAGGAAATAGCTCTTGTACCCTTTTAATTCTGCCCAAAGGGTGGTACAAACTATTGAATGTTCAGTCATGATAGTTTGGTAAGATTGCAATATATATCACCAAGGAACAGAGAATATCTTAAGAATAGGAAAAGACCATAAAATTATCCCTAACTAATATCAACCCTGGCTGATCTCTGATCAGACTAGAGAGCAATGTTGTTTTAAGAGCTCCGAGATGCTAACCCCTTTGAAGGGCGATATACAGTGTAAATGCAAGTTGTTGTTTCCTTTTGAACAAGTTTGCTTCAAAGGCCTTCCAAGCAATATTTCCCAAAAAGACCAAAGTAAACTTTCCTTTGCCTTCAACTTCAATTCCCAGGACCAGAGAAAATGTGCTACTCAATGTTAGAGACTTAATCATGAGATCACAGAGAGATTCAGATGAAGGTCATCCAGCCCATCTGATCTTATCCCTCTGGAATATTAGACCTTACTGTCCTCCCATTACAGCAGTAAGTTGCTTCTTGATTTGAGTCCAGAGTCTGGGCCTCAAAGGAGTCAGTATATCTGAATGTTCCTGTTTTTCTTTCTCAATCCCATTTAAAATCTTTTATACCTCTATAAGATACCTTCTGAGTTGTCTCCTTTCAGGATTGAAGAGCCTTTTTTGTGCCACTGTGTCTACGGCCTGGGCAATTGCCTTATGTGTGGGAACCAGAACTGTATACAGTACTCCAGCTTTGGCCTGGCCAAAGCACTGTATAGCTTTAGCAAGGGATCTAAACTCCACTGATTTGGCAATATAGCCAGCAACCTGTTTGTCATGTTTATTCCTGCTTCTGGTAGCTTGGACAAGATGAGCAATGTAATGAACTGAAGTAAAACCTCGGATCCTCCTAGCAGGAAACAGACACTAATTACTGCCCCAAATGGAAGAATTAATGTAAATCGATGCAACTCGTGCACCCAGCAGTGATTCAACAGCAGGTTTTAATTTGGTTCATACGATAGTTAGCCCATTCCTAAAGTGCAAAGAAGCTATGTTAGCACTTACCTTTACAGTAGGTTTCTTTGTTACAAACCCCCTGAACCATCCTGCAAAAACAAATGAATAACATGTCAGTTGAGAAAAATACGAGACTATGTACCTTCAGTGGAATCTCCAATCAGCTGCATGTGAGACAGAAAAGGAATCTTTGCTGCTCAAATTATAATAATGATCCTTGCATTGGATATAACGCCTTATCACATCTTCGACACGTCTCAAAGCGCCTCACAGAATATACCGCAGTGTCGTAACTGTATTTTGTGAACGAAACACTTTTATTAAGAAATAGGCAGGAAGATTATTTATAAATAAAACAAACACCTAGCAATGACTTCCAAAACAAAAATGTTGGAATTTGGGGAGAGGGGACAAAATTAGCCCAATTTAGCAATGAATATTCTATTGGAAATCCAGATGTTTCAAATACTATCATTTCCATCTCCTGCCCACACCTGCTTTTTTTTCCTTCCCCATTTTGTGTTCAAGTCCCTGGCACCTCCCTATCGCTCCGACCTCCTCACTCCCCAATCCACCACCTGGCGCCTCCGCTAGACTGGCATTGGCCTTCTGCTCATCCCTCACACTCTCCGCCCCACCACTGGAAGTCGTGCTTTCAGCCACTACGCCCCAAAACTCTGAACACTCTACCTCAATCCCTCCACCTTGCCCCCGCACTCCCCTTTTTCAAGTCCCGCCTGAAAGCTTTCCTGTTCAACCGTGCTTATGGCCGCCTTCCCCTACCCCCGGATCGGAGTCAGTCTCCTCCACTGTTAAGTGCTTTGAGACACTACCCTGCGTGGAGAGCGCTATATAAGTGCAAGTTGTTGTTGGTGTTCCACCATACAGATTATTACAGTGAACTGAAAAAGTTTCAGTTCACTGTAATAATCTGGTAGTAGACAGAAGGGCAGAGCCTGCTGAGGGGATCCCCTCAACTTTTATTTTGAGTAAGTCCAGCATCGCCTCGCAGTTGGCGTTGGAGCCGAGGATGGGCAGAAGAGCCTGTTGGTAATGAAGGAGCTTGGGCCTCCAAGATTGTCTCAGAGTAGAAGGATGATTTAGCAGAGGCGGGGGCGGAGCGGTAGGATTTGATAAGGTCCAGCCAGATCTGCCGATGGACCTTTAAATTGGATTTGAGCCAGGTGCGTTCAGTGGCACGCACCTGTGCCTTGAGGGAGCGGAGGTGGTTGGTGGACCAAGGTGACTTTCTTGAGTAGGAGACGGTTCAGGTAGTTAGGGGAGCAAGGGCATCAAGAGCGGTGGAGAGTGACCGAGGAGGATAGGTCACTGTGGGAGGAAGCCTAGATGGGGAGGAGTTTAGATGATGCCAAGGCACCAGAAAGGGGGAAGAGACTCTTTTCCAGGGGGGGTATTATGGTCCAACAGTTTGTTAGTAGAAACTACTAAATTTACAGTTTACTATAATAATTATCAAGTAAAAACGACACATTTATACTTGATAATGATTCTATTAAACTGTAAATTTAGTAGTTTCATTGTAACAATCTTTCAGAGTTAAATTCTAAATCTGAAATGAAGTATTCTAACAGTTTATTTTCTATTATGACGAGATTCTATTTGGTAGAGGGCACAAAACAGATGTGAAGTTATAACAACCTACATTTTATAATATTAAGCCTCATTGAATACCTAAAGCTGGTAACATTTTAAAAGTCTCCAGTGCAAATGATCTGGATTAAAATACTCCTATCCTAGTATACATAAATGACCTAGATTTGCGAACACGTTGCAAGGTACATAAATTGAATTCAAACCATGTACCATTAGGTGGAATGAAATTTGCCACCAGTCACAGAATCATAGTTTAGCTTGACACAACAAAACCTGACTATAATATTAAGTAACATTTAAGAATGATTTACAGGTCATTGCAGTTCACGGAAAAAAAAGCTGGATGGCTAATGTTGCCAGATGAAGTCAGGAAATTAAAGCTGCCTTCTACAAGTATGTAGTTTTCAGAAAAAGTAGATTCATAAATCAATATCTACTGAGTTCCAAATTGATTGACTGCATATTGAGTCCTAATAGCATTAGGAATTTACTAAGGGGCCGAGGCGAAGGGACTGCAGGATGGAGTTTCCTAGGGTGGGGACAGAGAGGCTGAAGGCCCGACTGCTGATGGCGGAGCAGGCTGGGCGGGAGACATGAAGCAAAGTGGAGGGAGCGGACATACTGATATGGCAATAACAGGTCACAGAGGTAGGAGGGAGCAGGTGTACAGGAGTTGAGTACAGTTTCAAAGTATAACAAGCCATTTAAATTCTTTCCCATGGTTTATTGTTGATCATGTTACAGGATTCGGTCATGCAGTTGTCTATCTTGTGTTTGGTCATGTCCACAATTTTAACAAAATTGGTGAAGTGACAATCAACTGCACATGCAAATAGGTGATAGTCGAAAGAAAGATAGAGAGAGCTACAAAATAATTTCAGTGGCAACCACCTTGCTCCCTCTCTCTAAACCTTGTACTTCAAAGAACAGGCATATTCTAGTTTTTAAACCTATGGGATAGCGCAGGCTTAAGATGCATTATTAAAATTCAATCCTACCTTCACATTTTTCCAAAATCTGAACTGTTTCCCCAATTTCTAGGACAAGGCCTTGAGGTACAGACCCACGGAAACTGCATATCACTGCAAAACAAAAGAATCAACATTTAAGAATCTTCCAATGTATAAATATGAAATTATTTTTATCCTTTGCACAACATCACAAGAGAAGTCCAGGTGAACATGCCTTTAGGTCCATTTTTGTCACCCTCCTGCCCTCCCATGACAACAAATGGGCCTAAGGGCATGTTCCTTAAACATTCATTCTAGTGATCTCGTGCTTGATTATCCTCTTGTGTAAAGAAATATTTCCCGGTGTACAGTCTAAACTTATCCTTCACAACCTTGAATCTTTGTCTTTTTCTCTTGCTGACTTGGAACATCAAACGAATAGTTCGGCTCGGATTTGTTCATCTTATCTACTTCTAAATTGTCCCTTTTGAGAGTTTTCTTTTCAAAGCTAAATAATGCTATCTTATCTACTCATTTGAGCTTCACAGATTATCCTCTATTGCTGGGGATCAGCCCTCGATTTTCCTTTGCACCGTCTCTAATGGGTAGGCAGCCCTGTTATCCCTCCTCTTCGATGCCTTTGGTCACCCTCCTTCTCCCACTGCCTCCACCCTCCCCGATCCTGACCCCCAGCTCGGGTCCTAAGCACTGATTGTCCAGCGCTTTCGGACACCCTCCTGACGTGGAAGGCGCGATGCGAATGTAATTTTTTGTTGTTGTTGTTGCAGCAACCAGAATTATTCCTTGTACTCCAGATTTGGCCTAACCAGAATACTGTATGGCTTCTACAGATCTCCTTTGACAATATACCATGATTATTTACATTTATATAGCACCTTTCATTTTGGGAGAACATCTCAAAGCATTTCTCACATCTGAGTGCGAGTCCAAGCTGTGGGTGCTTTTCCTTGATAGGCTCTAACATATCCCTGAATTATTCGTGCCACATATTTTTACATTCTATATATAAAGCACCTTGCATTTATCTGGATTGAACTTCATTTTCCATGATCAGCCCAGGTGCATACTCTGTTGTATTGTGTTTATAAGATCTGTGTTGCCTCAGATTCCACAGTTTACCCCTCATGTTGTGTTGCCCCCGCCCCACCCCCTCCCTACTTTCAAATCCGGCCTAAAGACCTTTCTTTTCGATCGTGCTTAGGGTCAACTCCCCCCTTCTTCTGGCTCAAGGTAGGACTCCACCACTGTCAAGTACACCGGCACACTATCCCGGGTGAGCGGCGCTATTTAAATGCAAGTTGTTGTGTTATGTGAAAATTTAACTACAGAAGAATCTGGCCTGACATCTGCAACATATCCCTCCTGTGGGTATTAAGATCACGCAGACTGTTCCACTCCAGAACCTCACAGAACCATTAATTGCAAAGTCATTCCAATGCAATTGCATTGAAGATCCCTTATGCCTCATTTACTGATTTTCTGTAAAACTTTTGGAATTACAAGGGAGAAATATCCATTTCCCTGAAAAGGAGGGACCATCCAGATTCCAATACAATTAGCTCATGGTCCTTGAAAACACCAGGGATAAGATCAGCGTAATAAAGACAGGGAGAAACGTTTTTCTCTGGCGGGTGGGATGGTAACCAGCGGACACAGATTTAAGATAATTGGTGAAAGAACCAGAGGGAAGACGAGGAGAATTTTTTTTACTCAGAGAGATTACGGTCTGGAATTCACTGCCTGAAAGGGTGGGAGAAGCAGATTCGATAATAGCTTTCAACAGGGAATAAGATATGTACTTAAAAAAGAAGAATTTGCATGGCTATGGGGTAAGAGCGGGGAAGTAGGACTAGTTGGTAGCTCTTTCAAAGAGCCGGCACAGGCACGATGGGCTGAATGGCCTCCTTCTGCGCTGTATGTTTCTGATTTCTCTACTTTTGCACCAAAAAAACACTTCCATGATTCAAGTTGTGAATATGATGGCTGGGAGTTGTATAGCAGCTTAGAGATTGACATACTATACCTTTTGATCATTCACTAGTCTATCATAGCTTGATTGTGAAAAGAGTTACTTCACAACTGAAAAATTTCTCAGTAAGATTAGCCAAATCGTAAACCTTAACAAGCCACTCAATACAGATGGTGTTATATCACGTTCCAATCCTGAGAATTGCCACCGAAATTGAAAGAGCACACATTAAAGGGTAGATATTTTGTCAGGATCCTGGTACAGAACATTATAATTTTATAACATTAAACCTTCCTACCTGTGTGACGTGCTAACCCTATATCAACCTGTCCACTCCCTCCGCTCAGCAGGCTCCCCACCATCGGCGGTCGAGGTTTCAGCCTCTCAGCCCCCACCCTTTGAAAAGCCATCACACAGTCCCTTCACCTTGCCTCCTTCAAGGCACGTCTCAAGCCCCTCCTCTTTAACCACACCTTCAGCCACCCTCTTACCCCTACCCTACCTGCCCTCCACCCCTCCTGATCTCAACCTCTTGCTCAGGTCCAAATCCCTATACAAATGTAATTTGTTGTTGTTATAACAACAGTAATCATTCTTGCATTTGATTTAATACTGAATCAGCTCACTTCACAGATAATTGGTGTCAAATGTAGTACTGTGGTTTTACAGGTACACGCAGCAACCAATTTATGCACGTTCCAAGAATAAGTCATGAAGTGAACAACAATTTTTATTGGAGGATAGTTGGTCAGGACACTGGGAGAAACTCCTTTTTCTTGTCAAATAGTGTTGTGACATATTTAATGTCCACCTGATTTGGCAGATGTGACTCAGTTTAATGTCTGAACTGAAATACAGCACCATCGACAATATAGTGCTCCCCAAGAAGTTCATTGGCTGAGACATTAATCCGAGGTCCTATTCCCTTGTTTCTGTAGACATTAAACAGTCCATTGCACTATCGTTTCTCCTGGTTTCCTGGTCAACAACTCTCCAACTAAATTGATTATTCATATCATGGCTGTTTGTGGAACACTGCTGTGTGCAAATTTGCTGTTAAAGTCACCTACAAGTACAGTCACTACATTCCACTGAAATGTTAGCGCTATATCAAATTCAAGGATTATTATTTATGATTACCTAGGATTTCCAAAGAGGCTGAGAAAAACAATTTAAAATAATGGAGATAAATGAGAATCATTTAAAAAGTTTGAACATTCATCAGTTCAGAAAAGANTTTTTTTAAATCATTTTATTTGGTGAAATTTACACGAAAATGAAGCGGAAATGATGTGCCATTATTTCAAACACTTTTTATTCAATTCTTTCCATACTGTAGTATAATTCATTTGTGGTAAATTGCACTGTATTTTTTTTTGTTGACCATTTTGTTAATATTTAATGATTTGGTATGTATTTCTTTTCATTTTACTCTTAATATACATGAAATTAAGATGTTAATTCTGCTACTACAAAGGAAAATAAATTCATGTAAGTTTGAACATGCATAAAAAGGTTTGAATTAAAGGGAATCATAGTAAAATAATCTAAAATGCAGATTATTAAAGCTTCACGTGTAATCTTCTGCCATCTGGAACGTAAAATGAAAGCCGAAAATAATTACTCTATGAAAATATCTTTATCTTTCCAAATAGAACATTAGGGCAGGATCACTAAGGCAGGAACTGGGAGTCAACCGTACCTACTTTTACAGGCTGTATTTCCAGCGCCTTGGGACGTCCTCCCGATGTGAAAGGTGCTATACAATGTAATTTTGTTGTTGCTGACCTAAATGATAATATGGCATCTTAGACAGTCCTTTTTTTTGACATCAATGAACCACAAAACATCTTGCACAAAACTCCAGGTATATTATGCTTGGGGGACAGATAACAGAGGCATAGATTGTAGCCTTCTGAATCCAAAATTGCTTCAGCTATTTTTGTGAAACCAATGAAATGTCTGCTGTGTTCTTCCAAAAACTATTTCAAACAAAAAAAGGGAGGCAAGAAAATTCTAAAAAGAACTTTCAACAAATGAAGTTACATCTTCCAAATGTGTGAAATATGTATTAACCTGTGAAATAGAATTTCAAAGGTCAAAGAATTCAAGCTGCTGGCTACATTTGCATTAATCATACTGCAGAAATTCTTGGCCAGAATCTCAGTACTTCAAAGACTTTAAGAATTTTGATAAAAAGAGAATTATTAAATATGTTTCTATTCGATTTTATGTGCTTAATTCCCAAAAGCAGATAAATAAGAACCTGTCGCCCAGTTATTTTCTAAAAATGTTGGAAACCTGAATAGCTATGCATCCCACTAACAGTGCACGTTGATGCTGTATCATACACAATATTTCATTACAACATTCTACTATACAATACTTACATTTCATGCATGTTTCAAAAAACTGCTATGCAATATATTCTATAAATATTAAAAGCCAGCAATGCTTAAGTTTTGTTTAAACAGATGATACCCTATGTAACAGCACAAAATATACATTAAAAATGCTTTATAGATTGACAAATTAAAAGCTTTCCCTGAACAAGTGAAAATGTTTACATTACATATTCAGTTTTTTTTCTACTGGAAATGATTAAAATACTGTACTTGTATTTCATCCTATCAATTGACAACAGCAAGAGCTAATTTAGAATTCCTTTTTGAAATAGTTTGGATTCCGTGACCCTGGAAGCACAGGAAATTGAAGTGAGGAGATCAAAGAGAATTAATTTTATGGCATTGTACCAGTGGAATTCCAACAAGAACTAAACTCATAAATTGTCATTTATAAAGTAATTTTCAAAATTTATTTTAAATGCAGCTTTACATTGGCAAAAATCAGTCAGCCATTACGAGCTTTCAGTTTACAAATTTGTAATTTTTTACAATTCATGGAGATACAATGCCAGCCCCGTCTGCCTGTTCAGGCGGACATTAAAGATCCCATGGCACTATTTGAAAAAAGAAGGGAGTTTCTCACGGTGTCCTGACCACGAATCATCCAGATAAAATTGGCCATTGCTTCATTATTGTTTGTGGTTCATAGCTGTCTACAAATTGGCTGCCACATTTACCTACAAATACAGTAATTCCTGTAAAGTGCTTCGAGATGTTTCAATGATAATAATCCTTGC